GGTACACATAATTAATTATTCATCACAAAACCTAAATCACATTCATAATCTTCTTATGAACATTAACATGGTGTTACACTAATGATTTTCTCTAATGTATCAGGATTATAACAAGCTGCTTCTCTTCTTTTTCTCATGTAAGTTACTTTTTTACCAAATAAACATTCTGGATTCACCAAACCAGATGGAGTCCATAATTCATAATCACTACCAATTTCTCCAGGTTTATCTTAACCTATACAATTCCTTTAATGTAATTCATCTAAATCTAAAGTGGCAAGTAATCCCTATTCAGTTTTAATACCATTAGATTCTAATTAAATAGAACCATAAGCTATAAATCTAGTTCCTTTATTTTAAGGTTCAGTAATTATATTTTAGATTTCTGCCTTCTAATCTAAAAAATTAAATGGAGTCCATTCCATTCCACCATTCCAAGAAAAAACAATCTAATTAGTTGTTTCTTAATCTTTAGACATAACAACCAATCCTCCATGATTACTCATTTCATAAATATATGAACCTTTTTTTATTTCAATCCATGTTAAACCACCATCTCTACTTAAATAAGTGTTAACTTGATCTTATCTATAACTTAAATATTTTCCAATAGATCCTGTAGCTATTATTATACCAATTGAATTTGCTTGAGTATAAATAGGTGCAAATTAATAAAATGATTAACTAAGATGAATATGTAACTAACATTTATTACAATTAATTGGTTTCCCATCTGCATCAACTGTAGGTGGCTAATTATAAATTTAATAATTATACTTTTAATGGAACCCATTAACCACCTTTGTCAAATGTAATCCTTGTTTATTTGTATTTTTTCAAATCTTCATCTTTAAATCCATTTTATTAAGCATAGAATCCTTCTTCCATAGCTTCTAAGACTTGATGAGAATATATTTTAGCTTAATCTTCTGAATATACATTTGCTAAATATATTCCTTCTAATCCTTAAACCCTATAAAATTCTGCACTATTTTCTAATCTGGCCACATTCTCTAATGATCTTGAATACCTTGTACCAGTTGAATCACTAATATAAATTACTCCCAATGGAGAGGATGGCTTTAAGTGATTAACAATCATGAAAACTTAGTTTTCTGATGTATCTAAAATACTGTAAGAGTGTTCTAATAATTTTGAATCAGCATCAATAATTGTATATTTATATTATCCTAATTCAGTACCACTCACATATAAACTAACCTCTTAGGTATATTATGATGTAACTTTAGCTACAAAAAGGAAGGATTCTGTCAATAAAAATCTTGAACCTGCTGGTACACTTAAAGTACGAGTTTAAAAGAAATCATCACTATAATATAAATTGGCATCCATATTCCAACTACTTATTGATTAATGTCCTTTTCCTTGAGGTTCGAATGATGCTAGAATACGTTCTTTTGGAGTATATTTAGCCATGTCTTTGTTTTTGACACCCCAAGTAAACTAATTAACATAAGTAGCTATGGAATGCCAAGTGATTCCTGTATCTTAACTTAATAGAAGTTCCTTGTAAGAAACACAAGGTGTACCAGCAAGAAGTTCATCAGAGCCACATTATTTCCATGCAGAGGCAATTATCCAATCTTTTTCAATTGGATGAAATTAATATTCACGTAATTACTTACCTGCATTAATAGCTGTTATTGTTTTTCCACAATCAAGTGATATCCATGCAATTTAATCTGTGCCTGTAAAAAGAATGAGTTATTTATCAACAGGACTTGCAACCAAATTATTTACTATTCCAACTTTATCATCAGAATCCTCAAGTTGAATTAATGCTTTACGATGGAAAATTTCAGACATTTTGGTCCATTGACGACCACGATCATCACTTCTATATACAGATCCTTTTGAAGTGAGTGCCAAAACTGTATCACTACACCAATGAATGTTTATTAAAGAAGCATCGATATATGAAATTTAAACATCAATATTAGATGTAAAAGTCTGCATGATCATCAAGAGTATTATTAACATCATAAACACGTTTTATTATTTTAATTAATCAATTTATTTAATAATTTCATACTCACAATTATGCTTAACATTATCCTGAACGTTTACAATGACATGAAGTTCCTTTGCTTAAAACTACCTTTTTAATTTCATCAAGTGTAGTCTTATTTTCTTTCAATTCTTGGGCACTTGGCATCACATTTAATCTTAAAGCCTCAGAAATAATCATTTAAGCCTTAAATTATATAATGTTTATAAACATTTGGAGTGTTCATGCTAGCTGAAGCAATAATTCTTCCTTTTTTAGCATAATAGGCAATGAATTTTTATTGATTTAAATCACCATCTATGATCACCTCATCAAATCCTTATCCTACTCCACTATATGCTAATGTTCTATCCCATTATCTAGTCCAAAAGAATGGTACATCTGTCAAAGGAGTTGGTCTACCTAAAATATTCAATGCAGCCACATATCTTAAATAATATTAAGTATATACCCTTATCTAATAGCTTCATTTTGATGTTCAATTCTTACATATTCACCAGTTACCCAATATGGATAACTAGCAATATCACCAGAAGCATAAACATTTTTGGCAGCCTTCATAAATACATCAGTTTCAATACCTCCGTTTGGAGATAATTTCAATTAATCTTTAACCAATTTATTGTTTGGTTAGATTCCTGTACCTAAAATAACTAAATCAGCCAAAAGAGATTTTCCATTTAATAAATCAACTCTAGATACTGAACCTTCTCCTGCAATTCTTTTAACTCCAGCAGACAATTCAAATTCAACTCCATTTGCTTAATGTAATTTTTATAAAGAAGCACCAACTTCAGTGCCAAGCACTCTTTCAAATGGAACAGTACTGTTATCTACAACAGTAATATTAACCTAATCTTTTAATTCTTTTTTGATAGCTGAAGCAGTTTCCATACCAATGAATGATGCTCCAACAATAACAATATTTTTAGATGTTTTAGCCTTTTCTCTAATTTATAATAAATCATTAAATTATCTAAGTGTATGAACATTATTTAAGTTTACTCCATCCAAAGAAGGTTTACGAGCTGAACCTCCAGTAGCTAATAATAATTTATCATAATGAATTTTCTCTTTTCCAACAACTACTTCTTGATTATTAACATCAATCGAATCAACATGTTTATTAGTTAAAACATCAATACCATATTATTCATAAAACTATGATTATCTTATTTACAATCCTTGTAATTTAACTAAAAATGACATCTTGCTCATAGGTGTTCTATCATAAGGTAATGTATCTTCAGCTGTAATAATGGTTATTTTTCCTCTGAATCCTGCCTAACGAAGAGTTTCAGCAGCACTTTAACCAGATACTCTAATATAATTATTCAATAATAATACCCTCCACCCACAATGACTACATGTGTAGGATCATCTCCCTTAGTTGCCATATTAAGTGTTCGTGGTGCATTTAATAATTCTTTCTCCACTCTTATTACTAATTAACCATTTTCTTATTTAACAGGAAATGTTTATAATCCCCTAAACATTGGTCCTTCTTCATGTACTCCATCTTTAACAGAAAAACTAGCATTATGGAATGGACATTTCACTTTATCACCTACCAAAAAACCAGCTGAAAGTGGAGCTCCAACATGTGGACAAGAATTTGAAACACAGTAGATCTATCCATCAACTTTGCAAACTAAGACGGCATCTTCTTTTTTTGGACCCACTTATACTTCTCTCATTTCACCTTCCTTTAGATCATCTTCAATAGAGATTTCATATGCATCATTTAGATTAAGAGTCTAATTTCTTATTTATAAATATTACTTAGAAACTATAGCGAATTAGTGGAAGTGAGACTAAGGTGATAGCTAAACGTTAAGTTAATCTTGGAGTTATTAAAGGAGTTCGTCTAAAACTTATTGCTAATGCTGAAGATAATATCTTTCTCATTTAATGAATTAATTATAATATTGTATAAGTATTACTTATATAAATGATTCAACAATAATCATAAAATATTGAAAACAAGAAATCATATTGAATTGATTATTCCTAAAATGTATCTATTTTCTAATTCACATTTATTCTGATAATTGTTATATATTATTAATATTATATATTTTTAATAGAAATTTTAATATTATTATTATATAATATCACAAAAATGCAATTAGATTAGAAAGAAAAATAGAACACTTTTATCTCATAATCAACTTTTCATAAATCTTATCAGGCAACTTTCAAGAAAATAATTAATATAATTTTAAATGAAATGATTTCAGATAAAATCAGAAATAAGGTTTTAGATCCATTTAGTAATATATAGAAAATTCTAAGTTTATAATCAATTTGGATTTAAGAGACATTATATATAAAAAAAGAGTTACACATCAATTTTAAATATATATAATTTATATCTCACCCATTAGTGATCCTACTATTTAATTTCTTGAAAACCTTATCAATTTCTTAAGATAACTTAGTTGTAGATAGAAAATAAATAGAGTAATAAAAGTTATTAATAGAGTATATATATATATATATTTAAAAAATTAATATTAAAGAGGAATTGAAAACTTATAAATGAATTTTAATGTCAAGTTTTCCTCCTTTTATATCTTTCAATGTATTTCTAATTTTTAACTTTCTTTAATAAATCAACCTTAGTTGTAACTCTTCTTTTACTCCAAGATCTTCTTGTTTGATAAGGTATAATTAATTTAAGTTAATTATCATCTATCAGTTCTACAGATAAATCAGATTATGAATTTTGATCATCTTTTTTGAGCAAATTTAAACTATTGTGATTTAAACTACTATTCACTCTTCTAGTTAAAAAATTATTATGTCTTCTTTTCATATAAATACAACTTGAAGTATTGATATGTCCAATGGTTTTTGAAAATTAAGATGAATTTCTTTCTGAACATATTGAATAAGAACTTTCAAAATCAAGAATTTGTTTAGGATGTTAAAATTGAGCTCTTTTCAATTTTTTAAATGGTTTATTGTAATTCATCTAAATTTATTTCAGATCTTGATTATTTTTCATGTTTTTGCAAGCACTCCCCATTAAATTAAAAAATATATATCATATTTTGACTAAATAATAACATAATAAGAAAATTTTCAGTATAAATGCTTTATTTTCTAAATCTTCTCTATGTCATTTTTTATTTATAATTGCTTTGAAATAATAATGTAAGGTCAATTTATTATATTAAGATTCCAACTTTCTTATGTTAAATCTATTCATTATGTAAAGCTTGTTTATATATCTTATTATTTAGATTTTCATTTGTGTACAGATATTGTTTATCTTATATATTATTAGACTAGACTTCATTAATCTTAATATTTTCTTTTAGAAAAATAACAATTTTTATCAAATGTGATTTATTAGATTACATAATAGATTTGATTTTCTAATATAGTTTATTACTTTTGATAATCTCATATTTGTATCTTTTTTATTTATATATTTTTAATACTAAAATTATATTTTTTTTTTGTTTTCTTCAATATTAGATTCATTTATATATATATTATTTCTTCAATACAATGAAATATTATAACCTCTTTTCACTAATTTCCTTCTTATAATCTACCTCCTATACAGTTATATTTTTTCCATAATGATTAAATTTTTTTCATTCTAATGTTTTGATTGTTTCAGTTTGATTAAAAATTTACTGATCTTTAAGAAATAAAAATATATATCTTAATAAAGACTAACTATATTATTAGGATTATTAATATCATGTAGATAGGTTAGCCATCTTTAATATTGATATTAATGTAAATTATTATGATTTAATTGATTACATTTATCTTATGTATAATTAAGAATTAAGAAGGGATCTCAAATACTATTAAGAAATTATATAAAGAAGTTTAATAAATTATTATTTCTTCTTTATGTATCAAATCACAAAATAAATGGTTGATTTTCGTCGTAATCAATTTCTAAATTAAGGTCTTTAAACAGAATTTACAATACAATCTGAAAATGGGTATAAAATATAATATGATAATAGGAATAAATTAGTAAGTGTAGGATCATAATTAAAGAATCTGAATAATATTGAAAAACATAGATATTTGAAACTAGATTCATCCTTTGAGGAAAGTTCTGGTGAATCAAGTGTCATGTGTGATCAATTTCAATAAAAATTCTTAAGCATTGAAGAAGTACAGTAAATGGTGATAGACACTTCTATAAATTAAGCAATTAAACTAGAGCCTAAAGCACTACAAAAAAAGTATTAAATTTATTCTAATAAACAGCAATCGTGTTGGTTTAGAATGGGAATCATAGAAATCAATTATTATTATGAATGTTGATGAGTAGGCCATAAATGAAATAGATCTTTATGAGTTTTTCATTGATTAGTATTCATTTTTATGAATTGCGGTTTAAGGATAAGTCTTTCATCTAATTCAAAAAGATATGGATTGGCAGTTATGAAGGCAAGCTTGCTATAATCATCCGAATGAAAGAGGACAAAAGTGCTTAATATTTGTACTACAATTTAGTAACATCTACTCATAAATATAAGAAAGTTTTTGGAGAATAAATTGAGGTTAGTTTATTTATTAATACTTAGTATTTTTAACTTAAAGTAATTGAAAAATTACCAAATAATAATGAAATCTCTGTAATTATGAGGTTTTTTCCAATATAGTTTAATAATGAGAAATTATTATCACTATAGGATATGAGAGCTGAGTAATTATTTATCTGTATTATATATAACTTAATATTAATTAGATTAGGGTTATAAGTACGGAATTTTCAAAACTAATGATTTTGAGAAAGCAGAGAATTATAAAAAACAATTAATTAGGTTTGTGGATTATATATTTTTAGTTATCTTTTTAGTAAGAAATATCAGGAAGCTCATATCTCTATATTAGGAAAGAAGAAATAGAGCAATCTTAATTATAAAGCATTTTTTGAAGATGATTGTTTTAATCCTCGCTTCTAATTAGAATAAAAAATTGGTATGCCTTTGAGTCCCCCTAAAATTACACCCTAAAATATTATTAGATAATAGGAATAATAATTAATTACTGTGGCAGTAATTTAACCCACTATTAGTGCTATGTATAATTAGATAATTAAGTTAATTAGAAAAATATCAGAATAGGAGAGCTCTTCTAAAGAATACAAATAATCTGAAGTGAAACCAAAACCTGTTGAAAAAATGGAATAAAAAATAATTGCTAAGCCTATTTAACTAAAACCAGTAGCAATATAAATTGAGAGAGAAAGAAGTTCAAGGAAAAAATGAATATATTCTATAAAAAAGTTAATATAAATATTTTAATAAATAGATAATTTAGAAAGAAAGAATCTAATCATAATCTATATAAAAAATCAGTTTAAACATTGGAATTAATATTATGAAATAAAAAATAGGAATTTTCTAAATAGTTAAAATAAATATTGAATTAAGAAATAATGAAATAATAATGAGATCTTCATTATACAAGACTTGAAATAGATAAATATTAATTATTAAGTTAGATATGCTGTTTCAGAAACAATTTTATTTGATTATTATATAAACAGCATAATGGTTTTTATATTTAGTATATAACTTATAAATAGAATTATTAAATGGATACTAAAAATAACCATTACATGATTGTATTACTACTCTGCATACATATATTTCACTAATAAGATAATCATTTTGACTTATTTTTCTTTTTATTTTTATTTTTTTATTCTTCGTTTTCACCTGTGAATATTAACAATCCAAAAACAGACATTCCAAAAACAATGATTCCTATTCCAATAGGTGACAATAAGAATGAAAATAGTCCTTCACCTTCCTGATATGATATTAATAGAAATATTATACATCTTGTTCAACTTAATCAGGTACAATCATATTTTAAGCTTCTAATTCTGCTCTCTATAATTCTGCCTCTTTTTTTCTATTTTCTTCTAACATTTATTCCCAATTATCAATTAAATAATTTTTTTCTTCTTCTCCAGCATTATGACCTTTAACAATAACTATACCATCAACCTTAGGTAAATCAGCAGCTCCTTTTCTAAATCCAATTTTTAATTTTCCATTAACAAATCTGATATTATTTTATTTAAATACCCTTTGCTACATTCTTAATCATTATAGAAAACTTTATCATCTTTAATTTCAATATAAATAAACACTTCCTTTGCATAACCCTTTTAATGCTTATTATCAATAATTGAAAAATTATGTAATATTCTATTTGTTCCAATAAAAACATCAAATTATCGGTCTCCCTCATTTTCAAAATATAACTTTTATTGATTAAATATAATACTTCAACAAATTACAAAATGATTGTATATTGTCCATCTTTAATTATTGGAATACTATAATCAAATGAATTGCCATGTCTTTCAGTAAAATAAACTCTTGGAGTAAAAGTATATGCAATTCCAGCATAAACAACATCATTATATGTGTAATCAGATACTCTTGAATCACCACTAAAATATTAATCCTGAAATAACAATTAGTTAATACATCTTAATAAAGATATCCTTCTTTAGAATTAAATGATTCTTATCCTCCACAATCAATTGCCAATAGAACTTATTTCAATGATAAGGAGTTCACAAAAGTAATTAGAGAAATAAAGAATAAAATAATCATAATAATTATATATATATATATTTATTATATATTTCTCAATTATGAAATTTTATAGATCCACACTTAATTTTATATATAAAAGTATACAACATTATAAAATAGAGATTCTTAATAATATTTAACGTAATATATAATCATCATTTCAAAGGTTTTAATTTGGTTTACATACTCAATTTCTTAGTTCTTGTATATCTTGACATCTATTATGATTTTTCCCATTAATAATTGCTATGAAATACAATCTTCAAATGACTTTCAACATCCATATCAAAGACAATATCCCTATTTCCAAATGGTCTATTGTAGATACCTGAGATCGATTTTGTTGATGATAGATGATGCAAATTACGAGCCAAAGACTCAAATTCAGTCCTCGCTAATTATTCTTATCTTATTCTTAATTATTATGCCTCTTCTAATTCTACTCTCTTAAGTTCTTCCAAAAACGTTTCATTTTTTCTTTTTAAGAATGCCAAGTATTCTTTTCTTGTTGCCCAATTTAGATAATATTTTCTATAATGAAATCCACGAAAATATCTTTGAATTTATGTTGCTTAATAGCTAAAATATTTTAGATTTCTTTCATTAAATCTATTATCACTATTCCTTTTCATTAACATTCTTGCTAGATAACCTTTAGCAAATTTTTGAATATAAATTGTATTCTAATAAAATTGATTGCAAACTTACATATCTAATTTTAAGATATTTAATTCTCTTTACATGCATTCTATACCATTACTAAATTTTTGTTGCTGCTTAATTTTCTTTTCCTCTATTTTCATTGCTTTATTCTGCCTCTCTATAATATAATTCAATTATAGAATGATAATTATTCACAATATCTTATTAATATTGCATTTAGTGAGAAAATAAGCAATAATTAATTTATTTTATGAAAACTCAAAATAACTTTGCACATTTCTCAAGAGGTGGTAAATTATCAACTCCATATTTAAAATTTACTAAAGTAGATGCTGAAACTGCAAAAAAGGCATTTACACCTTAAGAACTCAAACAAATAATGGATATGTTTGTTTATTTTGATAAAACTGGAAATAATACTATTAAACGTGATGATTTAGGGTTTGCTTTGAGAGCCATAGGATATCTAGTTACAACAATTGAAATCAGAGAATTGGGGATGTATTTAGATCCAAAAAAAACATAAATTTTAAATTTTGAATAGTTTATAACAGCTTGTTATAATGTAAGAAATCGTAAACCAAATAAATAAGAGATAATTAATGCCTTAAAAATATTTGAAAAAAATAAATCTGGCTACATTGATGTCAAAGAAATAAAATCAATCATTACTAAAATAGGAGATGTTCTTAATTTAACAGAATTTGATATTGTTATCTCTGAAATCACCTAATAATTTAATGGATTTATCAAAACTGATGATTTAGTTAATTTACTTATAATGTCATGATATTTTAATTAACATTAAAACCTTCAGCTATATTAAGTAAACTATTAGAAAAAAAACAAATATTAAATCCTTCAGAATTAAAATTACAAATTTTCTATCGAATCCTTTATTTTTCATTTGATCTTTTTACATCTAATTATTTAATTTATTCTCTAGGATTTATATAAATGCCATATTTGATTTCCAAAAAGGCATAGAATATTTTACTGAAATTCTAATTAATATAACATTCAGATATTATTTTTATTATAATTCATTAAATAAAACAAAAATCAAAGCTGAATTGCTAATCCATTACCTAAAAATTATCAATTTTTGTTTTGATTTATAAAAAAGCATATCAATACAAAAATTATAATATTTTAATTCTTCTCAACTTAACATAAGAAGTGGGAAAGCAATCCTAATATGATTTAAATTAATATTTAGGTTTTGAGTAGCTCTTTCTGATAATAATTCGGAATGTTATTTTATTTAAAAAGAATTTTATTAATTCTCTAAATTCTTGTGGATAGATTTAAAAAATAAAGAAAAAATCATTGTATTTGGTTGTACTATAAGTGATTTAAAGAATATTTGCTACTCAAATAAAATTGAATACAATATTATTCATAAGAAACTTCCATTAGCTTTTGAAATATAAACTAGATAAGTGTACAGGTACTATAATTCTTAAATCATACAATTTAAAAGCTCTATGTTTTACAAATAAATATATATATATAATAAAAAAGAGTTTTTTAAAAGATTCATAAATTTAAATTAATGATTACCATTATTTATATATTAATATATTAAATCTACAAATAAAATTTCATAAAACTTAATTAAAGAATTTCTTATTACTAAACCTAAAAGGTTTTCGATAATTATTGTTACTTGGACCCAAAAGTGATTTTAATGTATCTTAAATTTAATCTGGCTAAAGGGATTACCTATAAGTTTGATATAGATCTTGCTCATTTTCTAGTTATTTTATAAAGGTTAATTAATCAATTTCTTTTTATTAAATTAAATCAATCTGTGATACTAAATTAGTAATTTTATCATTAATGAGACTTATTTTTCTACTTTGAAATTTAGGAGGTGTATCATCAATTCTGGAGTCTTATTTCTATATAATATGACTCAATTAAACTCTACTCTATATTGGTTTAATTTCACTTAATTTCTTTGGTTAAAAAAATGTTTTTTCACTTAGTATTTTATTTGTAATCAATTTTTAATGATTTTAGGATTATAAAAATGTTTATTCACTTTGAGCTAATAAATTAATAACAAATTTTTTACAATTTCTAAAAACACTATCTATAGATTTAATACTCTCCTTTTTATTATCTTTATTCATTTATTTATAAACTTAATGCATAATTAATTCCTTTTAAATTTATTCTTCTTTTTTATTATAAATTTTTTTAGTAGCTTTCTAAACAATATTTATAACTTTTTTTGTTTTCATCTTTTTAAGTGTTCTTCTAGCCTATTATTCTCTATACTAAATTAAAATTGAAATTTACTTCAGTTTCATTAATATCTTGATCTTACATTAAAATTAATCTAGAATTAGTTAAAGATTACAAATTTGAGTTGTTTTATACAGAGGTGGAGTTCTTACCAAATTAAGTTCTTTCATCTGATTTTAATAACTCCTTCTATACTTCACTTTTATGTACTATATTCAATGCTTTACTAACATTAAAATTATCTTATATTTCTTTATCTGATAAATCTTCTTGTTATTACCATAATTAATCATAATTTTCTTTTAAGTTTTATTTTATTGTCATCTATTTTCTGATTTAATCTTGTTACTTTTCTATTAATTTTATATATATATTAGATTACACTTTTTTATCATCAAATAATCTACATAATCTTTTTCAGAATCTGTTATATTTGAAGTTATTTTAGATATTGATGTATTTTAAAGATGATTAATGTTAAGTAAAAATTTATGATCACTGTTAAACTATTAATTAATTGGTTATAGAAATTAAGGTGCATTAGTTGTTTTAATAATAAGATCAGATACTCTTGATAGTATTCTTCTTTTATTAATTTCTTACTAAGTCAATTAATAAAATGGTTTATTGATTAGAGATTATAACTTTTAGATTTTTCTTAATTTTCTTTCATTATTTTTCTGTTAAATTGATTAACTTTATTGACTTCTATCAGACTACATTAAATGATAATGTAATTACATCATCATTTTCACTCTCCTTTTAGTGATTCATTAATAAACTCAAAAATTAATTTTATAAATTGATTAATAATGCCTTTATCATTTCTTCCCTTCTGAACCATCATCTTTCTTCTTTGTTTTTTTAACTTATTTTGCTTCATCCCTTAGATAATTAAAATGGTTCTTCTCACTATTTTCATCTACAGTATTTCCTTCTGATTCTGATTCATAAAATGATTATTCTGCACTTGAATCACTAGATTATCCAAATTAACTAAAACTTCTATTACTTAAATCAGCTTTAGAATCCATAGATTTAGTTCTTTTAAGTGCTTCTCTTTAAGTTAATTTTTTATATTTAATTCTAACATTTTTTTTTTAATATTCCTCCTTTAATGTATCATTTCTAATATTGGATCTATTAACTTCTCCAATTATTTACAATATTTCCTATTTCTATAATAATTTAAATTACTTCAGGTCTAGCTTATTCTATATCATCAAATATTAATTTTTAAAGTTGTTCAAATACTTCAACATCTTTCCCCCTTGGATAAATATGATAATAATTTGTTCTTTCATCTAAAAATTACATAGATGCTTTCTCTATTTTGCCTAACATTTTAATACTCCAAGCATATAATTTTTATTTCATAATTTCTGCTTTTTTTGCTCTATCATCAATACTATAAAATTATTTATATATTTCTGAATCTATTCCTTTCTTTGAAGGTTTAGCACTCATTTCCATAATTTAAACCTCATCTTTTAATTATTAAAATTTATTTCTACAATTAATAGTTATTCTACCTTAAATTTTCTTTTTTCCTTTTCAAATGATCAATTTTCTTTTCATTCTCTGCTATAGTTCCTAAAAGTTAACCATATGTAGATTCTTTTGTTAAAAACTTTTAAACTATCTCTTATGCTTCTGATATTCCTGTAGCAGTCTTAATTTCTTAAAATGCTGTTTCTACAACTTAAAATTTCTCCATTTCTTTCTCCATTTTATTTTTCAATAAAGAATGAACTACTTTATGAACTAATAATAATTTTCTCCATTTTTTCTATTAAAAACATTAAATTATTAAATACTTCACTTGCATCCTTATCATTACTGGCATGTTCTGCTATTTCTCTTTATTTTATCATTCTTTCATCTCTTTTCTCTTTTGCTATTAATTATGCCTTAATTTGTTTGTTATATTATGCTATTTGTCTTTGTCTATTATTCTTCTCAATTTCAATATTCTATTTTAATTAAATCTCTATAGACAAATACATTCATCATTTCATCACATAATTTTCTTGTCATTTAATTTAATTGCATTGATTCCCATTATTTTGCATCTGCTTAATTAGCTTCTGCTTTCTTCTTTTCAAATACATCTGCCATTTCATTTAATTTCTTTCTAAAACATAAAACATCATGCTTCAATCTATTAATAACATGTTTATAGGATTTTTCACTCATCTAACTTTCCTCGAATCTTTGTTTTGCCTACACATATTCCAACTTTGAACATTCCAATTCTTTTGTTAATTCTGATGTATTATTTAATAACTCTGACTCTTCCAAATTCAATTTTAATAGTTGATCCTATATTCTATAATCATTTTTCCTACTTTGAATTGAGATATCTCCTTTTCTTTATAGAGAGATGATGTATGGTAAGTATCAAATTCTTTCCTAAGTTCTCCTAATTTTAAATGTACTTCTTTTTCCTCCATTTAAAACAGTTATAACTAAAAATCATAAAGTTTCTTACACTTTCATTTTATTGTTATGATGCTCCTTAATAATTATTAAAAGAACCAAGAATAAAAGACAAGTCTTATTTTCTAGTATGAATCTCAAAATTACTTTATTGCTTTTTGAATAGATCTCATTGCAACAGCTTAAGTGCTGACAAATCGATCTATTTTCATCCTAGGAGATGTGCTTAATATTTAAGTTTCCTTAATTTCTAGTATAATATTGTACTTCTGTTGGTTACATAAGTAATAGTGTTCAAAATACTAAATATATTATATATAAAAATCAAATAAAATTAGAAAAAGTACTCTAAATTCATTATTTAAATTCAAAAAACATTTCACACTTCTTTTAATAATAAAATTAAGTTTTAATTAATGATGAATTTTTACACGTCAGTATGAAACACAATGAATTCATTACGATAGCTGAACTATTATTAACTATATATTTATATACATCAAATCCCAAAGAAAAATTTTCTTTTATTTTTATTTACAAATACAGCAAAGTGAGCTTATAGGTGAATATAAAATATTATACACATATAGAAATTATAATTAATGAATGAGTACATTATATAACATGTAAATCTCAATAATGTCTATGATTCATACATTTTAAGAATAATATAATTAAATTATGTTTAGAAAGGTGCCTATATATTGTTTTGGAAAGTATAAATTTAATGCCAACATCATAAATAAAGTTTCTACTTTACTTAAGATCAAACCTAGTTTAGCAAATGAAGACATCAATTTCTTCGGTGATGTTAGATTGTTGGACTCATAAAATAAATTGATTGGTGTTTTTGCATGTGAAGAGGCAAGAAAAAAAGCAGATAAATTGGGATAAGATTTAATTATGATAAATTAAGAAATTAAACCTGCTTTATGTAAAGTTTGTGATTACTCTGATGAACTTGCATCAAAATTCATGAATGATATTGTAAAGATTAAAGAATAATAAAAATTAAATGATCAACATTTTAAATTAAGTCATAGTATTACAATGCAAGATTTGAAATTGAAAGTTAATTAAGCTAAAGATTTAATGAAAAAATAAAATACTCTAAGAGTCACAATAATATGTCCAATTGAAACAGCTATTTAGGCTAAGAGCATTTTGTATACTGTAATATTAATCATTATTAGTTTAGTTAAAAGATTTGTCACAATCCTTTATGATACCCATAGGAGATATAAAAACTAAAGATTTTAAAGAAAAGGAATAATTTGATAAAAAGAAAGAATAATAAGAATAAGTCTAATTGGATATTGAATTTGAATCAATAGAAAAGACTGAATAACATTTAGATTTACCTTAAATAAAAATTGAGAGATTAATCAATTAATATTATTCTCGTAGTCTTTAGTATTAAATATTCTAATATTTAGGGAAAAAACAGAGGATGAATAAGACCTTGCTGATCTCTTTAAAGTACAATAGTCTGAAAAAGATAAGAAACTTGAGACATAAGATAGTAAGAAATCTAAGTTGGAGGAAATGATGGAAGATGATGAATTAGATTTCTAACTTTAAGATATTTCAACTAATACTTCATGTAAATTAATTAAATATAAGAATTAGCATGTTATTTAAAAGATGGTAATTTGTCAAAATATGTGAAGTTATATAAAATGATAGAGTGGTCTTAAGGAAGAAAATGATCGTAATCTACATGTTACATTAATTTTATTATTATTATGAATTACAACAACTTTTATAAACATAAATTAATGATAATTTTAACTGAATATATTAATGCAATATTAAGACTCAAGAAGAGTGATTAATCCTAATTATTAAGATTAACCAAAATAAGTAAGACCAAGATCTATTTCAAATACTACAAAGTTATTGGTTTGGGATCCTCAATAAATTAATTCCAAAACAGATATCACAACAAATTACTAAACTACTAGTAGTGAAGTAAGGCATGCTAAACAAAATTAAAGGAATGTATCCTCTATTTTAGGTGGAGATAATTTTGCTAAAGTTATAAATTAAAGACCATACTATGATTTTAATGAAATTATCAAAAACTAACATGTAGTACAATCTACTAAAGAAAAAATAATTAATCCTAATAAACTAATCCTACAAGATGAAAATCAGATTCTCTCTTCAAAAGAATCAAAGTCTTAGGGGAGACAATCTATTAAATAAATAAATTTCTCAAAAGGAGAAAAAGAAAACTATTCCAAAAATTAATAAGAATTAATACGATTAAATAAAACAGAGAATGTTAAAACTAGACCCAAAGGATAGAATGAATAACATATTTCTGAATTGAAAAGACGAATGATGAATTATCCTTAAAAATCATAGAGTCCATCCTAACACAATAATAATACTAAACCATGCATTTAAATGGAAGACAACAATATAACTATTATTTCTATGTAATTGAAAGATATAAAGGATGATGTATAAACATAAGAGATAAAATAGTTATGTCAGAATATAGGCTATCATATGGTCAAATTTGAAAAAGAATATGATAAAATAAATCATAAATAAAATGGAATAGGTTCAATATAAATTAGAGGTGTTAATACTGATTAAAAACTAGCTACTTTTTAAAGATCATTAAGTAGAAAAGGAATCAATATTGGAGAATAAAATCAAAAACTAAGAGATTTTGTCTCTAATAAATATCTTCTCAAAAGTAAAGAACATTCCTAGGCAGATAATTAATAATCCCATAATTAGGAAGAAAAACTTTTAAATAATTTTAAAAAATTTCAAAGTAGATAAAAAGGGGTATTCGTGTGATTATTTCATATTCTATATTAATATACCTTTTATAAATTTTGGCATTCCTTAAACTAATTTACAAAATCTTATACTTTTACAATATATATATAATAAAAAAAATGAGTTAAAATTTTTCAATTAGATTTATCTTAACAATTTCAAACAAAATAATATTATCTAATTTATATTCTGTCAAACATAAGATAGAGATATTACCACTATTAATGACAAAATAGACTTCTATTTGAAAAAATATGTTTGTTAATTATGACATAAATCGATTAGGAATTATTAAGCTACGAAATTAAAAAAAAAAAATCTATTTTTACATAATTATGCCAACATTAAAATTGATATCAATTAAGAAGAAAAAAAGATTTGAAATTATTACATCTCATTTTCTTTTAATTTTATTAATAAATATGAATTAGCAAAGTTTCGTATAAGTTACTCAGGAATATGATTAAGTGAAAAAAAGAGTCAATTCTTTGAAATTTTAATTAAGAGATATTGATTAAAAGAATTTTCTATTATAGACAAAATTAAAGGATCTGAGATAGATTTCTCCTAAATTCTAAAAATCGCCAATTACATAATTATAAGAATAACTTGGATTAGACAGAAAATAAATAATCGAGCATTTCAAGCCAATTGTAGAGAAAGAAGGAATTTATCTAAGAAATGAAAGGTTAAAAACAGAAACCTAATTATAATAATCTAAAATGTGGGAAATCTAACAGAAAAAAATGAGAGTAAAATTGATAGAAGAATTCAATTCAGAAGTAACCAAAAGAAGGGCTTAATATTAAGAAAAAAAAATAAAAGAAGTTAGGTAAAGATAATTATAAGAAATGGAAATGAATAGAGTAATTCTTAATAAAAAGCTGATTGAAATAAGTAAATTAAAAAAATAAGAAAAAGAATTAATAGAAGAAATACAAAGGTATAAATTAATTTATTAACTAAGTGCTAAAACCAAAGAATAACAACTATGCAATAAATTTTGTAATGCTTTGGTTTCAAATGATAATAGTGTCATTCTACCATCAATATAAAAATCGAATAGTAAATTTAGTCAGAATTCAGCCTCAAAATAGTAAAGAAAAGGTTACTCACCTATCTTGAAATCAAGCAAGGTTATAGAAAGACCATAAAGAAGTGAAACAAGAAATGAAAATTCAATAATAGAATATGAAGAAAATAGAAAATTATAATTAGAATCAAGAAAAAAATCACAATCTATAGATTAATTAAATATTGCTTGTTAAACTAGTTTTCTCATTACAGATCAAAATATAGAAAGCATTCAATATTCTTATAATTATGATTCTTATATGAGTAATTAAAAGGATAAAACGATGGAGAAGTCAATTACAAATATAACATCAGAAGAAACCAAAGATTAGCATGAAAAAAATAGATAAGTAAATAAAAAAATTTAATGACTATTTGAACTATTGTTATATAACTATTCATTAGAGAAATTAATAATATTTATTAGATAGATTAAATTTCTCATTAGAAATGAATTATTCAATTTATTATCCTTTAAATAGTGATGATTGTTTAAATTTCTGTTTAAAAAAGTGCCTCTTATCATTATTTTAACAATAAAATTATTTATCATATTTCCATTTAATAATGAATTTGAAAAAAAAAATTTAATTAATTAAAAAAGGATTCAATGGGCAAATAATATGCTAGAGAGCCAGCAGTTGCTAAAAAGTCCGCTAAGGCTAAGGCAAGTGATTTAAGAACTCACTTTAAGAATACTTATGAAGTAGCCAGAGCACTTAAAAGATAAACTCTTGCTTAAGCACTTAAATATTTACAAGATGTCTTATAGCATAAGAGATGTGTTCCATTTACCAGATTTAATGGAGGTGTAGGCAGAACAGCTTAAGCCAAAGAATTCGGCAGATCATAAGGTATAGATATATATAATATACATTATAGGTAGATGGCCTGAAAAGAGTGTAAGAATTGTTTTATCTCTCTTGTAAAATTTGGCTGCTAATGCTTAAGTCAAGAATTTGAGCAACGAAAAACTGATTATCAATCATGTCCAAGTCAATAGAGCTTAAAAAGGTAGACGTAGAACATACAGAGCACACGGAAGAATCAATCGTAAGTTATATGATTTATTTTAATAGCATTCTTATCATCTAATGCACATATTGAAATATGGGCTGCTGAAAGAGATGAAAATGTTAAGAAAGAAGCAAATAATAAAGTTGTTGCTCGTTAATCAAGAAAATAGGCTGCTAGATCTAAATTAGCCATTGGTGCATGAAGCTATATTAATAGTAGTATAATATTCTAATAATTAAATGTGTTAAGCCTTTTTTTATTTATATTTTGCTGTTAAAGTTGAAAAATAAATTAATGCTTCAAGTAGAATCAATTTTTGAATAAACTAAAATATTCATTAAAAGAAAATGGTATAGACATATTGACAGGAATTTCAGGTTCTTTATTTTATTTTTTCATAAACTTTTCTTATTCAATTAAACTAATTGTTACTTATTATGGAAGAACATTAGTTTTTTTTTATCTTGAACTAGTTTAATCTACTCTAATTATTTATGAGGGTGATTATTTTTAAATTGGATTTTCTTATTTTTTCTTAAAAGTTAGTATTGAATATTGTTATTATATTTTTTGATTAATTAACATTTATAACTAAGGAGATTGAGTTTACAATTTTTTAAATTATAAATCTAAATGATGTTCTTAATCATGTAAAGACTTTAATTATTAATTCAAGTCTTTGATTTCATTGTCTAATTTCTTTAATTTTAAGTCTTGTTATAATAATTAATTTTATTCTCTACTCATTTCTTCATATATTTGCGCAATTTAATCAATATTTCTTTTAATTTCTTCATTTGAGTACTTTTAAGTTTAATTGTGTTATTTAGAATTTTATTGTTATGATTAATCACTAAATGCTATGGTAAATAAATTTGAACCAAAATCTATTTTAATTTATTGTATTACTTAATGATTGTTCTCTTGAATTTTAAATGCTAGCATTTGGAGTAGTCTTTTTAGATGTTTCATCTATCTTAAAGCATAGAAATCCAATCAATTATTTCTGATTTTTCTTATCATAAATTGGAACTTTTTCTAATGAAAAGGCCTAGTAAGTATTTAAATCTAATTATGAGGTCCCTAAGTTTTAGATTTCAATTTTGATTTTATGATTAAAAACTTCAATAGCTTATGTCTGATAATTTGTTATCTTGTACTTAGTTAACAATTGCATATCTTTGATCTTAAGGTTTAGCAATGAAGGTATGTTTTTCACACACTATCACTTTTAGGGGTTCACTAACTAATGGGTAAAGGAACTCCAATCTTAAACAAGTAAATTAAATAACTCTCACTTTTTCACTAAACGGTGATAAACTCTTTCTATGATTCATAATATTAAATTATTAAAAATGAGATGTTAAAAAGAAAAATTACGTTGAATAATAAAATAATTTTATAGAGTTATTACTCATATAACTCAGCTCTTTTATTCAGAATCTAGAGCAGGGAAATCATTTGCATTCAAAGCATTTTGTTTTATAATTTATTTTGGTGTCTTTTATAATACTGCTTTAGGTATTAATTAATATTATTATTATTATTATTATTACTATTATTATTACTATTACTATTACTATTATTATTATTATTAATGATGTACATCACTTTTTTATACATATTACTAAGATTAATTAAAATAATATACATTATTTCCTCTATCTCTTTAACCTCCTCTTCTATCTTTATCTTTTCCTCCTCTCTCATTTCTTTCATTTCCTCTTTCATTCCTATCTCCCTTATCTCTATTGTGATATTTCTCTTCATGTCTATCATCATCTTTTTCATTTCTATAATATCCATAATTTCCTCTTGGTCTATTACCTCTTGCTCTAGACTTTTGATAAGATCTATCAAATTCTTTATCTTATTCTTCATATTAATCATTTCTTTTATATCCTTATTAATCATTGTCTTGTTATTCGATCTTCTTTGTCATCATTGAGCATTTTTTAGCATTTATTTATTTATGAAATTCATCCAAATAATCAACATTTTACATAATTACTGAATCAATTTGAAGTTCTGCCTTTTTTGACATCAAAAAATCAAAAATTCCTATTGCATAATTTTCAGTTTAAGATGTAACTATTAATTTTACATATGTTTTATCAGCTTAATAAATGTCTTCTTCATAAATTAATTCCTCTTTTGTAAAGCCAGATTTTTAAAGTGTTTCTTTAATGAGAGCTACATTCAAAACTGGTATTTTTATTTATATCCTTTTTCTCTCTGTTGGAAAATAAGGACGAATGATTAACATTTGATGATCAAAATTCCATAATTATTTGTTATATTTATTTAAAATCTTAAATATTAATATCTCTTTAATACATCTGTTAAAATTAAATGATATTTCTTGCGAGTATTCAATTCATTTTACACATATTAACTTTTAATTGAATTCTCTCTTTATACAACAACATATTATAGCATATACCAATCAGGTTTTAAAATATCAGTCTCAAATTTTCTAACAAGGTATTCATTGTTAAGTAAATTATCATATTTAAACAATTCAATCATCTAAATAAATTATACATGAATTAATTTACAGCTTTCTCTAGTCTCTAATATTGGTCTTCTGGCTAGCATGATATTATCATATTTAATACCTTATCGGATAAAATTTCAGCAGCAATCATCAGTTCACAACTATTGATGCAAATTATTTATCTAATTAATTTTCATCACAAAATAAGAAACTCAAACTAATTAACCTATAAAAAATACAAGAAAAATATTATAATATTTTGAATCAATCCCTTAAAATAACAAGATGTCATCTTTAAAACTAATCAAAATTATAATTACTATAACAAATTAAGTTATTTTTCTTTGTTTAGTAAAATTTGTGAAAATTATATATATTTATAAAATACATTATAGATCTTAATAAAATTATTGAAATAATCCATTTAATTAATTTATTTTATGAAAAAATAAATAATTATATACATTTATCTTTTATTAGTTTAAACATCTTTTTCTTGAAATTTTATGTAAATAAAATGTAGAACTATTGATAGCTTGTTTAATATTGTAATAATTATCAATCAAATCTAAAGGATTTAAATTGAAGAACTTGCACATAATTCTGCATATGGATATAGATCTTATGTCACATCTAATTTCATAGCCTAAAAATATTTAAAATTAATTTACAATTTGTTATTGCTTTTATTGATGAGTGAATATAATTTGCTATTAATTCATGTCAACTTCCATAATTATAATATCATTATTTGAATATGAGAACCCTTTAAATTAAAAGTTAATTTCAGCTTATAAATGAGATAATACTAATCCAGTGCTAAATATAAGGTATGCTCCATGACCTAATTTTTAAAATGAAATAGGAGAGTAATTTGATTAAATAATTTTATCTTTATGACAAACACCAACATATAGATTACATACACTACTGTGATTTACTTAAAAAACAAATCTTGAAATTCCTGCTTTAGGGATTACTGGTTCACACATTGCAAAACCCCATTCTGATCCTGTACAAACAACCTTTTTTCCATTCTCTTGAATTGCTAAGCCTTTAAATGTTAGCTGTTCAGAAAAGTGAAAGTTAGTTTGATTAGCAGGAAGTAAAATAATAGAATTTGAAGAAACACTATTTAACATTGAAATACAATTTGTTTGAATGGGACATATTGATAATGCACTACCTTTTATTTGACTTTCCCCTTTTTTAGCTAAATTTAGCTTCTAGTTGATTTCTTGGAGATTTGCAAGTAAAGGTGAATTTTATAATTATTATATGTTCATCAATTTAAAGACTTGTTTTTCTAATTCTGTTATATTAAATTCAGAAAAGATAATATTAGGATCGACATATAATTCTTTCATTTAGTCTATTAAATTTTATAAATCCTTCTAGATTGCTTAAGATGTAATTTAGATTTCTAAGTAGGTTTAATTTAACTAATTAGACCAAATTTTAAGTTATTCATAATTTTTTAAATCATTTACATGTGATGAATGATATTATGAAATACAGTGATGACAATATGGTTTTTTATTTGAACATTATGTATTAAGACATACTCCCAAAATTTGACTATTTTAATGACCATCATATAAACAATGTTAATGGAGGTGAGCCATAGGAGATAATTAAATTATTCATAGAAAATAATTGTTCTGGAATAAAAAACTCTTTAATTCTATCATTATTATAAATAAATTTTATTTAATAAAGAATTATATTATATTTTCGTAATTTAATAATTTTAATGCTTTTAACAAACACATCTTCTTTGAACGAAATTCAGGAAATTATTGCTTACAGTTAATCAAATCTATAAATAATGTTAAATATGGAATAATTTTTGAAATATTTGAGAGAGAATGATCCATTTGCAATTGACTTTCTCTTTAAGAATGTTCAGCAAATGTTTGATATTTTGTTTGTTGATTTTGATAAAGTTTAAATGGATTAATTTGCTCTTTATAGCGATTTAATTACTAAAATATTTGAGATAATAGATTCAAACATAGAGCCAATAATGAAATAAATAGAAGTGATATTTAGATATAATATTAGAATTATTGGGAAGTTATCTTTGATTTGAGATGGAGAAAAGTAACACCAGATATTTAATGGGGATTAGCTCATCGATTACTTTAATTGATAAAGGAAAGAGACAAAAAATTTGTGATTGATCAATTTTAACGACCTAACTTCCTTGTTTCTTTTTTACCTTCTCTTCAAATTGATAGTGTTGCATAAATTATTATAATCTTTTATGAGTTTGGATTTCATCAATAGCAATTAGATTTTTTAAAAGCAGGCTTTGCAATTTTTTAAGATTTTGAACCTTGTAAAGCAATAAATTTTACATATATTGTTCATGAAATAATGGTTAGAATATTAAATGATGCATAAATTGAGTATATAATAAAAGGAGAAGTTTAGAGAAAGATGCTTTCTATTATTATTAGAGATGATATTAATTCTATGTAAAATATAAATATATTTATAGCACTTAAAAAAATGCTGCTCATGTTTTATCATTGATTTCTTATCATTATTCAAAGAATATGTAAAATATCTAATTGTATGAGCCAGAGACTTTAGAAATTACTTAAAAATTTAGAAGTACAGAATTTTTTGAATATTTTGATGTAAAAATATTAGCTTAAATATTAAATTAATCACTATTGTATTAAACTAAAGTTGGTTTTTTGACCATTAAGCTTATTGAAGTACTAATAGATTATAATTATTTTAGATCATTGATAATTTAATCAGAATTACAGATATATAATTATGGGAAAAGATTGATAAAGCAAATATCATGGAATTGATATTGAGTTTAATGCATAAATTTTATAAATCAGATATTTTTATATCTTCAGTGAAAAAAATGATTACTTTCATTTATGATAGAGCATTAAATGATTATCATCCATATTGGGCTTCAAAATTAATATTTAAGAATAAAATTCACGAAAAACATCATAGATAAATAGACTATTAAATTTATTAATTTGAATAAAAGTTATCCCTTAAATTAATTAAAGATGGAGATTTCTTATTATACTTTGATGATTTGATATAAATAGAAGAAGAATTAATGATTTCTCATAATTGGAGAACATCAAAAGTGTAATAAATGAAATAAGAAGAAAGACATAAGAATAAATTAGGAGAAGATCCTAGTAGTCCTTAAATTGAAAACAATATTATTGTATCTGCTCTGGATGTTGATGATTTCAAATATTAAGAATAGGATAGAGTTAATGAATCAACAAATAATATTTTTATTAATTGTTAGGCTAACTCAAATCCAAAATAAAATTATTAAGAAATAACTAAAAATATATTCGAAACTATTCCAATTATAAGAGCAGATGTAGATTCAGAAACAAATTCAGAATCATCTCATAATGAAAATGAAATATAAAATGATAAAAATGTTATTTGGGAAAAAAATATTTAAGCAGGGCAATATCATTTTGAAGATGTTTTGGATCATATAGATTATAAATCAAATTAATCAAATAAATTATCTTATTCTGATTAATTAGATAAAATAATTAAAAATAGAAAACTATCAATTAATTCTTTGAATTAAGACAAATAATAAAATAAAGTTATGACTAATTCACTTAACAATGAATATGATACTTCTTTTCTTAAACATTAAAGAAGAAATTCTCTTTAACCAGTACCTGATATTAATAAATTCAATGAAAATTTTGAAGAATTTCATATTGATTTCTTAAATGATAGAAAAATACTCAAAACAGATAATAATTGCATATTATAAGTTGATGAAATTGATCTTGAAAAAGAATCTCCTTAAAAATTTATGCAGATTGTCTTTTAAAAATAAAATAAGGAGATTTTATTTAGAACAAAAATAGTAGAGTAAATAAATTAAAATACAGGAAAAAAGATTGAAAAAGTTGAAGATATAAAATTTAGATAAATATAATAAAAGGATCTTCATTTTTTAGATTTTCTAAACAATTAAGAATGATTATTTATAAACTAATTTTATTTAATTGTTTCTTAAATAATTCATTATATTTATATCTTCAATATTAATTACTTGATAAGATTATCTTTTATTATTATTTATATTTGAAAATGTATTCAAATAGACTATATTACTACTTTTTCAGTTAGATTTAAGTTGTTTCTTATGATTACTGAATTTTATATAAAGAAATAAATTTAAAAACAGTTTAGAGTATCTTTGTATCAAAACATTAAGAATTGGAGTAATTAGTCGGTTTTATTTTATATTATTAATGGTAAATGAGAAAAAATGTCATTTGATTTTATTATTGAATTAGATTTATTTTAAGAAGATGTAGTATTAATCAAAAAATAAATGATTTGTTTTCATTTCTATCATCATTAGTGTCCCATCTGTCAAGATTCCATTAAGAAGGTTAATGATAACAATCTTATTTGTTAGATTACAATATTAATGCTCGACGAGGAATATTTTTTCTAAAGGTGTGTGAAGTTTCTACAAATTTTTTATACTTGATTGATTTAGTTGGTCTTGGAGACAAATAAATCTTAGAAATAGTGGAATTTAGTGAAAATGAAGGCTATGTTTTAAACTTTGTGATTGAACAAGATTTGTCCTAATACTTCCTTCCAGAACTGCCATATAATTTATAAGTGGATTAATTATTAATCTTGAATCCTGGTACTAATTGATAAATAGTTGAAGTATCTGTAATTGTTTCTGCTTATCTTGAAGCCATCATAGGAGTTACTACATTCATAGGACTATATGTAATAGGTTATCTAACATATTAGCCTAATTTCAGTCTATGTTCACGTATGATGGGGACTTTTTGCATTAGTTTTGCTAGAATTTCTTTCTTGGATTCTGGTTTCATAATTATTAATATGTTTAAGCCAAAAAGTTAGAAAGAGCCATAATAACAGCCATTTTACTTAAGTTGGTTTGCTAATTAAGGGTATTTGCATGAGGAGTTAATTTAGCTTAGAGAAAATCTTAAACGAGGAGGAACAGCACCATAACAATCTCGAAAAGATAAATTACCTTTGAAAAGTCCATATCAGCAACCATTAATTACAGTTTCTCATTAGGTAACTAATCCATATACAAAAACAATGTGAGTAGCATTTTTCTTAAAGTAGATAGCCTCCTAAAAGTTACTAAAACAATATCTAATAGATCTCAAAAATCTATGCGGGTTCATTATAAGGAATGATGAAAAGAAGAAGTCTTGAGAAAAGGTATGATGATGCACCAAAGAGTGGAAGAGCTTCATTTAAACCATCTAGAACATTTACTCAATAAAACTCAAGAGCATTTCACTCATGCGAATAGTAGAGCAGACCATAGACATAATAATTAAATACTTTTGAACCTAAACTATAATGCGATAATATTGTTGCATATAATTATGAAGATCCATAACTCACTCCAAGAGACAATGATAATATTGAAATTATGGAAATTGATAATGTAGATATCGATTCAAATGAATCTAATGAAGCTGATAGCGAAGGAGATCATAATTTGTAACTGCCAACTTAACATTAAGAAGAGGGTCATATCTAAAAGAATAAATCATTTGTTTAAAAACAATTGGAGGAACCTATAATTAGTATGAGAAAAGCAACTGCCACTCTAAACAGACCATAAACATCTGAAGGAGCACGAAGAAGAAGATTTGCTAATTCAACCAATGAAGTTTAAGAAAACACAACTGAAAAAAAAGATTCTGAATTTCAGCTCATTGATTGTTATGCTAATATTATTTAAGAGGATGATTCAGAAAATTAAGAAATTATTCCAATCATTACTAATACTCTTAATTCACCTAAAGTATCAAATTTACATATATCTAGGATATACTCTCTATTCGTTCTGGATAAAGAAGAAAACCAACCGATCATGCAATTGATAATTTTGATAATAATGATCGCCCTCCATCTAGACATAAAACACCTCCTAAAGCTACTGGATTAGAATTACCTATTGAAGTTGTTGATTCTTTAGTCAATCATGAAATTCCTATTAAGAATATGTATGCATAAATTGATGATAAAGGTAAATATATTCTATATTTAATCTTAGTAAACAATAATTTTAATGATGATCTTGATGAATTTGATCTTGGTTTTTTTAAAATGAATAATAAAGTCAATCTTAACAAATTTCAATCCAAAGATGGATATCATACTGATGAAGCAAGTATATATATTATATAAATTTAGAAAAAACAAACATTAATTATAAACATCCTTAATCAGCTAATCTAAAATTTAATAATATAGGATTATAAAATTTATCCTATTCCCCATTAAATAATTAAATTACCTCAGCTCATGGATTTAGAACCAATGAGCCTTAGATAGTTATAAAATATAATAATAGCTCTTAACTTAATAAGAACCAACCTAAGTTGCCTGTAAAAGTCCCCTTCCAAACTTCATTAGGCTAAGACTTCTTGAATCTATTTGCCAATGATTGTACCGACTGAAATTATTAAAATAAACATTTATTATTTTCATACTAATATTAGTGTTAATTTATAAAAAATTTGTTTTACCTTAACAGAACTTTTACTTTTTTTTAGCAATCAATAATTTTTCAATTTAATTATAATTATATAATTTCTTCATTAAATGAAACTAACAAACAATCTTTAATATTATTATTACTTTTTTATTTTTATAAATGATTAATTTCTAAATACTTATTGTAGTAAAAGCTTTAATTATTTTATTTCCAATCTTTCTTTAAATTGATTAAAAAATCTTATTTATTTATAGAAACCATTTTATTATAGATACTACGTAATTTATTAAGAAATAAATAACTTAATCATTTAATCATAAAGAACATATTTAGACATTTTATTGATAAATATGTTAAAACTTAATAGCTATCTTATTAATTTAAAGATAGATTCACATTAAATTTGAATAATCAATATGTAAGAAGATATAAAATATTTAGAAATATCAAATTTTCTTCAAGCTTAAATACTGAGATGCCTAAAGATTATTTCTAAAATTTAGGTGAATAAAAATTATTAAATTGATATATAATTATGCTATTCAGATATTTATTCTCCAGAAGGAGAATAAACGAGAAAGCATGAATTAAGAAAATACAAGAAAGCAAGGTGCAGCCTAACTTTCTATTATCAATCAACAAGCTTTTTAGAGACAACAGGATTCCCATGAATTAAAATTTGAATGTGGAATTGTTTGCTGATGTGTTGTCCTTTTGGAAGCATTTTGACACCTGCGACCTTTTTAGTTATTTATTCTGTTTCGCTTGGGGGAGTTTTGGGAGAATCATTTTTTTTTTTATATAGTTTTTTTGATTTATTATATTGGGATATGTGTTCAGACCATATGGCCTTACCCCAGGCATAAGACATTTGTAACTCTTCACAAGCCTATAAATTGATATTTTGAATTAAATACTTCTTTAATTGGTTTCCTTTCATAAAGAATACGAGTCAAAAGCATTACTTTCTCTTTAGGACTAGGGCCAACTCTATTAGATTAAGTCTTCTTCATTTAAAGTTCAACTTAATATTTTATATCAGCAAGAATGGGCATGGGTTAATGAAATTGTAGTAAATAATAAAGCTTAATACCCTTCTATCAGTTTACTTTTATCTCTTGATAATGCGTCATACAATTTAATAATAATAAGCAATAGTATTATATGAAAAGTATGATTTCTTTGTCATTTTAGTTTCAATTATATATTAACCTCAAATTAACATAGTATGTATTCTATATAGTAGAGAAGAGCAAAAGAATTTAAAAATCATTTTCTAATGATGAATAAACTTCCTCAAATTTACCAAATACTTTCTTAATTTCTGATAGAAACTATATACTAAATTATGAATCTATAAAATATACATATAATTCTAATTGACAATAATTTGATTGATTAAAATTATTTTTAGGAACTTAAAATTCTTGAGTAGTAAGTATCTAACCAAATTATTACTTGAAATGAAGACTATCTTATTACAAAAAAGGAGATTGAGTGATTATGGTTTTCTAAACTAAGAAACTCATTAAAATTAAATTATTGAATTATTAACAAATTATTTTATTAGTAAAAATTAGTAATTATAATAGTATCGTTAAAATTAATAAATGTAGAATCAATAATAAAATAATTATTCATCAAAAATTGTATTTTAAAAAGATATAATTGATAAATGACTATAAACTATTCGTTAATAATTAAGTTCTTAATATTGTTTGCATTTTTATTAGTGATAATTTATATATTTATTGGAGTCTCCATTATAAATTTATTCATTAAATATTCAAACGAACCCAACCTAAAATGACGCCTTAAGATGTAATTTCAGTATCTCTACATTTCCAATCCTCTTTTGTTGGGAATATTTATCTATTGTTAGATATTATTATTTCTTTATTTTTTCCTTTAACAAGTTTTAATGCTCTTGAAAAGCTTCTTGCATCCCATGATTAATCATAATTTTATTCTGCTATCAAAACATGAGGATAATTGGATTCAATTTCAACAGCAATAACAACAGCAACATGTCCATAAGGAAATTCACCTTCATCTTTTTACCAAATCAATAAATCACCAAATTTTGGAGTATTGATATCTCCATTCTGAAATTTCTTCATTTATAAGGTTTTTTTAGTATCAAAATTATATGCTTCTTAAAGATTAAATATTTATTCAGCATAATTAACAGATCCAAAAGTTGTATTATAATTTTAGATCCAAAATCGTCTGGCAAATTATACACATTAATAACTTTAATAAATAAAATATTCTTACTTTTATCCAACATATATTTCTTCTCCAAAATTTATTTTTGAGTCTTTTAAATATTCATCTTTATTTGTATCTAACACATTAGCATCTCCAAAATTAGAATAGGCAGGTACTTGTATAGCTTCACCAACTTTGGTTCCCCATTCTGGTTTTCTTTGAAACCCTTAATATAAATAATATAAAAATACATAAATTTCTAGGAATTTCACAAGGTGTACAATAACCTTAATAACAGAAATCATCACCCTCACAATCTTACAATGTACATTAAATTATAGGTTTTACTACTACTTCAGATAAACTAAATAAGATAAGCTAAAATAAAATAAACACTATATATTTCATTTATAATATATAAATTATCATTTTAGATAATAAACTTCTATACATAAACATTTGAATCTATTTTAAGTTTTCTAATCTGTAAACAATGGATTATCATAAGTATCACTTTAATAAGTAAATCCTCTATTCAACTCTGAATCAATTTAAAATGCAGGTCCATTTCTAAGGATTTAATAATCTACTACTTGCCACTTCCAAATGCTAAATAATCTGGAGCACACATCATATAATCTTTATTTCCTGAAGTTGGATTATATTTTCTCTCTTCTGGTTATAGAGTGAATAGGAAAGTTTCACTTGAACCAATATACTTATTTTTTACAGCAAACATCTTATCACAAAATGCACCAAATATCTATTAAAATAATATAAAATAAATACAATATTTTAATTAGTTTAGATTACTATAAGAACTGGATAATCAGTGAAATCTTAACATTTAAAATATAATTATTTTAATGAATGTCCATCAGTCTTTGAGGCAAATATTAAAAATGGATCACTTAATTTGTACATATTCGACATCCAATCCCATAATATTTCAAACTAGCTAAATATCATATAACTATATATGCCTATTCATTAGAAATTAAATCAGATGCCTGAGATGGAATAGGTAAATAACATGGTTAATTTTTAGTATATGATACTGTTGTCCTCATAAAAGATTTGACTTGTTCACTTTCACTTAAACTTAATTTAAATGCTTGTTTAATAATATTGTTTTATTCTTCTATATTTAAATTCATTATTTTCTTTCTTAAAATTGATTTAAAATTAGAGCTTGATTTGCATGACTTTATATCATCTGAAACATATCTTAAAATAGAATAAAACATTCTAAAATATATCTTAATTCCTTCATTTAAATAAATAATGAATATTTTTAAAACAGCAGAAAATGGTAAGTAAGTTAACATTAAACTTATAGACATCTCTTAAAAAAATTCAAAAGAATCAAAATGAATATTTTACATCAATTAATAAATATTACTAAATGTTTTACTTCTTCTACTCACAGTTTCATAAAATGTAGTAGCTGTTCTAATAATAAATTTAATAATAATTACTCTTTAAAATGTTCTTCATTCATTATTAAATGCCATCTTAATTATTATTTTGTTTAATTATCATTCAAACTTTATTATGAATCTTTTATCATAAATTACAATACACAATAAGTCTAAGCTTCACTTAAAAATATTAATAGTAAAACTATAATATGCAGTAACATTGGATTATATTCCAAAAAATGATTTAAATTATTCACTATCCAAAGTAAACGAATTAATGCTTCCATTCCTTATTAATTTAATATCTAAACTTTAAGTATTAGTTAAATTTTTTTTTCACTTTCATTTAAGTAATTAAATTCTTCATCATCATCTTCATTTGTATTACAACCAAAAAGAGGTACATTTTTAAAGGTTTTAGGAATTTATTTGTTTTTAAATACAACCTTTAAAGCTGATAAATATTCTGCTTCACAATCAACATAAGTTAATCTAAAAGTATCTAATATTATTTTTTTAGCCAAAGAACATGGAACACCTCTATTTATTACTGAATTTCAATACTTTCTAAATAAATATTGCCATTTCTTATTTAAAACTTTTCCTTTTTACCTAACTAATTCTCCATGCCTTAAATTTATTGTATCAGCCTTTGACCAAAACTTTTCCATTTATGATTAATCCTCCTTATAACCTGGATAAATAAAGATGAATTTTTATGGTTCGAATTATGGCTTATCAACTCCAAACCAATCTTAACTAAAAAAATATTAATAATCTTGGTTTAAGTTCAACAAATGCCCTTCTTATAACAGAGATTTAGGTGGCTCAACCTTTTTTTCACAACATTAAGAACTTAAAAATTATCCCATTCCTCTAATGTTGAATTCAAATAAAAATTTATATTTCAATATACAAATTCTAATTTTTATTAATAAGAATGAATATATATATATATACAGATATGAACTTATAATTTAAAATTCATTTACTTTTGCTACTTATTATTTAATCTTTACTTTTATTGAGAACATAATATTTTATTAAATAGACTATAATACAAGGGTTACATTTCCTTTTATTCCTATAAGAAGAACTTAATTCAAAATATTAAATGATTTATAATATAATATTAAGATCAATGTGAAAATACACTTTTTCTAGAAAATTAGATTTTATTTCATTTTTAAGCAATAAAATTTATAAATAAAATTATCAAAAGACCTTTCATTTGAAAAGTTTTTTGGGAAGATGATATGACTTTCCTTTCACTTATTTTAGTTATTTTTCTAACAAAGAGACTTATTTTTAATTAGCCTCTTTAAGAAACTATATTTCTTAATTCAATCTCTTTATTGTCATTTCTAGTTCTTTTTTATCATCTTTATACATCTAAAGCATTTCATTTTATTAACTTATCAATTTTTCTAGTTTTTCATTTTAGGCTAATAATTTAAAGGTTGCTTCAATAAATTATTATTGTTTTTTATCATCTTTTTCATTATTTTCTGTTTATATTCTCATTGATGGAGAACTACATTTAAAATTCTATTAGGTATCTCTCATGCTCATACTTGAATTAACAGGTTATGTTATTATAAATGAATGTTAATTGGATATATATTTAGGACTGCTAAATGATTAATTGATTGATAAATTAGTTTATTAGGTTAATATCTAACAACTTTCATTTAAGAAAGATTTTTAATTGGATTTTGCAGTACTAAGTCTTGCAGCAATCAAATGCAAGTTCTATATATGATTATTTTATTGTCTCATAAAATTAAATAAAATTTATATTTTTAAGAGAGACGATTATTTGATTTTCAAACTAAGTTCAAATCATAAAATTTTCCAAATTGAAATACATATAGAATTAATATATATTAAATACATTTGTTTTTTGATTTATTTCATCTACGCTTCTAGATTTAACTTATACTTTTACTCTAAAATCTTTTAATAATTTTACTATTAATATTAATCAATAGATTTGAAAATTTATGAATTTCTAGTTAAGATACTTCAATTGTATATCTTATTATTATAAATATGTAATATATTTATAAAACCTATATGAATATGATTATCATCACATTTGAATATTTTAAACCTTTTATATATTCAATATTAGATTATTTATTTATTATTAAAATATGATGAAACCATTTACTTTATTATATCACTTATAAAACACTTAATCATCTAATATATATTAGTAATTTTAAGAAATCTTGTAATATTATTTATTTATAAAAAAATATAAAATGAAAGCAACAGCATAAGACCTAGATATCATAAGACTTTTGAGTAGTAAAGAGTGGTAGGCTGCTTATAAAAATTTTGTTTACTAATTTTCATCTCAATTTTCAGAAAATTAGTAGAATTTGAATTAGTAATAGGAGCTGCATAAAGTAAATCATTTTTTATCAATATCTATAGAAATTTCAAGAATCTTTATAGCCAATTGCAAATAAGTTTATATCAAATGAGTCTTAGGAAAAATATAAGAAAGTATTAGATAATAAAACTATTGTAGAATATTAAAGAATTATTGTAAAATTATGCTTAAGACACCATCATCTAATTTATTTGTTTATTTGATTTTCGTTTATTTCAAACTGAAATGATTTCACAAAACTAACTCCTAGATTTGATTGCTTTAGAATTGATTAGAAAGGAAGCATAGTAAGATTAATAAGAAAGCAGTTCAGATGATGAGGAAGCTGAGAAGGAATACTTTGAAAAATCAAGGGAATAAACAAAATAATAAATAGAAGGAACTGTGAATGTTGAAGAAGAGAAGCAAAAATTGGAGAAAACAATAAGAGATACAATTGCAAATTTCAATTTACCAGAAGTTATAAAGTAACCCGATATTGAAGTTGATTAATATGGATTTAATTAAGGAGTAACAGAAAAAGAAGATGATATTTTGAAAAAGAGTATTAAATTAAGAACTCTAAAATTAAAATAAACAATTCCAAAGAAAGAGATAAGATTAACTGCTGAATAAATGAAAAAGAGAAGATTATAAATAGAATTGGTTAAAAAGGCAATTAATGAATAATGAATTTATAAGTTTTACAAATAATAATGGAAAACATAATATTTATTAATATTATAATCTATAAATAATTTTGGCTTATTTTATTATGGAATGAAATAAATTAATAAGAGAGGGAATCAATTCTTTATAATTTCATTAATCTTTTATTTCTCTTTTATATAAAGTTTAAACATTTGAATATTCATTCTTATTTTTATCACTACTTACATACTATTATTCATAAAAACTATAATAAATTTGAATTTTTACACTGAAATAACTTATGGAGAAGAAGTTTACATAACTTTATAATCATTTTTTGGGAATGAATTTCCATCATCACATCCAAAACCAGAATATATTGGGAATAACCATAAAATTTTATTTTATCCAAATATCTAGACAATATTAGTATGTGGATCAATATCGTAGATATTAAATGATATTTAATTATTCTTACTAATTATGTCTTCTAATGTTGTCTAATTTTTTTATAATAAATTTAAGTGATATTTAAGAAAACCAATAAGCAAAACTACTAAAACATAATTACCAATACAAATCAAAGCATAAATAATATTTAAATATGAAAATTGAAATGAAAGCAAATATGTTTTAGTTGTGCTTATTACTGTTATAAAGTTAAATAACAATGCGTAAAATAATAGTAATATGAATTACTTTCTGTTTTAATAACCTACACATGTATTTATCCATGGACAATGATGATCCATTTATAATACACAACGATTACAAACTGAACAATGCTAAAATATATTTTTGAAATTATACATGACAACGTTCAGGTTTTTAACGTCTACATAATTGACAGAATCCTTTCTTTGAGAATGGAGATTAATTATATTCATCTACTCTATCTTAATCTGTCAATTTACATTTTTGGTCTTCCTGGATCAATGATTAAAATGACTATAAAACACCAGAAAAGCATTATGAAAACGATATTCAAAGTAATCATATGTATAGTCAATATTATGTTTAATTCTTCTCTTATCCATATATTACAATTGATCCAATAATGTAAAGAATAAACTATAGCTGCTATTACTACAACCAATTTTCTTTCAATAATTTCTAATTTCTAACTCATAATTATTTTAATGTATATTTTTAATAAATTCATCAATCATACATCACATACCAATTCAAATACATCAAACATTAATTCAAATGATAAATTAAATTTTACTCCTTTCTATAAATGAAAAGGTGCACTAACAACTTATTTCTCACTTAATCGTAACCATGTCCCATTTTTACTCTCCAAATCATTTATCATTAATTTAACTGATCCAGCTTTAAAATTATAATCATAATATATTTCCATATGTTTTGCACTCATTAATCTATTACATCTAAAATTCTTTATTATTTAATTTACTAAGAATGCATAAATGTAAAATTATTTTTAGATCTTTCTCTTCCTATTAAGAATTTATCACCTCTTTTTAATTATATTTATTTGTGTTTTGCTGTTCCTTCATGCTCATATCTCACTTCCAAAAATCCTGTCTCAGTATTAATATCAATTATTTTAAATCCAAATCTATTTCCTATATAGACAGACATATCTTTTTCAATTACAAAATTATGGTTTATTTTTATAAAAGTACCACCTTTTGATCCTACATCAACTAGGTAAAATGCTTCTGTCAACTTATTTATAAATATTACTATCTTTATAATATATTTAGCAATGTTTGCTACTAATTTTAGAATGATCTGTAAAGGCAAATGTGCAATCTTCATTCCTACCAAAACTCGCCCCTTAAATATTAATAACTTTTAACTAATTCTTAAAAATCATATTTACTTTTTATTATTCATCACATTTCAATTTTAAATGAGTTTATTATTAAAGTTAAAATAAATCAAATAATGGTTGAAGAGTTATTTATTCAATCCTTTTTAATATTTATTCTTTGATTTATCTCTATTATTAAATCTAAAAAATAATATTTTAATAAGTACTCTACTCGTTAATTAACTTATTATTCTATAATTTATTGTATTTATATTGATTTTTCTAACATTGTTGATTATTACATTATTTATGATTATTATAACATTGTTGATTATTACATCATTTATGATTATTATAATATTGTAGATTATTACATCATTTATGATTATTACATCATAACAGATTATTACATAATAGTTGGTTATTAAATAATAACAGATTGCTACAATATTGTAGATTATGACATAATTGTAGCTTAACCTAAAATAACAGATTCACCCATATCTTATTATTATTATTATTATTATTATGATTATTATTATTATTATTATTATTATTATTATTATTATTATTATTATTATTATTATTAAATTTAATCATTAAGTTCTTATTAATCTTCTTCTTAATTTGATAATTATTGTGACTATTCTTCTTATGATTGATTTACATTACTCCCTGATAATATTTCTTCATCAATTTAAACATGAGTTTCTGTGTTTTATCTATCCCTTTCCTATTCTTATTTATTGCTATCATTATCTGGTCTTACATATATTATAATAATAAAATACATCAAAAATGAACTATATTTATTAACACTATCTTCAATATTGAATTAATTAACAGTTTAATTTTTAAATTTAATCCAATTTGTATCTCTTTAAACATTAGGTGAAATTTAGGCTGAATGAGTAACATTAGGTTGACTAAATTATTTTTTAATCTATTCTAAACTTTGATCTGTCACCATAATCTTAATTTCCAATTAATCTAAAGTTTCTGTTTTATTTCTATTTTTCATTTATGATTCAACACTTCCATATGATTTTGATGATCTTTTGAATTATTCAGTAAGTGTTGATCTTCTATTTGCTTAACCTACATGTGTATCTTTATTAAAATAATATAAAGATATCCATCTGATTTAACTTACTTTTCTCTATCCCAAATGTTTATATTCTGTATATGATTCTTAATTTTTGTAAGCAGCTAAACTTAATATTTATAATAAATAATGTAATAAATGAAGAAACTAATTTATTTAATGATATTTGCTTGCTGTCTACATAGTATTTCTAACCATACTTTGACGATTTTAAAATAGTAAATTTTATGATTTTTGTGAATAGTTTTATTAACTCATTAACAAACATTTTAAAAATAAATTATCTCCCTTAAAAGGTGGATTGACTAATATAAGTAAAACAAATCCATCTATTTAATTTTAAAATAACAATTAATAATAATCTTGGAATTTAATTACATGCAATAAAACTTTAATATCATCCATATCCCAAAATAAAGGTTATTAATCATAAGATGGTAGATGTGAAATAGATTTTAATAATAAATTTATTATATCTGAACTTATATACATAGAGCTTCTTCTGTTTTGATTATGAATATTAGAGAGTTCATATATACTTTTAATATATATCTCTATTTCACTTAATAAATTGCTTAATATTTGACATGCACAACTGATTTCAGCTGTACAACTCTTACATTTAGATGAAGAAAAGAATTTAGATCCATAGTGTTTCTTAAATATTTCTCTATAATGTTGATATTTTAAAACTATAAGTGACCATATTTTTAATTTCTAAATCTAATAATATAGATTAATATCTATTGAATGACTAATCAATTTATAAATGCTCTAAGCATTACATAATTCCAATATTTCTTCATACTATCTTGTACAGGCATCTAACAAAGGTATTTATAGTTTATTTGGATAAATATGTGTCTCTTAATTATTGTAAGATCTCTATTTTGGTGCAGTTTAGATCTATATATTAATGAAGTCATTTACAGTAATAATTGATACAGCCCATTATAATCCAACAGATTCACAAAAGGAATGTATTTATTATTCATTCCATCTATAAGGTGAAGACTTAAATTTAGAAAGAAGCCATGAAACGATATTGTCTAATTATCTAATATTCATAATAATAATAATAAATATAATCAATTATTCCAATTATTATTTTATTCTTTGTACAATTTTTAAAACTATTCATTATAATTCCTAATTAATTATTAAAGATAATTATTAAGCCAATTAGCAAATCTCGTAATATCTTTCTAAAAGTTTGATTCTAAGATTTTAAGTACTTTTTAGTTCTCTCTAATTTAATCTTTATATTAAATTTTTTCTTAGGTAAATAATTGATAATACCATTAAAAGTTTCAATTTGATTATGTATTTTGATTTATTATTAAATCTAATAAATCAAATCAGATCGTCTTCTAATTATGCCTATAGCTTCATCTAAATCTAGGATACAGAGCTATTTAAAAGAATATATGTACCTCCAATTTGAATATTACACTCAATTTAATCTCATTAAAGATAGTCTCATTGAGGTAATAACTTGCTTCAGTTTTACTAATATCTTTTTCTAATTATGGTAATTCAAGTTCTTTCATAGAACTTATAACTTTTTTAGTATCCTCGTTTTGCTCTAATTTAATATTAACTATATTTTAGTAGTATTCAAAAATTCTTTTCACTTTCTATTATTCTTCAATTAATAACTAAATAATTAAATTTTCAATACATCTTCCCAACTTTCAATGAATTCTTTTATATCTTAAGGAATGTCTAAATCAGGATATTGCAATTATTTTTGAGAATTCTATTATCCAGTGTATATAAAACTGCTTAAGTAATTAAAAGATCCTTTTGCAAGATCATAAGCCTTTGATCCAGCATTTGCAATAGCTGATCCTAATTGATGAACATATGTTTGATATTAAGACAATTCTAAGAGTTCCTATTAAATAATCTATAAAACTATTAATTATTTATACCTCTTAAGATGCTGAAAGAAATAATTGAAATTTACTACTAACTTATAATTAAGGATGATCTTTGATTTTATTTAAAAATTCTTCTAATTGCTGAAATTATAATATATATAAAATACTCTATATCGTTTCTCTCTCACTATTTAAGTATGTTCAGTTATATTAATTTTTGCTAAAACTGTTTTTGGTGGAATGGCAGGAATGAGTAATCCTGGAAACTCTCGTTTTAATGCTGCATTTAGCCATTCAAAATGAGTGTATTTCCTATGAACTGTCTTAGGAGGTTCTTCATCAACTTAACTCCAAACCACATATGAAATATTTTCATAATATTATGTATAACTCTATTAGACCAATTCAGTAAGATGGAAGATGATTTTATGAATTTAGGGTTTCTAATCAACTTCACCTTTAAGTAAAGGGAGTGATGGGTATATAATTTAAGACACTTATTCCTATTATCCTAGATATAATTCTTATGTGTCTAACTTTGGTTCATCATAATCAATTGGTATATCTATTAATTCATTGTCCATTATTATAAAATGAAATAATAAAATTCACTCCCTATAATTGAAACAAAGTTCATTGGAGATACACTTAGGTAATCATTTACTTTATAATAATAGATTTCTGAAAACAACGGCCTAAAGAAATAATTACTTAAAGTCACTAGTCAAATAAAAAGAAAAACAAAAATTAAAGGATGAGAGATTATTATTACAATCTAAATAAAAAATTCTCCAACATACTAAAAAGAAATTTCTCTCACTTCTCAAAAGCAGAAATAGTGAATTATCATTCTTGAAGTTTCGACCTATTCAAAAGCCTATTAATCTATTAAGAATGTGTGCAGAATTAAAAATTTCAGACAGAATTTCTAAATCTGTTGAATTTGATGAAGTAATCGAATCTAAACCTTCTAGTAAATCAAATAGAACTAAACGTAGTTCATCTTAAATATTTGATCATTCAGTACATGTGAACTAATTTTAAGATGAAAGTACTTCAAAATAAAGAGGAGCATTATAATTCCTCTCTTCACAACAATAAATTAAAATTAATGTTCCTACATAATTAAAAGTAGAAAGAAAATCAAATCCTACATCTGTTCACACTCATTCACTTAGATAATAAATTAATTTAAGAAGATTGCCTTTAAATTAATTAGAGTCAAAACTTGAACACCTTAAATCTCATTCTTAAGATTCAAATCTTAAAACAGGAATTCTATGTAGAGTTCCAAGTTAAATGTTAAAAAATATAATTTATATTTTAGATTAACACGAAATGGAATACTCTTGCCTACATAAAAAGATTAATTAAAAATAATAAAAAGAAAAGAATGTTTGGATGATGATAATTCATCATTAGCTTCTCATACAGAATTAAAATTAGACTCTATCTACAATAATTCGAAGCATCTCAAACAAGATCATAAAAATTATGAACATAAAAAAGAAGAATATTAATAAGAATCTATAAAATTATTTTACAAGAAAATATATTGTAAAATATGAAAATTTATTTTATAAAGAAAGTCTACTTAGTTTTGAATAATCTTAACTTTAAATCCACATCTATTATATATAGAGTTTGAATCTAACTATCTAAAATTCTTTCAACCAAATTGTTTCATAATATTTATTATGAGGTATTTTCATATATACTCATTAATATTATTCTATTTAGGTATATTTTGATTAAAGAATAATATCTAAAGTATGTGTTATATATGAAATTTAATAAAATTTATTTCATTTTTACCCATATTTGAAGCTTAAATTAAGCAATATTAATGGTGAACATATCTTGTTAATAATAACAATCAAATAAATAAGTCTTGTAAAACTAATATTATATTAGTAAGGGGAACATAAAATTCTCCAAAAATATATATTTAGTAAATTAAGAAATATAAAGAGAAAAAACTAATCAATTTAAAATTAAAAAAAATATGTAAAGAACAAATAAATGTAGAATTTATATTATAAAAATACTTTGCTTTTAAATAATCATCCAATTATAAAAACTAACAATATTAAAATCATAATTTCCTTACTAAGATAATATAAAATAATAATGGTTAAAGTAAACTAAACCAGAAAATTGTACCTATTAATTATTCATCATTCAAAATGAATTAAACTATAATATATAACAAATGATATTGCATAATTTAAGGCTTAGGAAATTCGAAGTAATAGAATCAATTAATTCTTAATAGATTCTTTTGTTTTTTTATTTATTTTAAATGTATCCTGCATTAGTTTTGGAAATTCTATAGAATAAAATGTGAATATCTATTTTAGAATATAATATATTATTAAAGATGATTTAAACTTTTGCATTATATAAGAAAATAGGAATGCAGTTATGATAGATTTATTGACAATTATTAAATTATTAATAGTTTTATTAGATTATCAATCTTCTTCTGCATGGGCTACTTATTGTAACACTCCATAAACATAGAAATATCGATTAAAGCATTAATAAAACATTTCTTTTACATTATTTTAATTGTATTCTACTTTTTTCTTTTGATTAAGAATATCATTCTTCTCTTTTTAATCTTTTGCTCTATCTGCTAAACCTTATAAATATTCTGGTTCATATAATCTATTAAAATATGCATCATCATTAATAACAGCTTTTGCACAAACTCTAAACATCTTATCTTAGAAGTATTAATTTTAAAGTTCATCAATTTCTTATTCGTTTGGCTCGTCCATAATTAATTTTTAAATATTAATATAGATCTAGTCATTTATTATAATTTTATATCATTTTAATGCTATTGTCAAGAATAAGAACATTCAAAAATTTAACCACAACTCTTAAGCCTTTATAAAATAATAGATACTACAAATTCTCGAATGCTGAAGCTAGTAAGAATGCTAAATTTGACAGAAATGCTCATTTCGAAGATCCAGTCAATGATTTGGTAGATCCATCAAAAAGATGGTTATTAGGAGGATGGTTACTTCTATGTGCAGGTGGAGTTTATTTTATGGTTTTGTTAGGAGGTTACACTAGACTTACTCATTCAGGTAAGTATTTATTGAAATACTATTTTAGGATTATCAATGACAAAATGGAAACCCATAGAATATATATATCCAAGAAATCAAGCTGATTGGGAGAAGGAATTTGATCATTACAAACAATTTCCAGAATATTAACATACTCCTATAGATTTAGACAAATTTAAGAAAATCTTTATAGTTGAATATTTACATAGAGTATCTGGATCAACTTTAGGAGCTATTTATGTGTTACCCTTAGCTGCATTTACAGCTATGAAATGGATTAAACCATAATATGCTAAAAGACTAGGTGCCATAGGAGGACTTGGATTATTATAAGGTTTAATTGGATGGTGGATGGTCAAATCAGGATTAGATCGTCCTAAACCTGAATATTAACAAAAACCAAGAGTATCAACTTATAGACTTACTGTACATTTATCTATGGCTTTATCATTATATTCTCTTTTAATTTGGAATGCTGCTACTCTTTTTAGAAAACCTTAACATTTATAAATAACTCCAGAAAATTATAAAACTCATCTTAAATTTAGAGGACTTGGAATTGGATTGATTCATTTAGTAGCTATCAATTTATTAACTGGAGCAGCTATGGCAGGTATAGATGCAGGAAAAGTATTTAATACATGGCCTACTATGAATGGATAAATTATACCAGCAAATTTATTCAAGACATCACCTTTTTATAAGAACTTTTTTGAAAATGTTGTGATGTAATAATATTTATTAATAAATAAGGGTATAATTCAATCATAGAAATGCTGCATATTTAACATATGGTTTTGGATCATATATTACTTATCTCGCATATAAGAGCAATCTACCAAAACAAGCTAGGTACATTTGTTATGCTCTTTATGGAGTTTTAAATTATTAATTACTTACAGGAATTGTAGCATTGCTCAATTAAGTAAGTATATTTATTACACTAGGTTTAAGTTCATTCAGGAAGTATTCATCAATTCAATGCTTTAAATGTTCTTACAGCAAGTCTTTTACTATGTCATAGTGTTAGAAGACCAAGTGTGCCTTATAGAAATTATTTAAAGTAATTTGTTTGATATATACAAATGGGCTAAGATTATATAATTTTAATTCTAGTATTAATTTAATTAAGAAATAAATGAATAATCAGTTTTTAATAAAAATAATACTTGTTGCTATGCTTATAAAAGAGATCATAATACAACTTTTAAGAGAAAGCTCTTTAAACATTTTTTCAAATGAATTTCCTAAGACTTGTAACCAAAGTTATTGTGTTCTAACTTTCATTTCAATATTTTAGTTGGTACAGATTTCTAATTCTTTACATCTTAAAGACATAGATTCTATTAAGTAATTTTCTGAACATTGATTTTATTCATATTCTGCAGCACAATTTTTCATTTCAATTAAAACCTAAGTTTTTGAAATATCAATGTGCGCTTAAATATCTTTATAAGTCTCATAAGCCATCAAAAGAAAACATATTAGAAATAAACTTTTTAATATAGCAATTGCCCATATTCCTATAAAATCTCCTATAGTCATAGGAGTTAATTTGATTGATTTTTCTAAAGAGCCATCATCATGTTTTCTTTCAGATAATTCCATTTTCATATGGTTCTTATTGATTCTTCTCATAAACTAACTAACTGTTTAATATTACTTCTGATTTTAAATCCATCAGAGACTCTTATTCTGAAAATCGTGTAATTTAGTTTTCACTTGACATTTGGTTTGATCAAATAGAAATTAATTATAATATTTATACATTATATTTTTGTACTTATAATTTATATAAGCTCAAATTACTTCTTATTATTAACCTTATTGTTCTTCTTAAGGTTAATTATTATCCTAATTTTAATTTTCTTATTATTAAACTTATTCTACTTTTTATTCTTAACTCTAAAATTAATTTTATTCCTCCTAATGTTACTATTCAACTTACTATTCAACTTCTTATACATTTTTTGTATTTTCTTCATTATTTTCTTATTATTATTATTATTCATTTTATTCTGAATGTGTTTCCTATTATTATTCATTTTAATCTGAATGATTTTCTTTTGATGATTTTTCAGCTGAATTTGGTTCTTAATTAACTTAAGAAGCTTATTATTATTATTAAAATTGTTCATCAGTTTATTATTAATCTCCAGTTTGACCAGCTGTTTATTTTCCTTTTTTTACTATTTTCTTATCATCTTATTTTGGTTCTACCTTTTTGTCATTTGGTTTAGTTTGATTTTTTGATTAACCATTACCTTTCTAATCTTAAGGTTTATCTGTCTTTTTGGCAATTTCTTTTGGCTTTTCTGTTTTCTCTGGATGAACAGGAGGATTTTATTTAGTTTATTTTGGCTTCTCTACTTTTTTTTCATCTTTTTGAGGTTAGGTTTGCTTTTGAGGTTGTTCTTATATATATTATTAACTTGTTACCTTAACCATGAGGTTTAGGATCTTTATGATCTTTTGTATCTTTCTATTCAGGTTATTTTTAAGGTTTTGGTTTAGGTTATGGGGGTTGTTATTGTTATTATTGTTATACTTATGGTTTTGGTTATTTTTATGTAGAATCTCTAGGGGATTTTAATGTTACTATATAATAATATATTATAAATACCTTTATCCACCTCAGTTGTAGCTGTCTTATCTACAATAACACTTTAACTCAAAGATTTTTGACCAGTTTAAGGTCTAGTCTCTTTGACTTTATTTTAATCATTCTTTTAGACAACACCAGTTGAAGGACGATCAGGTTTTTTGTTTTCTAAAAAAATTGAATTTATAATAATATTGTTTACCATGATTTCCATTATTATCTTTCTTTTATTCTTGCTTTATTTATTCTAATAATATTTATTATTAATTGTACTTTTCTCTTCCTCTTATTTTAAAGGCTTTAGGGTGCTAACTAAATGTCTTAATTGAGTCAATTCCTAAACAAGTGAATTGATTTAGTCTTCATTTTATTGATCTCTAATTTTTAATTCTTCAACTCTTTAAAGAATAGGCTTCAATAATTCAGAAAGATGTTGCTCAACCTCAGGGGAAATCTATTGCATATCTAAATTTCAAAATTTATATTATTAATTTGTTTATTCAAAATAGTGTACCAATTTGTATAAATCAATGTACGTCATGTTTGTGAAATACTCTTAAAAATAATAAGTAAGATACATTTTTATTAATATTTTCATATTAAGCATAAATCAACATATTCTTTACAAAGAGGACAATTTTTCTATTTCTACAGCCATTATTTAATGCAATCAAAATGAAATTAATGTGAACAATCTAATTAAATATCTTAAGCTTCTTTAGAAGGCTAAATATCATCCATACAAATTGCACAATTTCCAGTTTGATTAATTTACACTCTTTTTTTATCTAACTTGAAGATTTTGCTTTAGTAACCAACCTATTAATCTAAGTCTAATTAAGTAAAATGTTCATACAATTCTTCTTTACTTAATTAATTAACTTACCAATCTGTGAGTCTCATACCAGGTTTGAATTCAAACATTTTTATTTGATTTTTTTATTAAAATTAATGATTATTATTAATTGGATATTAATTTATAATATTTCTTTAATTCTAATCATTTTATTGTTATTATTATTGAGCCTAATTATTATTCTGATGATTTCTAATTATATTCTAGGGTATATTAGCTAGTCTATAATAGGGAATGTATTGATTTTATAATTAGTTTTTCGGTCTAAATCTAAGAGGTATTGGGTATTGTAACTTATCATTAACACTCCATTTTTGATTATTAGATTTTTCTTTAGTTGAATTAACTTTTACATCTACTTTAACTTCTTAATCTTAAAATTAATTTTTTTAAGGATCAGTTTTTTCTTATAAATTATATATTTATTTTTATTCAAATTGATTGATGTTTTATATTGAATTATTTATTTAATCTTTCTTTTCAAATTGATTTTAGTTCTGCTGAATTTCTAAATTTAAAGGCAAATTTTATTATATTTACATCAATATAGGTTATTCATTTTATAAATTATTCTGGAAATCATAGTAGTGTTATTATTTGAATTCCTTATTCAAATATTATTGACTTTCATTTTTAATTTATTAGTCATTTTTTTGATATTCTTTTTTTTTATGTTCAGAGTTCTACTTTTATAAATCTACTTATTATTTAAATAGGTTATCTGGTTATTATTTTTTTGGAAATTTTATATGTAAATCATCTTTCTATTATTACTTATAAATTGTAAAATAAAATTACATCAATTTGTTTCTCATTTATTTTTTTGGACTCTAAACATTCGTTTGAAATCTCATTTGGTTCTTATTTCTTCATTTATAAAGGATTTATCACACATTCTTTTTATTATTCTTATAGAGGAGGTTAAATTTTTTGTTGTTATTGACTCTGATGTTTACTTTTATTTGAAAAGATAGTAGACTAAAAATTCTAATCAATAAATAATTAAGCTAATTATTCATCTAAATATTCTTAATTATCTTTGGACAAAGTATTCGTACAATTAGCTTAATGGTTTTTTAATTCAACTTTCAAAAACAAATTTCTACAAATTAAACATTTTTCTTTATCTTCAATTTATGAATGTTCATTCTCATTATCATAATTCTATAACATAAATAAGATTAAACTATTAATAATAGAAACAATGTTATTATTATTAAAAATGTAAATATCAAATTAATATAAAAAATATGAAATATATTTTTATTTATATGAAAATTATCATATATAAAATTTGAGATTATAAAATACGTATATATTTGATTTGATACTTTGAGATTAAAGGAACATTTAACAATTTAAAGTTAATTCTAACTTTATATTATATACAAATTAAATTAAATTAAAATTTTGTTAAACAATAATCACCATCTAATACGAACAATAAGAGATGCAATCATCAATGCTAAAATACAAATAGATTTAGCAATTTTTCCAAGATTTTTCATTTTACTAATAAATAATTCAATAATTTGTACTTTTTTAACATGAAATAAATAAAAATCCATGAAAGAACTAAGAATTTTGAACTATTATTGTTCTTGGCAATTAATCCATGATTTAGTGCTCTAAAATAACCTAAAATAATTATTAAATATAATACTAATTCTCTTATCTTTATTAATTTACTTTTAACACCAATTTATGATTACATTTTTCACTCTTTCAAATTCTACATCATTTTGTAGTTCATGAAATCCTTTATCAAATAATTTTAAAGTCTTATCCTTAGATCCTGATTCACGATACAATTCTACTGAATTCATATGACTTGCTACTTTATCTTCTTTTCCATGTAAAATCAATAAAGGTTGAGTGAATCTTAAAATAATATTTAATATTTTACTAGTAAGCATTAGGTAAAATATATGAATCTAACTACAATATATTATAAGCCATTCCAATACTCATAAATGGTTGTACAAGACTATCCTCAGCTACACTCTTGATTATGTTATTGTTTTTACTACAATGTCCATAATCTATATAGGAATTAACCATGAGACCCTTAAGAAATAATTAAAAATATATACAGGGATGATCTTATTCATTATAGTAAGCAACATTTTTTTCAAAAATCCATATTTTTTTGCAAATTAAAGATATGGATTAACTACTATTACTCCTTATAGAATAATTGACGGATTTGAAATACAGAAACTTAATCCAACTGCAGCTCCTAGAGATTAACATTATAAAAATATTGGTTATGATCTTTCAATTGTTAATAGTATGCACTCTAAATCTTAATGCATTTATTTGATATCAGCATGACTTCTTATACCTCCAGAATTACCAAATCCCCTCTAGTCATATAAAATGACTTAAAACCCATATTTTGCATATTCATCAGCTACCTAATTATATTGGTTTATATTACATGAAAGTATCTACCAGAATGATCTCCATATCCGTGAAGTATAACTATTGTTGCAATAGGATTTTCTGGAGTGCAATAGGTAGCATAAAGATTTAATCCTTTTGTCTTTGTAGGAACATATTTTCTAGTTACAAGATATGTTTCTTCATGCCATTCACCTAAAAATCTATTGGCATACTATTTATTTAATGATCTATTTTATTAGAATTCTTGACTTAAACACATTGAAGCTTTTATAATAGTTTATTGATACAATTCATGTCTATATTTGAATTAGGTTTTTAAATTTGATAAGTTGACTCTTAAATACTATATGAACTACTATTTCTAATCATCTTTAAAAATAAAAATTATGTATTTTTTATTTTTTTAAAATAAAAAAAGTTCTTTTGTAATGTATTTAGTTTTGAATAATATTATGTTTTTGATAAATATTATTAGAGATTTTATAAATTAATAGGTATTCAAATTCAAATATGTCAAAAATTAATTAAAGAGCTAATAGCATTGATGAATTTAGAATGATAAATAGAAGAACCCAAAAGGAAAATTAGAATTAGAACAACAGAACTTTAGATGAAAAATTACTATTAATTGAAAAATAATTAGCTTAAAATGAGAGTTATAATGATTAATATTTACTTACCAATTCAATTGAGGCAAATGCACTTCCTATGAAAACATAAAATTAAAGCATATCTTTTAATTTATAATCTATTGAAAATGATAGGTTTAATTCAAAAAAGAATAGTATTATGGAGGAATGCTAAAAAAAATCATATGATTCTGTTAGAGATAATGCTTATAAATATTAGAGTAATAATAATGATTCAGCTTTGGTTATGTTACTAAATGAATTTGAAAGGAGATTTGAATAAATTGAAGAAAGATTATAAATGAGGTATTAATTCAATTTATTTAGTGAAAAAACTAACAGATAGTATTAATAAAATAATAAATCAAGTGCAGATTACTTTAATGGAATTTAAGAGAAACTAACGTTACTTTTGTAAAGAATAGGGAAATTTGAATTAAAATTGAAATAGCTTGATGAAGCATTTCAATCCCATAAAAATTAAACAGATAAAAGAATTATTGAATATAATTAGCATGTATCATGAAAATGGATTATTAGGTTGATTAATCATTAAAATCCTTTTTGGATGTTTCAATTAAAATCTAAAAAAAAGTTGAGCGAATAACATCTAAAGATAATCTAACCGAAGTAGAAGTATTGAAATAAAAAACTGACAATCTTACTTATAATTTACAATAAACTCATAATTTATTAAATTAATAAATGAATGACTTTAATTAATTATAGTAATCTGTGAATTAAGTATATATAATAAATTATTATTTACTTAGGTTATTCGTGAAGATTATTTTAATAATTTATTTGAAGAGATAGAGACTATAAAAGATCAGTATTCATAAACAATGCAATATTTGAAAGAGTTATAAGAATTTTTGATAAAATGATTTCAAACTTTATTTCTCAAATATGTATGTAATATATATAAATGCTTTAATTTCTTGTAATTGCATTATTTCTTTAAATAAGCTATTGTTAGTTAGGGTAAGATGATGCTGATTACTTTGATCAGTATGAACCTGATATAGTAGAAATAACAGATGAAGGCACTACTTCAAGTTTAAGTTCAACAAATTTAAAGAAATTTGTTCCTCAAGAAGATGCATAACTTTGTATAGATACAAATTGTGCAGAAGAGATTGTTGCATGTAAACATAATGAAGATTGTTTTGGTAATTATGGAAGGTTTGAGATTTGTTATAATTAAACTCTTTCATTTAAGAACTGCAAAGAACCTTTATTAAATACTACAATAACAACAGTGACATTTGAATTATAAGATTTGATGGAATGTTATAATCTTTGTGGTTGGTCTAAGACTAAAGGATTGAATGGATTCTTGATTTGCGTAGTATTTGGGCTTGATTTATTGTTATTTTGAGAATAATTAAAATTTATCTGTTATAAAAATGAATCAACTGAAAAAACATATCTCTGTTAAATGCATCAATTTTAACACTTAATCTACTAATACACGTACTAGAAGTATTTCAAACCAAGTATCCAAGAATTCAACAGATAGGTCTAGATCTGTGAGCAAACAATGCCCAGCTATTAAGTAGTACAATTAGAGTAACTTAATTAGATTACCTGTGCCAGTAAAGAATTCTGAAACTACATCAATGTCAAATACAAAATAAGTATCTAAATTAGGAAAGATAAAAATTGATCTAGGAAATAATGCAACATCACGCAGTCAATAGACTACTTAAAAATCTAGATCCAATAGTTAAATAAGTAAAGAAGAATCATTTCCAAAAATGCTTCCAGATTTTGGGAGAATGGAAACTGAATTACTTGATTGTTAGGAATTGGTTCTTTAATTACCAGATATACACTTTCCTACAAATGAGGATATAATGAAAGAGAGAATTATATTAGCAAATAGAATTGCTTATACAATTAAGACTAAGAAAAGAATCCCTCCTTCAACTCCTGATTTTTATAAGGTACCGAATCTCTAACCTTAGTAAGGTAGCTCTGCTATGTGATAGGCAAAGGAGCGTTTGCTAAAGTGTGTTTAGGAATTCAAATTTTGACAGGTGCCAAAGTAGCCATGAAAATAATTGAAAAATCAACTTTAAAGAGTGAAAGTGCTAAAAAAAGATTATTATTAGTAAATAATGCGATTATTATTAGGAAATTACAATTATGAAAATTTTATCTTAATATAAATAGTTTGCATAATTATATGAAGTATTTGAAACTAAAAAATAAATATACATAATAATGGAATATGTAGAAGGAGGTGATTTGATGAAATGGACTAAAGAAAAACCTATTCCAGAAATTTAAGCCAAAAATATATTTGCTTAATTGATATTAGCACTTTAAACTCTTTAAAGTCATAATATCTTACATAGAGATATCAAATTAGATAATATCTTACTTTAAGGAGATTAAATAAAGATTTGTGACTTTGGGGTTAGTAGATAGATAATAAAAGGATAAAAAATATTAGAATAATGTGGAACTCCTGCTTATTTAGCACCTGAGATAATTTTCAGTAAAGTTGGATATGAAGGATTTGCAAGTGATATTTGGAGTACTGGAGTTTTACTTTATATATTATTAGTCGGTAAAGTACCTTTTAAAGGTAATAATATGAATGAATTAAATCATAATATTTAAAATGGATAATTAAATTTTATAGAGATGAAGAAATAAAATTTATCAAATGATTCTGTTGGTAAATAATATAATCTAATAGTTAGATTTAATTAAATCGATGTTGAATGTTAATCCAAAACTAAGAATAACTTTAATTGAAATTATGAATCATTAATGGCTTAAAGAGATAAATATAAAATAATAAAAATAATAGTCAAACAATACAAATTTAGATTTAAGAGTTATTTCATAAATAGAATAATTTGGTTATCAAAGGGAATTTATAATAAAAAGTTTACAAAAGTAAACATTATGTCATATTAATGCCATATATTCAATATTAACGAGTGTATAAAAATGATAAAATATTTACTTTATATATATATATATATATAAATCAGTGATTATAATAATAACATATCATACTCCTGGGTTAAGATTGGCTAATTCTTTTTTTAATATTGATCGAACATTTGAAATGAAATCTATGATATATAATGTTATATATTTACCCTCATGAATCAAACCTTAATTGAACAATTTTTAATTAATGTTATTTAATTGTTTATTTAATTTTTTCATTCTATCATTAAATCTCATTAATTCTCTCGAAAATTCAATGTCTACTCTTCCCTCTTCTCCTTACAATTTGGATTTTATATTAAAATATTAAGCTGTATTATCTTATCCTTAATTAGGTTCATTATCAATAATAGTTTCTATTTCTTTAGGTTGTTTTGCACTTAAAACATAAACTCTATCTTTGTTTTAAAGTACAACATCCATTGGAGGTTTTAGAAATACATATGGTTTATTGTTATTTTTAACTTTCTCTCCTCTATATAATCCAATAGGAATCATTTTTTATTCTGTCAAAAGAATCTCAAAAAGTTCTCCAAAAGTTTTCTCTTGATATTTAGGTGGTACATTTATCAAAAATAGATTACTTTGTTATAATTTACATGTTTGATATAGCTTTTTATTCTAAGAAATATAAATAAATTATATATACTTTCTTATTCATAGAGGCACTTCCTAAAATCATCTAATCAAAAATGCTTGTAATAAATGGATTATAATAGGCTTAACAGATTAGAGTATCAAGCATTGTAGAAATATAAATTTCTCCAGAAGCAAATGGCTCACTAACAGACCAATCATATTTTTGAACATAATTATTTCTTGATATCTATAAAAATGATATTGTGGAAATTGAAGCTAATTCAGTGATTATATTGATATTCTAATTTAAAAGTTTAACAGTTTTATAAATAAATATTGTGTCAGCATCAACTATATTTGAAATTCCCTCTTCTTAATCAACTTATTTTTATAATATCACTAAGGCTGATGCTTTTTAAATACAAGCTTTTTTAAGATCTTCTGTATTTAAAGGAGATCCTTATAAAAAATATACTTTAGGAAATTTATTAATTTATAATTAGATTTCTGTTGGTATCAAATCTTAATTTAAAATTATTATAGGTTGTATATTCTTAAGTGATCTAGCTCTTAAAGGCATCATCAAATATTTCATATCTGTGACAACACCACATACAATAAAATGATTTTCAAATTTTTCTTAATCTCCTACTTTTGGAAGTCCAGTTGTAATAGTCTATGGCTTGACTTAATAATAAGAAGTATGTTTCTAACTATCGTCTTTAATACCTTCACTCAATATTTCTTTTAAATATTCTGTCTCTTACTGAAGTGCATTTTTATTATTTGTTTATCTTTGTACATTAGGGAAACAATAATTCTTTTAAATATAATCAGGAAATTTAGTCTATTGAATCTATTCTATGCTTGGCATTTCTGTAGCTATAACATATCCATAATGCAAATAATCTTCAAATAAATAATCAGCTGGATTGACAAATACATTTGTTCCTGATTCTAATTCAACTTCTAAAGCAAATAAAATGATATTTAATTCTTTGTAAATAGCTTATGAAATCTAAAGAATATTAATATAATTATTACTTAACTAAAAGTCAAACCTACAAATGCTTCAGATTCTAAAGGTACTCTATAAATTTCATTTTGCATTCCACATAAATAATCATCAATCCATTCAGATTTATTTTTGTCATACTTTGTAATATCATAAGAAGGCTTTGATGATTGAATTAAAAAAGAAATTAAAGTATTGATTCCAGGACATAGACATGTTTTACCTAAAAGATATAATTTAAGTTCATCTACACATATTACTTAGTCTGTTTCATGGCCACCTAAAGAATTAAAATATAAATCTTTGCTCTATGGTTATAAGACTTATAAACACACTCTAGCACCTTTTCGAGACTTCTATTTTTTTGCATATTATTTAACAGCAAATGCATGAATAATATTTCGATAATCATCTCTCTTTGGAGTATGACTTGTCTTATTTGCCAATACTATTACACAATTACAATCTTTGGAACTACATCTTTCCAAATCTTTATTTTATAATGGATGCCCTTCTAAATATATCACTCTTTAAGACAAAGCAGGTTGTTTAAGTTAAATAGTCATTTCTTCAGTTGGAGCTTAATTTTACAAAATGACAGTATTAATGTCATTCAAACCATGATCACTATGATAAAGTTCATTCAAAAAAGTCTTAAATCCTTCAACTTAAGAGGATCCAAGTAATAAAATATGTTCTTATTCTGTTTTGGTAATATATTTGTTTCTTGCAAATTAACTTCTTAAACTGTAAACACGAGTAAGCATTTCTACTTATGTTGGTAATACTAAAAACATAATTAGAATTGCTATAATAATAGAAAATCTTCCATATATTGTTGTAGGATATACATCACCAAAACCAACTGTTGAGATAGTGACAACCATAAAATAAATGTATTCTACTATTGAATAATCTTGTTCTACTACATATAGTATTGACGAATTGATAATAATTATAGCCATCACTGTTACTATTGGTTTATAAGCTAGCCTAAATACTCTAAATCAAATCTATCAACTACCTTCCATTGATTAACGCTATAAAACCTTATCTAATTTATAGCACAATAAAAATCGTAGTACTCTTAACAAGTAAATATACTTGTAACCTGTGATTATATTCAATCTTGCTAGTAAAGACGGGAATATTGAAACATATTCAACTAATGATGTAGTTTGGAAAGTAAAGAACAATTTATTTTCAGAAAGGTAAAAGTTAATTGCAAAATCAAGAAGAAAATAAATGTAACATATTAATTCAGGAATCTAAGAACTTATTATTTTTTTGAATTTACTGTAATATATGCCTAAGCTTCTCCTACATCTTAAGTTCCACCCTATTCCCATGTGTAACAATCTATTAAATGAATCACTGGGAGTAGAAAACTTAAAAAAACATTTATGCTATCCAAATAATCACCTATTCCAGAAGTTGATAATTATTTAGCCAATTTTAATGTGAAAGATGTTTTACCTTCTTCATGTTTCTTAGTGGTTCCATCATCTTCTGAATTCACTAGTCTAATCAAAGCATACTAATCTTAATGACTGAAGATGGATTATTTGCCTTCATAGATCATTATTAAAATAATTCATTCAGATTAGTATTGAATTAATTAAATTTAAAATCAAAATGATCATTGAAGAAAATGAATTTGATAAATAAATAGAAGATCTTCTCAATAAAGAAAAGACAGCTAGATTAGCTAACAATTTAGTTGAAACATTGAAAATTACTAAATAAATTGCTAAACTCTGTTTTGATACTAAATAATACTCTAAATTCAATGAATTAATAATATAACTTAGTAAAAAGAGAGGATAACCAAAAAAAGCATAAATTGAACTTGTTTAAATGGCTATGGTTGAATTAAAAACTCTTCCAATAAATTAAAAATTAGAAATGATTGATGCCATTATGAAAGTATGTGAAAAAAAGATCTACTTAGAAGTAGAATATGCTCGATGTGTTTTAATGCTCACTTAATATAAAGAAGATGATAATCAAATTGCTGATGCTGCTAAAATATTATAAGAAGTATAGGTTGAAACCTATGGATCAATGGATAAAAGAGAAAAATTAGAATTTATACTCTATCAAATGAAAATTATGATTAAAAAATTAGATTATGTTAGATTATTCATTATCTCTAAAAAGATTGAACCTAAAAACATAGAAGATGATAATATTGCAGATCTTAAAATCATTTATTATTCATTTTTAGTTATTTATTATAGACATGAAAATAATTACAAAGAAACTGCTCATGCTTATTCAAAAATACTTGAATCATTACATAAAAATAAATAATTAGAAGCAACCAAAGTAGATTTTAATTTTAGAATTGATTACAATACAATATTAGAAAATTATTCTATGTATACTATATTGAGTTAATATTCTGAAGAAAAGGTATTTAAATAATCATAATATAGGAAAAATAATTAAAATTCATAATTTCCACTTATAAATACAGTCTTGAAGCATTGCCTAATATGTTATAATTAATTTAAGCTTTTTTGGGAACAGAATTAATTAGTACCTTACCATAAAGTCATAATATTTAAGCTGCTGAGATATTTGATGAGAATATTGAAAATAATAAACAAAGATATATTGGTATTTAAATTAATATATAACTTATAGACTTTAGAAGATAATTGATTCATCATAATTTGAGAATATTTTAAATCTATTATGATTCAGTTTATTTAAATAGAATAACAGAATTAATTGGAATTAGTACATAAGAATTAGAAGAAGAAATTTGCTTAATGATGGATTAAAAAGTATAGGAATGAAATTTAACCTAGTTATTGAATTGTAAAATTGATAGAATATTGGGAATAGTTGATTACTAATTAAAAAAGAATGAGAATGATGTTTTATAAGAGTGGGGAGACAATGTAAATAAGGTTCTTAATCTAATTGATCTTACAAGCAATTTGATTAAAAGAGAAGAAGAATTATTTTTGTGAGAACAATTAATATATAATAATTCAAATTTATTAATGTATTCTGAAGGTAGAGAAGACTCATAATACTCAGGAAATAATATGGAACAATATGATGAAGATTAGGATAAAGAAGATATGGAAGGATAACAATATTATGATGATGAAGAATAAGATATGTAACAGTAAGAAGAGTATTAAGAATATCAACCAGAAGAACAATAGGATGATTAATAAAGTAATAACTTATAGTAAAAAGGCTTTAAATATCAACCATTTGATTAAAGAAAATGGCAATGGGCAGAACCATTAATTGAGGGAGTTCCACCATGTGCAAGAGGTGGTCACTCAGCAACATTGAGTGGAGCCTCAATTATATTGTTTGGGGGACATTATTATGCAAATAAGGATGAGGGATACAAATACTTAAATGACACATATTAGATGGATGTAAATGCAAATAGATGGTTTAAAGCTAAAGTTTAAGGTACTCCACCTGCTCCAAGATATGCTCATTCTGCAGTTTTGGCAGGATAAAGAATAATAATATTTGGAGGAAAGGGAGAAAAATGTGTATTTAGAGATTTACATGCTCTTGATCCATTAACATTAACATGGTATTAGGGACCTGAAGGATCTGGTTCACCAAGTGCTAGATTTGCTCATTCTGCTACTTTAGTAATTATTTTGGTATAATTAAATTATAGTATGCCTCAACAAAAATGATAATATTTGGGGGATGGAATGGAATTGATTATTTTAATGATCTTTATGCCCTAGACTTAGAAGTAATGGCTTGGTCTTAACCATAATGTACAGGTCCTGCTCCAACTCCTCGTTAAGGACACACAGCAATATAAGTGGGAGCTAACTTAATCATATAAGGGGGTTTTTACTATTAAGAGGATAAATCACTTAAGACATTAAATAAAACAGCTAATCCTAGACATGGATCATATTTAAGAAGCTGTTATTTAAATGATATTAGAATTCTCGATACTGAACATTTTGCATGGAGTAGGTTAAGAGTAAGTGGAACTCCTCCTGCTCCAAGATATGGACACTCAGCCAATGTCAGTGGTGCTGATATTGTAGTATTTGGAGGATGGTCTTTAAATTCAGGAGCTAGAAGGTTTACAATATCTATATTATTAGCGAAAATAATTTTGCTACTCCTCCAGATATTGATTATTTGATTGTTTTGAATACTGAGAAAATGTGTTGGGAAAAAGCTAAGTATGAAGGGAATGCTCCAAGAAATAGATATGGTCATTCAGCTACTTCAATTGGTCCCCATATTTTAATTTTTGGAGGTTGGGAATATAACAGAGCGACAAATTAAGTAGTTGTGCTTAGAGATCTTAATGTTGGACAATAATAGTAGGAATAGAAAAAATGATATTAATTATAAAAAATGAGTAGTTTGGAATCATCTCCTCGAAATTCTCTTAATATTGTTGATATTCTAGAAAAGTACAAATAGAAAAAGGCTATTATGAGTCCTCTTCCTCTAGAATCTTTTTAATAAATTGTTTAGGAAGCTGGATAAGAATTACTTCAATAGCATCCAGAGGGGGATAATTCTCATTTTATTTCATTCAAGTAGCTTAATTAAGATGCCATAGATGAGTTATAAAGATCACTTCATTAATCGAAAATTATGTGGAATAATTTTAGTAGGGCTTTATTTGCAGCAAGTCCTATTGAAAAAAAAAATAGTTCAACAAAAATGGAATTGTTGCATAATAGAGATGCATATTATCGAATAAAGAGATAAAATGAAATTCAATTAAAGTTGCAATTAGATGGAATAAATAAAGAATATCAAAGAATACATATTGAAACATAGGGAGTGAAATCATATCCATCTATCTCAACCAAAGATCAATTTCGTTAATAATAGATTAAGAGATAATTATAAATGGGATGTTGTTAAGAACTGGTACGTTAGGAAACTGAATTAATTAAATAATAAATTGAACTTACAAAATCTAGATTAATTAATGAGATTAAGAAAATTGTTGTTTATATTTATAAGAATTAAAATAATGGTTGGAATCCTTCATCAAGAGAGAGTAGTGCTATGGTAAATTATAATGAGAAACTATATCTCTATGGAGGATCAGGAGCTGGATATATAAGTGATCTTTGTTAAGCAACATTTGATAAATGTATTATAATTTTTATAATAGAATTCTATAAATGGACTATGATAAAATTAAAACAATTAATATAATGTAGATCATACCATACAGCCAATTTATATAAAAGTTAATTGATCATTTTTGGTGGAATTTAAAACTCACCTCTTAAAGAAGATAGGATTCATTGTGAAGTAACAAATGAAGTTACTCATATTAATTTAGTAAATTATGAGATAAAGAATATACTGCATGCTGGCATAGTATCTCCAAGAAAGGCACATATTGCAGAAGTTGTTGGGAAATATCTATTAGTTTAAGGGGGTATAGATTAAAAAGGTCATTATTTGAATGATTTCCTTGCCTATGATATTTTAACATTAAGATGGTAAAATATAGAAATTAATGCTTCAATATTTTAAGATGGTATTGCATTCCATAAATCTTGTTGTACTTTAGAACATAAATCTATTGATATTTATAAACATGATCCTGATATGACTTATGAGAACTAAGGCATCTATATCTTTGGAGGTCTAGATTCTAATGGACATTATTTAGACAAACTAATAAAAATTGATGTTAGAAGAAGACCTATATTTATTGAGGAAGTTCAATCAAAAGGTAAAACTCCAATTAGTAGATGCTAACATTCAATGACATATGTGGAATTATCATAATAAATTGTAATTTATGGTGGCAAAAATGATGATATCAACACTTAAGGATTTTTGAATGATTTACATATCCTAGAAATCAGAAATCTATCATGGACCTCTGTAGAAATTAGAGGTCATCATCCAATATCTGGAAGATGTAGCCATTCTGCTGCTGTTATTGATGATAGACTATTTATCTTTGGAGGTGTGAACTACACAGGATTTGTTAAAAGTGATCTTTTAATTATTGAACTCAATCAATCTAAAGCACAAGAATTAAGTTAATATGAAGCATAAACAGAACGATTATCTAAATAATAAACTCCTGTTTAATATAAACCTGCTACACCACCTAAAATAGTTCTCAATCTCAAATAATAAATTGAATAAATAAAAAAGGATAGTGAAAAAGTCAAATTAGCTGATAAATTTAAAAAATAGAGTATGGCTAGGCATAGCCGTAATTTGACAGATATTCAAATTTATAAAACCTTTGCCACTGTTACTGATTGATTTTATCATAATTATAATAATAATTATTTAANCATTTGATAAATGTATTATAATTTTTATAATAGAATTCTATAAATGGACTATGATAAAATTAAAACAATTAATATAATGTAGATCATACCATACAGCCAATTTATATAAAAGTTAATTGATCATTTTTGGTGGAATTTAAAACTCACCTCTTAAAGAAGATAGGATTCATTGTGAAGTAACAAATGAAGTTACTCATATTAATTTAGTAAATTATGAGATAAAGAATATACTGCATGCTGGCATAGTATCTCCAAGAAAGGCACATATTGCAGAAGTTGTTGGGAAATATCTATTAGTTTAAGGGGGTATAGATTAAAAAGGTCATTATTTGAATGATTTCCTTGCCTATGATATTTTAACATTAAGATGGTAAAATATAGAAATTAATGCTTCAATATTTTAAGATGGTATTGCATTCCATAAATCTTGTTGTACTTTAGAACATAAATCTATTGATATTTATAAACATGATCCTGATATGACTTATGAGAACTAAGGCATCTATATCTTTGGAGGTCTAGATTCTAATGGACATTATTTAGACAAACTAATAAAAATTGATGTTAGAAGAAGACCTATATTTATTGAGGAAGTTCAATCAAAAGGTAAAACTCCAATTAGTAGATGCTAACATTCAATGACATATGTGGAATTATCATAATAAATTGTAATTTATGGTGGCAAAAATGATGATATCAACACTTAAGGATTTTTGAATGATTTACATATCCTAGAAATCAGAAATCTATCATGGACCTCTGTAGAAATTAGAGGTCATCATCCAATATCTGGAAGATGTAGCCATTCTGCTGCTGTTATTGATGATAGACTATTTATCTTTGGAGGTGTGAACTACACAGGATTTGTTAAAAGTGATCTTTTAATTATTGAACTCAATCAATCTAAAGCACAAGAATTAAGTTAATATGAAGCATAAACAGAACGATTATCTAAATAATAAACTCCTGTTTAATATAAACCTGCTACACCACCTAAAATAGTTCTCAATCTCAAATAATAAATTGAATAAATAAAAAAGGATAGTGAAAAAGTCAAATTAGCTGATAAATTTAAAAAATAGAGTATGGCTAGGCATAGCCGTAATTTGACAGATATTCAAATTTATAAAACCTTTGCCACTGTTACTGATTGATTTTATCATAATTATAATAATAATTATTTAATTGATTATCCTAAGTATTTATATTCCATCAATTCTTTGTTTAATACATCCAATCAATACATAATATTTTTAATAAATATAATATAATATAATTAAGATCAAGATTAAGATTAAGTGACATTTTCAAAATTGAAAATATATGTTATCTTAAATTTACTTCCTTAAATTATTCAAAGTTAGCTATATGTTATAATAAACAGTTTTTAATACTAATAGATTTGTATATAAAGACAATCAAAAATAAAAATGAGATACTATTCAAAAAATATAAAACAAATTCATTAGGTTTAAAATGTTGAGCAACTTTTACTGGGTTCTAAGTTAAGATTTTCTATTTTGATATCATCTTCTTCTTTTTTAACAGTAATTTCTTATAGTTCTTCTTCAATTTTGATATCACTTTATTATTGTTATTTGGAAAAGTTCTTTATTTTTTATTTTCCAATGCTTTTTAAGATACTATTATTATTAAGAATATATTACTCATTCATCCTTTGTTTTAATTAATAGGATTTAACAAATTTATCCAGATATCCTTTGGATGCACAAAAATTGTGATTTTTGAATAACTCTAAAGCTTTGCATTTTAATTCCTATCTAGAGATTTTTCTGCGTATTTAATGAACTCTCTGTATAACCCATTCAATCAATTACTTTTCAGCATAAGGATTAAGTTTTTTACGACCACAACCTTTTTTTCTTTCAGTACCACATCTTTACCATCTTTTAAGGTTTTTTATAGTAGTTCCAATTGCCTAACTAACTCTTTTAAAATCATCAAATAAAGGATTTGGTCCTAGCATTTACACTGCCTCATCTTTTTCTTTTTTTGATAATACATTGTAATGCTCTCTCCTTAATTGAGTGAAATCGATAACAATTTTACATTCTTCTTGAATATGTATAATAATGTTAGAAGTCTCGTCTTAGGGTTACATTAATAAACTAGGTAATAATTGGAACACTCATGAAATCAATTTGGGAAAATTATTAACATGATTATAATAATATATATAAATTTTCATGGTTTCATTGTTCTTTTGTATTAATTTAAATTCTCTTAATTTATTAAATTGAAAATCAATTAATACATTCAATATTATATTCATTTATATTACTTTCTTTAATAATGTATAATTTTTACATGAAAATGAAAGTAAGTATTTTTCAAATATCAAATATATATAGAATTATAACAAATAATTAAGTAGATTTAATTTATGATTATTGAAATAAACATAAATAATAGAAGTATTTAAAGAATTATCAACTTTTAAGTGATATAAATAATACATAAATAGATTCTCAATAAAAGAAGAAAAATTTATAGCAGTTAAGATCATAGAAGTTTAACTAGTTTTCCTTATTTCCAAATGCCTCTTGTTGGATCTTGTTCTTGACCTTTAAAAAATTCACCTTATCCATGTTAAAGTCCTTATTTCCATAATCCAACATATTTACGACCATCAGCAAATTGAAATATACCAAAACCATTTTTTTGATCATTTATATATTCACCTTAATAATATCTTCCATCAGGCCATGTCAATGTACCTTTTCCATTCATTTTTCCATCAACCCAATTTCCATCATATACTCTACCGTCTTGCCATCTCTAGATAAATCTACTGTCAAAATTACATATATTCCTCTCCCATTAAAATCATCAAACTCAAATTCTCCTTCATAGATTTCACCTGTTATGAATGTGATTTTTCCAAATCCATGTTTTTCTCCATTCAAAAAATTACCCACATATACTGATCCATTAGCATACCATTCCATTCCTTCTCCATTAGGTTGATCTCTCTCCCAATTTCCTAAAAATCAACTATAAATTATACCTTCATATTTACAACCATTATTATATATGTAACTACCTTAACCTTACATTCTATTATAATGCCATTAACCTCTATATGTATTACCTTCCTTACTTTTAAATTCTCCACGACCATGTAGACAACCTTTACTGAATTCACCTTAATAAAAGGATTGATCAGAAAATGTATATTTTCCTTTACCATCTGGCAACTAATCTAACCATTCACCAATATAAATATTTCCTCCTACTAACTTGATAGCATCTAACTTTATTCTTGTATTTGTTTTTTATATTTTAATCTTATCTCTAGGTTCTAATATTTCATGAGTCAACACACATCGAAATCTAAATGATTGCATTTTTTTAGATTAGATTTATGACGATCGTAGAGATTTAATTGGAGGAGATGTACTCTATTACAATGGTGTTTGTTCAACTTACTCAGATTGACTATCATCTAATGAATCTGATTCCTTTGGTTATAATTTAGCACTATGCTCCCTTCCAAAATGAGAAAGACTTTTCCTTTTGGCATTATAGATAGCCATAGTTATTACATTATGACCATCTTGAGGATTCATTCTTGGTGAATAAGAGTTTGTGTGATGTTCAATTAAACAGTCATCAGTTGAATTACTTCTCTTTTGATTCATAGATCTTTTCTTTGCCAATTCTTATCTAATTCTAACACTTAAACATTTACTTAAATCTCTATCGACAAATATATGCACGATATGTTGTCTAAATTCTTATTGCCATTTAATGATTGTGCTGTAATAAATTCACAGTATTGTACTCTACAGTTACTTATTACAAAGGTTCTTGCCTTTAAACGCATTAATTGCATGAACCCATATAAATATAATTTTATTATAACTAATTAAATTACATCCCTTGCAAACACTTTTTATCTTATTTTAATCTTGTATGAATTTTCTACTTAATTTATCAAATCTTTCATTCCATATCTATCAATACTAAATATCTAAACTCAATCACTTTATTTATATAATACTTAAATTATGATATCATAAAATGATATAAAATATAACTAATTTACTTAACTTTATTTAATATTCTTTCTATTTATATTATATACTTAAGTATTTTCAATCTTATTTTTAATTTGAAACTTAATCCAAATTTTTCATAGATAACTTTATACAGGATTATGATTAAACACAAAGAATAAAATAGTTAAATCAGAAATTCAAGATAAAATTACAATGATTCAAGATAGAATATTTAAATATTTATATAAATATTTTACAAATTATTCATATTTTGAATAAAAAAATGTATATCTATTAAATAATTTATTTTAAAATATTGAAGTGTCATAAATAATTGAAGATATCATTTTAAATGACTCCATCTTTATTATTTTTAATAGATATAAATTAGATAAATAAGGCATTGGTGTAAATTAAATTAAAGAGATTTAAATTAAAAAATAAAAATAAATGTAACAGGAAAGCATATATAATTTGATTCCAAAGGAGTATGTACCTCCACCTAAAGAACCAATGTATAGATCAGCTTATCCTAATGGTTTGGTACCAACAGCCAGTACCTTCAACAATCATACAACCAGTCGACCTAAAGTTGCTATACATTAATATTTAGGTCAACAACATTAATGGTGATTTTGACTTAGTAAAAGGACCACATACACATAAGGGTTAATCACATTCTCTTGGAAAACCTAAGGGTAATTTATAATATTGAATAAGGTTCATATAAGCCAGATGCTACAATGTTTAGGATGAAGAATACTGGAACAATGGGATCTAATTAATTGCCTGAGAGTAATCATCTATTTTTATAGGATAGTTTAATCATTCAAGTATCCACAATCATGCAAGGCGGCAGTTCCAAAAAAAGATGAAAAACCAATTCATGGACTCAAATCAAATAAGAATTTTATTGTTACGAATGCAGTTGAAAATATACTTTCAGCTCCAAAATAAATTACAGAAGAGAAGGCTTGGACTGAAAAAAAAGATTATGGAAAAGTACCAGATTATTTAACTAAAATCTAAAGCAGCATCAATAATGAATATGAAATCATTAGAAATATGCATATGAATGAAGCTGAGGAAAGGGACAAATAAAAATATTTAATGACTCTTGAAGAAGTAGAACGTTTAAAATTAGGATTGAAAAAGAAATGGGAATCTGTGAATAAAGAGTATTAATCAATTACACATATAAGAATGATTGACACAGTAGGATTAAAAAGAAAGTATAAATTGATTTTATAATATTAGAAAGGAGTAATGTGAAAAAGAATTGGCTTTGTTAGAAAAAGATATAGAAAAATTAAATAAAAACTATGTTTTCATAGACACATAGAAATGATTATTTTTTTATATAAGAGAAAATAAATAATCTATTAAATTTTTATTATAATCGTATTTGTGTTGATGAATATATATAGTCATGGAAAATAAATATAAAATAAAATTATTTTTAATATTAAAATAATAATATATTTATATAAAAAGGAAATATGAGAAAGAAAAACCAAAGAATTGATTTAGAATTTGAAAAACCTTAAGTGAAATTTATTGAACAATTTAGAATGAGAGTAAATGGAGGAAGCAATATAGATGCTTAGGATTATAAAATAGAAGATAAAATTTAAAAGAAAATAAGAAAGAATGATGATGATCCACTTATTGTATAATAAAGTGATGAAGATGATAATTATGATTTTTAAAATGCATAAGTTGTTGATGGAAATGGAAATGATGGTAATCTTGAATTCAATTTGAATAAATTCAAACCTGAATATGTGGGATCTAAAAAATAAAAGATATATGATTAAAAAGAAAAAAATATTAAATCTGTAATAGGAAAATAAGAAGAAGAAAATAATAGATAAAAGAAAGAAGAGGAATTAAAGAAATAATTTGCTAAATTATCATAAACATAGAAACCTACTTTAGCTAAGAAATCAAAAATAGATGAAATTGTTAAGAAGACTAATAAACCAACAATACTCTCTTTTGATTAGGATGATTTTTGATAATTTTTTTGTTGTATTCTATTAATAATATTTTTTAAATATAATAAAATAATAGTTCATCAAAGGGATCCTAAAGTTTCTAAAGACTTGACTTAAATATATAAGAATCCATCCTCTTAATCTTACATTTTTTTATATAATTGTCCCATAGTCTAATCTTAAAGCATAAAACTAATTTGATTACCCTTTTAAGGTAGAACATTGTTAATAAAAAAGAAAAGAGAAATATGCTAGGTTTTCGGTATTTTCTTTTTTAATAATTTACTAATATCTGCCTCAAAATTTACCATTAATTATTCAGGATCAGCTGCACATCTCTTAATAATAAGGTACGATTACAACTGAGAGGTAGATGAGGAATCAAGAAATTGTTCTAAAATAATTAATATTTTTGAAGGATGAACTAATTGTCTTGTTTAAAACAACTTCTTTCTTTCCTCTAATGAGTGACGCTCTTTAAATGATGATTTTATTTGAGCATTCATTTTTTAAATTAATAAAAAACCTAAACATAAAAAAAAAAGAAATGTCTTATTTTTCTATTATTTTTTTATGAAGAATTATAAATACTACAATAAACTCATCTTTTAACATCAAAATAATTTTTTATTACAATTTAAAATTGATTCATAAAAAACAATGATTGAAGCTAAATAAAAAATGTAAAAGAGAGTTCAAAAATATTCCTACTTCCTTAATGACATATTAGGAGAAGGCTATTCATCATCAGTTTATAAGGGCATTAATATTTAAACCAATTAAGTAGTTGCTATAAAGGTTATAAATTTTTCCACCTTAACAACTCCAATTTCCCAAACCCTTTTAAAAAATGAGATCACTATACTAAAACAATTAGATCATGAGAATTTGATGAAAGTTTACGAGATTTTTGAGACTAAAAATAACACCTACATAATATGTGAATATTGTAATGATGGCGATCTGGCTAACATTTTAGAAAAAACAACTTTTACTTAAATAGAAATTATTAATGTTTTTCTCTAAATAGCAAAGGGAGTCAAAGCACTCCATTAATAAAGTAAATCATGTTTCATATATCATTTTAGAAATTATACATAGAGATATAAAACCAGCTAATATACTAAGATCAAATGGAATTTATAAACTTTCAGATTTTGGATTTGCTATTGTTGAAAATGATTTTGAGAGTATAATCAAAAGATTTAGTGTTGGAACTCCAGTTTACATGGCACCTGAGACAGTTCAGTCAAATTGCTATTCAGAAAAGTCAGACATATGGTCTTTAGGTGTAGTTCTTTACTTAATGGTATATAAAGAAATTCCATTTAATCTAAAAAAGGATGGAGATCTATATGGTAAGTAATAATAAATACACAAGAAAATTATGAATGATAAAAAATTGTTGAAAAAAATCTAGAATATTCTTATAGGTATGTTGGAGATTGATCCATAAAAACGGATTAGTATTGATGGAATTCTTTCAATGTTAAATCATCCGAAATAATTGAAATGTAGCAATTCTCATAAAAATATACCATTTAAAGTATTACGTAGGTCAAGTGGATATGATTAAATTTTATAAGATGGTTGCGATCAAGATAAATTTGAAAATACATAAAAAATTTTAAAAACATTACCAGATGAATTGGATAATATTAATGAAGAAATCGAAACAATTTCATTCCATAATAATCATAAATATCATCATATAATTGAATTAAATAACATTTAATAAAATCAATTATGTAATAATGAGAATTAATAGTTAAAATTTCAATCATCACCCTTATAAATAAAAGATAAAACTAAAAAGTAGATTCAAATCAACATTCCAAAAAATTAATCAATTAATTTCAAAAAATTAAACCCAAATTTTAACTAATTACCGTATGAAAATAGTGATACACACTAAGATAGTAATCCAAATAGCACTAATGATACAATCAAAAATAATCAAATTTCTAATTGTTAATCATAAAATCAAATGAATTCTAATTCCCCATTAATTGCTCCTTAAATAACAGAGACACTTACAAGTAGAAATTAAGGAATTTCACCTATCCATATTAATTAATCTCTTCGAAATTTAATTGTATCTCCATTAAGATAAAGAAAGGGTCCCACAACTTATTCCATGACGGATTTTAAAAATTTTTAAATTAAGCCAAATGAATTACTATTAAAAAAAAATGATTTAATTAAATAAAGAGCTAAAACTGATTTATCTATCAATAAATTATCATCTGATTAAGATAAGAAAAAGTAAGATAAAGAAAAGGAAAAATAAAAAATAGAATCTTTAACTGCAACAATTAGACCTACATATAAATTTTTATTATTTTTAAACTAGACCTTAAAAAAATTTTAGTCTATTAATACTGAAGAAAAATAAAAATGCTATTTCTTATTAAGAAAATTATAAGCAGTAAAAGCATATGCAATCATGAATTAATGTCCTTTTCAAATATAAGAGGAATTACAATGTTGGATTGATAGTTTTTAATAATACTTTGAAAAAGTCAGCCCTTTACTTTATAATCATCATGATCGAAAGTTTATTCAATATTTAAATACAAATCTAGAGTAATTTACTAAAGGATTTTCATAATAAATAAATAGTTATATATAAGAGGTGAATTAATAGTTATTATCTAAAGAACTACTAATTATTTAGGAAGTAATTAATGAAAACTTAAAGCAATTTAATGATCCTATTTTATTTGCAAGAAGGTGGGAAAATGAGCAATGATGATATTTTATATTTATCTAATTTTTTATAAAATCATTTATAAATTACTTTTTGTTGTAATCAAAAATATTGAATCCTGGTTTAATGACATTAACCATTTTGATAAATTAAGAAACATTTAGAATTCTATAGTATATTATTGAATTAATTTTGCTTTAGAAATTGAAAAATTAGAAGATTTTCATATTGAAAGAATGATAGATTCTTGATATATAAAATCCCAATAGATAAACACAAAAGAATTTAATCTATTTTATAATATCTATGATATTTTTAGACTTTTTTTTATATTACCCTTTTTTAAATGACTCACCACCTTAAGATATTTTTATTTTCTAATTTAGATGAAAATGATATATAATATAAATAAATTTTATATATATTATCGTTTTATTTATATATTATTTAAATAAATGGGTAATTGTTATGGGAGTCGAAAGGATCCGGTACCTTTGGCTTTTGATTAAGCAGAATATTAAGCACTTAATAATCAGTTCCACTATTATTGTGAATTAAGCAGCTAGTAATTAAAAAGAATATTTAAGAACACGTGATGTAAAAGGATTGAACTAAAAATCATTTGAAGATATTTTCTGTGAAAATCCATCTTTTGGAATAAAATTATTCAAATTTTTAGAAGCATATTCAGGATCTTAAGGATTAATTAAGAAAGAGCCTTTGTTTGAATTTTGTAATATCCTATCTAATAAAAAGTGGAATTGTTGGTGAAAGATGTCCAAACTAATATACCTACATTTAAGAACCTAGAGAGATTTGAACTAATGTCGTTAATTTCTTTATAAGATTCAAAGTTTTTGACAACCAAAGAGGAATTAGCATAATTACAATTAACTTACTTAGACACAATAGGAGTGATTAAAGTAATAAACAATTTTATATATAAGGATTTAATTAAGATGCATTAAATAGGTAAAAAAGCAGTTTCAACGAATGAGAGATATATTAAAACAATGGTTGATATGCTTTATAGTAAAAATCTAAACAATTATATTAGAAAATGAAGCAGGTTCATTTTCTTGGGTTAGTTTGGTAGATTTTGTTACAAAATAAATGCCAGGTACTAAAGAAGCAATTAAACTATATTTCTAAGCAAAATTTATGGGGAAATAAATAAATGTAAATATTTAAAAAATAAAAATTAGAATTTTATTCCTGTTGTAAATACTCCATCTTATTTTTTAACTGATGAATTGTGTTTTCAATTATTTTTAAGTACAAATTCTGTTTTAAAGAATTGTTCATAATTATCATTACTTTATTCAAGTGTTGCACATTAGGGTGGATTTAATTAAATGATTCAAACTATGAAAGGTAAATTATTTACATTAATATTATTTAGATAGTAAATTACCTACTTTACTATTGGTTTAACATGAAGAAATTTATGAATAAAAAGTGAAATAATAAACTTTTGGTGCTATTACTAATCTAAGATGGTATGATACTTAATAATATTTTGGAACTAAAGATGATTGTATTTTTAGTCTCTATCCATATTACAAAATATTTAAATCAAAAAAAGGAGAATAAAATTATTGTTATTTAGATTCATAAAAAGGTTTTGGATTTGGAGGTAAGAATGCAGAAGGATGTAGAATATGGATTGATAAAAATATTGAAAATTCATATTGCAATTAATTTGATGATACTTATGAGAATGGTCCTATTGTACTTCCTTATGTTAAAAAGCTTAAAATTAAAATTATAGAATTATGGGCTATTTAACATCCAGCTGATGATTTAGATGATAATACAGAAGTGATAGTGGATTTAAAAGATCCTCTACTTTAATAGCCAGATGAAGTATAATTTCCAGATTCCAATGCAGATTATTATTGGGTAGGTTAAGATTAGAAAATTGATGAAAAGACTTCAGGATATTATTGGGAAGTTTAAAATGAAACAAAATGATTAGAAATAAAAAAGATATTAAAACATTTTGAATTATATTTTTCTGATAATTTCTAAATCCATTAAACAGACATATGGAATAATAAATATTAATATATATATATAATAATTCCAACTAAAAATGGTTAGCTTAAAATAGATACAACTTGGATAGCCATCTAAATTATCTGATTTAGCAATATAAAAAATAATAATAAATTAATAAGAATAAAAATAAGAAAACTAAAAAATTCAATATTATCCAAAAAACATGGAAGAATTACTTATAAATTTATTTTTAGCAATTAAAATTATTTATATCCAAATGATTGCATTATTCGAAACTTGCATTATGATAATAAAGAGCCTTTATGATTGTAAAAAATAATAATTTATTATAGCATTTTGTGAAATTCAAAAAAAAAATGGCATCTATTATTTTTTTGAACTTATGAAAAATATAACTCTTATCATTTTGTGCTTTAATATTAGAATACTATAATTTATCACTAAAATATTTTAATAGCTCCAACAGAATCCAGTTAAATAACAATGACTATTATTCTTTATAATTACAATTTTAAATCATAATCTTAAAATTAATTTGAAGATTGGAATCCAATCTATTAGATATATAAATCAATTTATATATATCATTAATATAAAATGATGTTGATTGTTTAAAATAACTTTTGATTATACAAAATGAAACCTCAAAAATTAAAATTAAGATTAAAAAATTAATAAATAAAATTTTAATAATAATTACCATATAATTTATTGAAATTTAAGATATTCCTTACAAATATAAATATTTTTGAAACAAAATAATATCTTTCTAATTAGATTCACAAAACATAATTATAAAATAATAACAAATTAATCAATCAAAAAAGAATTTATAAAATATGATAAAATGAGTCTATAAAAGTACTTATTATAATAAAATAGAAATCAGATATAAAAATAATTATTACAATAAGAATAAATTACCTATCATTTATTGCAATCTAGTAAAGAGAGTTCATAAAAAATGTTTTAGGTAGTTGTTTATAATGAATTAAATAAAGTGCTACTTTCGTCATATAGATCCTTTTAAATTTAGTTCCAGTGATCATCTGCTTAATTTAATTCTTCCAAAATATTTCCTAAGCTAAAATTTTCAGTTTCGAATTATTGACACTTCTTTATAGAATTTACAAGTTTTTCTACAGGGTATGTTTTAAATTCAGCTGTAGGTAATTTTAAAACTTTCTCTGCTTAATGAAGGCGATATTTAAGATCTGATACTTCATAATGTTACTTTTCATTAATCAGTTACTCTAAAGAATCCAAAGCTATGCGAATTGGTTTATTTATTTCAATTTAATTCAGGTATATATTCTTAACTTCATTTATACATTGAATCAATTGTTTTGCCTTTGATTATTATAGTTTTTTTTCTAAATAATTGATTTACTCAAGTAATGCTTTTTTCTCTTATTAATGAATTTTATCAATATCATCTATAATTTTCATTAATTATGTGTTTGAAAATTCAACTTAAACAGATGCATCTTAAATACTTTAGGTTTAATAAAGGCTTCTTTTTGTTGAAGTTATTATGTTCTTTTATTATTCAGAAGAATTATGATATATTTGATTAATCATAAATTTTATTATTTTTAAGAAATGTGAATTAGAATAAACTTAAGAACGATACTTGAAAATAAATATTATTTATAATATTCCATTTCAATTAAAAAATAATTTATATAATACTCAATACTATTCAATCTACAATTATATATTTAGAAAAGTTGTAAAAATATATATTAAAAATAGAGAGTGTTTTTTGTATAGCTTAACTTGCATTTATTTAATCAAAATAATTATATAAAATAATCAAGCAATATCAATTAAGAAAATATTAAAGTCTTGTTAAATAAAATTAAAAATAAAAAGTTTAAGTATTAATTAATAGATCTCTATTCCTATTTTGGCATTAAAACTTTAGTTTTAGTATTAATATTAGTAATTCTAAATTATCGCTTGTTTTTTAAATATATTGATAATAAAAAAGTAAAATAAAGTAATATAATAATATAATCCCACTTCAATTTTAATTAATTTAAATCAAATATATATATTTAAATTACATTATTTTAAATGTAACAAAGAAGATTGTAATATATAAAATAATGAAAGGTCTTATTTAATAATGAATATAATAAAAGATATATAAATTTAAGACTAAATTTTTGAATAGCTTATTGATTTTTCTTGTGAAATCAATTACATTGTTCAAAATTATTAAAAAATTAATTTATCAGATTGAATTTGTTCATTACAAAATTAATTCATAATATTTCAAATTATTGATATTAAAACATGGGTGCAACTTGTTGTAAGTCAAATTTACTGACATAAGATGGTAAAATTTGTGAATAAGATTTATTTTAGAACTATCTGTCCAATCCGCTGCTTTTGGTGAAAATGACCAACTTTCCTCTAAAAGAGTAGTTAAATAAACAACTTCTAACAAACGTCAAGCATATACACCAGCTTAAACTTTTGGTTTAGGATTAAAATAAAATGTGTCTGATGATAAAAAAGAAATATATGAAGAAACAAAGAAGGTTTCAATGAAAGTATCAAAAGAGTTAGAATAATTGTTGGAAAGATAAAATTCAGATACAGACAGAAAGAAGATATTAGAATAATAATCTGCATAAAGTATGATCATTAGAGATTAAATTAGAAAAGGAGCATAAATTAAAAGTAAACATTGACATTTTTGTATAATTGAAAAAGGGTTAAATATCTGATCATTATATTACAGGATAAGTTTTAGGAGAAGGAGCATTTGGAAAAGTATGGAAAGTTATACATAAGAAAACTAAATTGGAAAGAGCAATGAAGCAACTTAAAAAAAGCTCTATTTTAAAAGAAGATAAAGAGAAATTATTTTCAGAAATGAATATATTAAAGAACTTAGACCATCCTAATATTGTAAAATTGTATGAATTATTCGAAGATGATAAAAATTACTATTTGGTTACCGAGTAAGTACTAAATTGATTGAGGATAGGTTTTGTTCTGGTGGAGAATTATTTGATCGTATTAAGAGTATGAGCTTTTATAGTGAAAAAAAGGCAGCAGAATTAATGAGATAAATCCTAAGTGCTGTTTGGTATTGTCATAATCAAAAAATTGTACATAGAGATTTAAAACCAGAAAATTTATTATTTGTATCAGATTCAGCTGATGCTGATTTAAAAGTTATAGATTTTGGAACATCTCGCAAATTTGAATCAGGTAAAAGAATGACAAAAAGGTTGGGAACTCCATATTATATTGCCCCTGAAGTTTTGTTAGAGAATTATAATGAAAAATGTGATATTTGGTCCTGTGGAGTCATTCTATATATTTTGTTATGTGGTTATCCACCATTTTCTGGTAGAAGTGAATCAGATATTTTGAAAAGAGTTTAAGCAGCATAATTAAAATTTGATCCTGAAGATTGGGTTCATATTAGTGAGGATGCTCAAAATCTTATTAAAAATATGTTAAATCCAAATCCTTCCAAAAGATTAAGTGCTGAAGAAGCATTTAATGATAAATGGATTTAAAATAATACAGTTTCAAATTAAATTAATTAGAAAGCCTTATAAAACTTACAGTAATTTCATGCAAAGAGCAAATTTAAATAAGCAGTATTGACTTTTATGGCCACTTAAGTTATAACACAATAGGAATAGGATGAATTGAATAAAACTTTTTAGGCAATAGACAAGAATGGAGATGGGAAACTTTCAAGATAAGAATTAATTGATGGTTATACATCAGTAACTAATAATAAAGAATTAGCAATTCAATAAGTAGATGGAATAATGGAACTAGTTGATATTAATAGATCTGGAGAAGTAGATTTTACAGGTAATTATTAATTGGAATTTATATATTAGAATTTCTAATAGCTGCAATGAATTAAGAGAAGTTTCTTTCAGTTCATAAAATGGAATAAGCATTTAAAATAATAGATTTAGATGGGGATAATTATATTTCTAAAGCAGAATTATAAAATGTTATGGGGGATGTTGATGATGAGGTATTTAGATGTATTTTAAAGAGATTTGGATTCAAATATTAAAGGAATGTGATAGTGATAATGATGGTAAAATATCATTAGAAGAATTTTCATCTTTATTGCAATCTAAAGTTTTATGATTTAAATAGATTGTTTAAGAATAATCTTTATTATTATATTTATTATAATGATAATGCATTTCATTTTCTTTTTCTTGGTTCAGGAACTGTCGGATTGAGATCAGCCAATTTTTATTTGATATAAATCTATCTTAATGATTCAGCATTCTCATATGGTGATGATCTTTCAGGACATTCTAAAAAGAACCAAAGAATCTTAAATAAATTTAATTCATACATTTTCCACTTTGCATACTCTTTTTGGAAGATCATCTTTCACACTCTTTTCTTTTAGACAAGAGACAAAGTTTTTCTCTAACCAATTACATTCATTTCTATTGGATTAGTATATTAATATTACACATCATTAAGTGGTGGACGATATTTGACTTCCATGATATTTATATTAATATTAATTAAAGTCAATCAAATTAACATAAAAACTCTAATTCTCTATACCTCAAACTCTTCTCTATTGCTCTACTATATGCGGAATCCTCAGTTTTTAATCTATTAGATCTTAGATAACTTGTTTTTGTTTATCTTTTTGATGGAGTAACATTTTATAAATTCATTTATTAATGATTTGCACTTTATAATGTGAATTTCCTTTTGCATTATTAAGGAACTAGAGTTTATTTGAACTGTATGATGCCAATCTATTCACTTAGTTATTTTAATGCAACTGAATATTTTGGAGGAGCATATTTATATTCTTCCAATTTCTTTATTTGACCATATAACTTTCCAAAATTTCCTGCAAATTTTGTATCATCCTACAATTATTGAATAGAAAGAGCCAGAGCACATCTCTTAGCTAAGATTGTAATCAATTGAAGGAGGCATTGGTTGTATTCACTTTCAAGAGCACGAGTACTAAAACCACTATATACAGACATTTAAATTAATTAATTAAATCACAAATTCAAGAATGAAGCATTGATGAAATTATTTCTATAGATTATACTAATTCTTCTTCCTGCTTCATAAGGATTCAATATCAATAACTATCTTATGTGAGGGATCTTTAATTCTACTAAAATTATGTCCAATTTTCGAATTATTTGTGTTACACTACTCTAAATACAGATGTGAAACATATCATTATTGAAATATATAGCCATAAATAACATCTTATGTTTCATAAAAGCACCCTTATAAAGTAATTGATATTTTATTAATTGATTATCATTAATCTTATTAACTTTCATTATTTCTTAATTACATGGCAATATTTTAAATTTAATATAATTTTCTAATATTAAATTACATTATTTATAAATTTAGACTTGTTTTCCTCTTATACTTAAAGGAATATCTACACTTTTACAAGTATCATATTCATAAATTCTTAATCTAATAGGTTGCCAACGAAATGATTACTAAATTTCTTAACATGGAATATAACATAAAAAATTACATATTCTATCATTTTAATATACTAATTCATTCAATGTTGTTTTAAAAGTATTTAAACTAATTTAATTATTATTGATATTCATCTATTTTAAGATTTCCAACCATATTTTCTTTTCAAATATACATTTTTGGTTACGTAATAATAATGTATCAAATAACCAACACTCTTTATTGAGACTTTCTTCAAATGAATTATCTTATATATTATTCAACTATAAAGTAGATGATCTCATTAAATTATTAACACTTGACATACTTGAAGTAGCAGATCTTTTGTAATATTTTTTAGTATCTTTTATTTATTAAATATATAATTCTGTTCTATTTTTAAATGTTTCAGGTGCTTTTATTATAAGAGAATGAATCTTTGCAATTTCATTAAATCTCCATTTTCTACATAATTATTCCATCACTTCTTAAGGTTATTCTGGAAAAATTGAATCCAAAAAGTATTTATTCATTATTAAAAAATCTGATCTATGAATTGTAAAATAAAATCTTCTACAATTACTCTAATTATAAAAGTATAACTGAAAATAATTCTTTATTTATGTTACTGTTATAATAAAATAATTTTTATCAATTTTTTTAATCTATTTATAAATAATTCTTGAGTATGATTTCTATCCAATTAAGAAGTTATGATCACTAAATTAATTTCCTAATAAATATTATTTACGAATTTTATTTTGAGTAATAGGTACTAACTTTAATTTTGAATATGTGTATGTTGTTTTTAAAATCAAATACTTACACAATTAATTCATTAATTTAATGATATCATCATCATCAAAGACTTTATAAAGAAAAATATGAACTTTTGTTTTATTTCCAATTGGCATTACTTTAATTAATAACATATCTTAAAATACTGTTCCAGTAACAAATACATATCCAATATCTTAAATTTTACTTTGAATAAAATACTATTTCGTATTAACTAATTTATCTTATAAAAGTAAAAATCTAATGTCTTTTGATATTGATTATCTATTATCATTTTTTTATAGCTTCCTTCCAGTTAACGTTTTTTTCATCATTGTTTTATAGCTAAAGAGAATATCTCTTATTCTTCCATCAATCTAAAAAGTATGAATCCATCTTTCAGTTTACTATGAATTTAAAGATATTACATGTTTTCTATCATTATTTTTATAAATGAATAATTGAGCTCTTGCAAAATTATCACGAATATTCTAATGTAATTTATTGAAATCAGACTAAATTTGTAATTTTAACTTTATGATTTTGTAATTAAATTGTATCTATTTAACTAAAAAAAGAGAATTAAAATGAGGAAATAATAATATATCCTTACTATTTATTGTATTTTCATTCATTCTAGCAATATGTTTATTCATATCTTCATGAGACAAAATCAATCTAATTGGAAATTTGGGTTTTCTTATTTAATCTGGTTCTGACAACATTAATTTTCCATCTACATGCTTTAGAAATTAACAATTTCTCAAATGAATATCATATTTTACATATGAATTATTATCCAATACTCCAAGCAAAAAGATAATGTCTATTAATGGATCTCTTTTTTATAAATTCATATGATCTAAGCTTTCATCTTCTTGATTTATACTATCTTAAGACATTTCTTTTAATCCTTCTTCTATAAATTGAATTGATTCTCTAGCATAATAAAGTTTCTTATTTTATCTAAATAACTTTAGATTCTTTTTTATCAATAGATCATTCGTCTATTCTTATTTTAATTAAATCTTACAATTAACTATTTCTAATTTCGATTATAAAATCTCTTGTAACTTAATAAAATCAATAATATATCCAGTTCTCCCAACAGAATAGTTAATCAAATCCTTTAATTATATATCTAATTCATCTTCCCATTTATCTTTACAATAAATTTATTCTAATTTTAATTTATTAGTTAGAGTTAAAAAGTAGAATTATTTATCAATTTTTACAATTTATGTTTAAATTAAATAATTATCAGAATGTATTGGTTTGTAACACAACTTATCACATTTTACATAAGGATATTCTTCTCTAAAGTAATAATGAGATTCTATTAAGAATTTCTTTATTATGGGATTTGAAGTTGGATAATAATTAATTGGAGGGACATTTAATTTGAATTCTGAAAAATATCTTTATAAATAATCTTGAGTTTCAAGTGTAAATATATCATTTAATTCTACTTAAGTTTCATATTATAATTAAGATATTTTATTTTATTTAATTGATTATGATGATCTAAATCTAGAATAAGGAGTTTCACTAGAATTCTATCTTGATAATTTTTCATTATCCTTAAATGAATCATTGTTTATTTTACTTTTTTATCTGGATCCAGACCTTTTCTCCTATAATTATGATGTAATATTATCATTTATTAGACTATATTAGATATCATCATGAATGAAGAGATGATGTTTATCCTTCATTTTTTTTCTATATCTTTTTGCTTATTACTTTGGATTTTTTTAATCCTGACTAAACATAATGATATCTTTATATTAAAAATAAGATTTCATTCTTTCTATTTTTTATTAATATATTGTATTATTATATTTTTAAATAGAATCTTAAAGATCTTAAGTTTCTGATTTAAATTTAAATCCATTAATTGTTTTAACATAACTTTTTCTTCTAACAAAAAATAAGATTTTTGATAATAAATCTTAATAATAATCTATTTTTTAAGTTTCATCATTTCTTTATCCTTTGTTTTTGTCAGATAACTTTTATATTTTTTAATCTTATGTTTCTTAATTTTAATTTACTATATATAATGTATATAATCGATTTTCTTCTTTCCATTCATTTAATAAATTTTCTTAGTTGAAATAAATACTAGTTAATTGATTAAAAAGATCCATCATATCATCATAATTAGATATTTCTTTGTAATGTTAAGCTAATGAATTTATTATAAATCTCACTTAAAACTTTCGTATATGATTAGATAATTCTATTGAAGCTATCAATTAAATTGTTGCAGACTTTTTTTAATTAGATAACATTGCTTATATTAATTCAACAGTAAGTTATTAATATTATTTTTTATCTTATGATTTTTAAAGTATTTAAGCTCTAAATTTAGGATTTTATAATATCCATTTTTAAGTTTCATTATCTGTAAATAATTTATTATAAAAATGAATTGGATACCAATCTAATTAATTTGAAGGAGATATTAATTTATGTATTATTTTGCTAGCTTCATTTTCTAATATTTTTTTTTCAACAATATCCATAATCTCAAATCCATAAGTATTTGATCTTGTCATATTTTTAGTATGCGGATGTATTTTAATTGGTGAAATTTGATTTTGTTATAATTCAATTTCATTTCTTTTTTTTCTAGAATAATAAACATGATATTTCATTTTAGACTTTATTCTATCAACAGCTTCTAATAAAATCTCCATTGAATGTTTCTCTAAAAATTTTGCTATAATTGGATCATATTGTGTCATTACTTTAATAGGTTCTTCTTCAAATGAATAATTTCTGTCATCTTCTTATTACTTAATATTTTCATCATCATTTTCATTTGTTAAATTGATTCCACTACCAATTAATCTAATGTTACTTAATGTGGGTTATATTTCATTTGTAGTTATTTTCTTTTGAGAACTTCTTTCAATCTTTTAATTGCTTGGATTACTTGGAAACTTTTTGCTGTCTACTTTATAAAGAATATTAGTTTTGGATGGTTCTCTAATTTATGGCCTTGATGAATGAGATGGAGGGATTAACTAAATTAAATAATTGGAAACTATCTATTTAGTATTTCTTTATTTTGTAGCTTTTACAATTTCATATTTCCTTACTTCATCATAATGTGGCCTATTAATTATGAGATCATTAAATCTATCCTAAGGTTATGCTGTTTCCAATTATTTTATTAAACTTTATTCTAAAGAAGGTACTCTATTTTTTATTTTATCTGTATTTTTCTTTGAAACTATTGATTAACATCTAGTTGGACTTGTCATTTTTGTAGTTCCTTATGAACTCAAAGGTCTTTTTATTGGATTTTTTAATATAAATAGTTATTGAAATTACTATTCACTAAATTTTGGTGGATCTCTTTAACTAATTAGAGGTCTATCAATTTTAGTCTTATCAATCTTTTTTGATAATTTTGGTACTCTAGCAGAATCTACATTTATAATATAATTGTTAAGGTAAGTATTTTTAGATCTAAAAGATAATATTTTCTTTTCTTCTCTCTAAGTATTTTGATTTTACTCTATATTATCACCTTCTTCTTCTTCTTAACTTTAAATTTCTAAATTAACAGAGATTTTATCACTCAAATGTTCATACTACTTTTTATATTCTTGTGTTCTTTTATCATTAAATCCCAACAATTCTTCAGAAAGATGATAAGACTAAAAAAAGAGCTATGTTGCCTCTCTATCTTTATTTTATCTCTAGTATATTTTTGCTTAGAATGATAAGGCTTATAATAAAATTTGTTGAAACTTATTTGGAAATTCTTTATACAAATAAAAACTAAGTCCAATCTCCTCCATTAAATTTAGCAATTATTCATTCAATTGTATAACATTATTTCTTTTACACACTCTTCCATTTTCAATTAGATGATTAAGAATTTGAATTTAAATCATTATGATATTCCTTTCATTTGTCTTCGCTAAAGGGATTAACTGCATTAACAAATTATATGCCATACTATAATTCTTTTTGACTTCAAGGTACTCTGCATAAAACATATATGACTAATATTTAACAATTAGTTGTTCTTCCATATTTAACAAATTTGCTAATTCTATAGCTCTTTAGAGATACTTCTCTCCATTAAGTTTTTGAAATAGTAAGTATCTGCCTGTTTGGTTAAGCATTTCAATAAGATTAACACGTATTTCTTAAGTTTTTTAAGAGTGTTCCCCCAATTCTGTAATAGCATCTAAATAAGATCTCTCAAGCTATAGAAGTGAGATTTTCATGCAAATTTATATATTAAAATTATAAAAATCAACGACATATTCAATAAACTCATCTAAAAAAGATATTCATCTCAAAATTTAAATAAAACATAATTATAATATATAAAATGTATAGAAATAAATTATTTTGCTGAAATAAATTTCAAAATTGCTATATTTTATTAAATAAACAAAAAAGCATTCAATTCTTATTTTTTATCCTTTTTTTCTATTAACTAGTTTTTGTCTCAAAATAATTCTATATAATAGTAAATAAATAGATCATTTTTATGTTTAGATGTGAGTATTGTTTTTAGATTATATGTATTCAAAGATAAATTTAACATAATTTAATATTGATTAAATAATTTTACTTTATTTCTAAGTCTAATTTTTTTAATAATTTTTTTTACTGAAATGATGGATAAATAAATTTCTATTTATTTGTTCTTAATAATTTATTAATACTCATAAAACATATCAAATTAATATCCATAAAAGAATACTAAATGTAGAGATATCATAGAAAAAAGTAGCATAATAATTAAAAATTATTTTATCTTTATTTGATGATTAATCTAATTAATTGATTAGCAGTATTTATAAATTTCTATTTTTTACTATTTTTTATTGTTTATTTCATTATTAAAATTAAAATTGATATAGTTGTAATAGAATTGTAATTATATATTGTGAATGAGAATTCTTGAGTTCTTAATTAAATTTATATAAAATTCATGAATATTAAATTTTAAGAATTCAAAAAACAATTCCTCGAGTAAGGTTTACAATAATACAACTGATATTATCTGATTATCTTCTATAAGTTACATTATATTAATATGCTTTTAGTACTACTTATTATGCAGCATCTTAAGGATCTTATAATCCAATCTATTATTCTTTATACATATTTCTAACAAATTCAATTACTCTTTGACTTGGTGATATTTATTACATATTCTATTCAGATTCCTCTGTATTACCAAATCCATCAATAATACCATCACTACATAATAGTATAAATTCATCAGTTCTATAATCAATTTTAGTTACTCTTATATCAGGTTTTGCAGTGATTGTATTTTTTACATATTTCTTTTTTTCACCAAAATCACCAAAAGCTCTAGAAACAGCAAGATTTCCAAGTCTTCCACCAATTATATCAGCACAACCTTTTTTTTTTATTCTGGCACATTCAGAAGGAACATTTGGTTTATGATCTTCTGTTAAACTTATAGCTTCTCCTTGTCTTGATAATATTGCTCTAGAATCGCCACAATTTATACTAACAATATAATCACCTATTATCATAACTACAACAGCCACACATCCTGAATCAGTAGATGCATTTGGCTATACAACTTCAGTTAAAAAGTCATTATCCGTTTCTTTAAAAGTGGATCTAATATTTTCAAATAGAAAAGCCAAGAATTTATTTTGATGATCAAATTCTTTCTATTCTTAATTAAAATCCTCTCTTATATTATCCATAAGATTTTAAGACATATAATTAACACAAGAATTCCCATTATGTCCATCAAATATAGCATAACATGAAACTGGAACTCTACTACTTACTTGTAAATCTTATATAATTGTATATCTATCTTCTTAAGTTCTTTTTGTTCCAGGATCTTAAAAACATCCATAATTAAATCTTTAAACTAACAACTCTATAGTATTTAGTTTGATAACATCATCAGGTTAAATCACTCTAATTTCTTCTTTATTTTATTTATAAAATGTATTATAAGTATCAGTCTTAGAACCCCAAATCCAATATTTTCCTTATATGAATTTTATTAATAATTAAAAATCTGGATTTTCTTCTAAATCATCTATTTCTTATTTCTTAAGTAAAATATCAGGAGGTTTTTAATATCTTTGAGTTTTGGAACTAATTGTTGCACCAGACCATCCAAATTATAAAACTATTACTTTCTTTTTTTTATCCAATAAATTAATTTTAAATGCATCATAATTTTAAAGTATAATATCATCTATTTAATTATAAGCTTCTCTTAATTTAAGCAATTAATCTTGTGTGGCACTATAAGATTACACTGAACTTATTAATTAATCTATTTTATTCTATTTTAGTTATTTAAGATTATGAATATTATTTCCAAAGAAAAAGTGCTTTAATCCTTAAAGATCATAAATTGAAAGCCATTCTAAAATTTCATTAAAACCTTCTTGTACAGTTTAAATAATATAAATTTATTTTCCTATTGTTATTTCCATATTATTTTTAATGAGAGCAGGACAATCATAACGAATTTTAATTAAAGTTGGACCAAAACATGTAAGATGATATCCATTTTTCTTTTATTCTTCATTATACTTATATTTAATTTTCACATGAGTTTTCTCTAATCCACAATCTTCCATTTGTAAAGTACAACTATCATCACTACCAATAGTTTCTCCATTTTCCACTAAATTAAGATATATAAACATTCCTCTATACATTCCCTTAATACATCTTAATACATAATCAGTTCCATTATCTTCAATCTACGAAACACTCATATCATATTCCATGTTTTTTGTTAAAAGTTAAGCTTTTAAATCTACTTTATTTTTACTCACAATTTCACCTATTAACTTTATATTTGAATCAGATTTTTTAGCCATGAATAGGTGTAATATTTTAATTAAAATATTGTATAAACATAATTAAGTCAAATAATAATAATCAAATAATGGATACAATTGATTACATATATATATCTATATTATTTCAATCATAATTGAGAAGTTCATCTTTATCCATCAAATCTTTAGGAGTAATTTATTAAAATTTTATTATTTTTTAATCCAATTTCGGTTCATTTACTCTTTATGTATTATTATAAGAATTCTCTGGTAAAGCAACTTCCACTTATAAATCAACTTATGGATTTACATTGTCAATATTTTCAGTTATTTCATAATTTATTCCTTTAGCCATGTTTTAGATTTCATAATACTTTTAAAATATCATCTCAATAGTAGGACCTAAAAGTTAAATTATTCTTTAGTTTTTTTTATTATTATGTTATTATTTTAATCTACTATAAGAATCATAAATTTTCATCAATCTTTTTGGTTTATTTAATGAATAATTTTATCTTCTTATTTTGTGTTTTGGTTTCTATAAATTTAATTATTAGAATAAATCAATTCTTTTGGCATCTTCTATAGGTTAATGTTAATAAGTTGGATTTATATTAATAATAGGTTTTGGTGTATAACTAAATACTTTAATTTAATCTTTTTCCAAAATTATAGATTTTAATTTATCTATTTCTTAAATCTTTTACAACAAATGAACAATATCAAGATCTCTATCAATAACCATTTTACATTATCCTAACATCTTCTTAGTAATCTCAACTTATTCACAACAAGTGCACCATAAAAATTCAAAAAGTATAAAATTTACTCCTAATCTTAGATCATGTCTTGTAGAATTAAAAGTAGTTACTAATCTTTATAAAAAATTTCCCTTATAATCTTATAATTATTCAACATATTTTTAGAATTGTAATTAATCAATTTAAGGGGTTTCTACATAATCTCGTTGTTGCTATGATTATTAATGTGAAACATTAGGATTTTAAAATTTTTAACTATTCCAAACCCTCATCACCATACTTGTTCTTACTAATGTTTTAGTATGTTATTTTAATTTCTATTATAAATCACTTACTCTATTTAGAGAAGCTTAGATAACATTTAATAATTTATCATATGAGAATTCAAACTTTCCATTTTTTTTCTTTGGTATATTAAATTAATATAAATGATTTGCTAATGATATTTTTAATCCCATTTCATTATATTAAAGAGCTATTAATCCAAAGATTGTTGAGATTATTTTTAAAATCCCTCCAAAATACGACAAAAAAGAATCAATTGTTTCAGCTGTTTTTTTATTTTATTCATAATCTTAACTTATTCTAAAATTTAATGAAAATAATATACTAGGATAATCATGATACTCCTAAATTATAATTAATTAATACCCTAAATTCTCTTTAATTATATATTTAGAATGACCAAAAATCTTTTCTCTCCTCTTCTTTATATAAACTTAATATACTATTTTCTGCTATAATTTTGTTGTTTTTAAAAAATATATCAGCTTTGCTTTCTTCCATAAATGTTGTTTATAAATAGAAATCTGAATTTAAATATCGAAAGAGATAATTGTCTTTACTGTTTCTCATATAAATTGATGATTAAATTAATGTTGATAATGATACTAAAATAGATTTATTTTTAGCAATATAATCGATCTACTCTTTAGTATAACAATCATTTGTATAACAGATTGATATTTTCAATGCAGGATATAAAAAGAATTCAGAATTAAATGTACCTTATAATTTCAAACTAAAATTAAGAGGTAGACATAAATAAGAACTTAAATCAGCTTATATTTCCTAAAAGCCTTCATAATTAAGATTTTAAAAATGATCATCTCTACATTGTTCAAAGAATATTTTATTTAAAACTGTTTTAATTCGTGTTCCATTTGCTAATGTAGATATTTCCATTTAATTTATCACAATATCATAAGCTTTTTTGTTATCATTTGGATAATAAATTTAAAATGGATTATCTAGTTTTATAGCAAACATGAAATTCGTTATGTTCATTTCTTAATACTCAGGATTCATATTTTGAAGTTATTATACATCAATCTAAATAAAACAACTGCAATACATTAAATTTATCTCTTAATAAAAGACTGATTAACCCAGTTATGAAAATATATAACAGCACTATTGTCATAGCAAGTGACATGATTCCTCCACAAACGCTCTAGTATTGTTTTCTATTCCTAATATTGAAGTTTAATGAGACTCCAAAATTATCATAGGAACGTATAAATCTCTTAATATTCTTCATCAAAGAGAACATAAAATTTAATTTAATCAAATAATTAATACATCACCTTGATTGAATTCACTTTCAAAGTAAAAATTATAAAGCATTAATATTAATATTCAAATTAGATAAAATAGTTAATAAACATAACTGAAACAAAGTTTTAAGAATATAATCACAAACATTTTATTTTTAATATATAAAAAATTATTATTATTATTATTATTATCTAAGAGTTAATTAGAAGATTAATTTATAAATTGACATAAAAATATTATATATATGGGTTTAATATTGTTTTTGTATTGAGTAAATAATGAATATAATTGGAGTTGAAGTTCTTAAGAAATTTTTAGAAGTTATACTATATAAAAAATAATAAAAATAAAGTTTAAATTTTCATAGAACAATATTGAATATACCATCAATATTTTGATGATAGAAAGAGAGTAAGTTTTACTCAATTATTTTACTTCATTATTAATAACAATCATAAAATTAGGAGTATTTCCTTTTGTTTATTAGCTATATTTTAGATTGTCGATAAATATAAATAATTAAAAAATTATTTATGCTAGGAGTTTAGGAATGTTGTTTACATCTATTGAGAAAAATAATTTGAAGTAATTTGTTTTGGCGTTTTACATCTTTTATTTAATTTTTAATATTTTTATTTATGTTTAGCAATCAATTATTTAAGTATAGAAGGTTATACCAATAATCATTTAAGTTAAAATCACAACATGAAATTCAAGAATTTCAGATTACAGCTAAATTGTATGAACATTAATCAGCTGCTTAAATACTTCATTTTGAGGCTTAAGATAAAAATTAAACATTTGCAACAATTTTCAGATCTGAACCTACAAATAGTCAAGGAACTCCACATATTTTGGAACATTTAATTTGTTGTGGAAGTGAAAAGTATCCAGTTAGAGATCCATTTATGGCTATGATAAAGCGTAGCATAAATACTTATTTGAATGCATGGACAGGTCCTGATTATATTTGTTTTCCACTTGCATCATTAAATAAAAAGGATTTTGAAAATCTATAAAGTGTTATATTGGATTTAGTTTTTAAGCCTACATTAAATGAATTAGATTTTAGATAAGAAGGATCAAGACTTGATTTTGATAAAGGAAAATTAGTATATAAAGGAATTGTTTATAATGAAATGAAAGGGGCTATGTAAAACCCAGAAAGTGTATTTTGGTAAGAAATGTAAACTTACTTATTAAACAACACAATTTATCAACATAACTTTGGTGGAGATCCTAAAGCTATACCTAGTCTTACTCATTAAGCTTTGTTAGAATATTATAAATAAACCTTTCATCCTAGTAAAGCAGTATTTTATTCTTATGGAAGTGATCAACCTAATTTTGATTTAATAAATCAATATCTCTAAGTATAAAAACTAAATTAATAACAATAATCTCAACAAGAACTTAAACCTTTAACACCTCCAGATATCATTTCATTGCCATATTAAGATGGAGATAAATAATGTTTCCTTGCTTTTTAAACAATTATTAAGGATGTTGATTATGTTTAATAATTGGCAATGAGCATTATTTCTCATGTACTTTTTGATACATAAAATGGATTATTATATTCATTAATAGAAGAAGGACTTGCAGAATCCTTTAGTAGAAATGTTGGGATTGAGTAATATGGTGATCATCATGTTTTCAGTATTTCATTTTAAGGAGTTGAGGATGATAGAAAAACTTTGAATACAATTTAAGAGAGGATTAAATAAATATTAGAATAATTAACTAAAGAATTTCCTTAAGATAAAGTGGATGCTGCATTACATTAAATTGAAGTTTAATTCAAAATGCCAACTTCAGAAATGGGTTTGAAATTATTGAAGTTTTTAATTAATCCAATCATTAATTAAAAAAACTATATTGAATATTTGGAATTCAATAAAAATATGGCAAGTTTAAAATCTAAAATTTCGTAAGGTTATTTATAACAATTAATTAAAGATCATTTTATGAATCCATATATATTATTTGGTTAACCAGATAAAAAATTTTTGTAAAATTTAATATAAAATGAAAATAAGTAATTAGAAGAAATTTAAAAATCAATTACACAAGAAGAAATAGATAAAATAATAAAATTGAATTAAGATTTAGATAATAGAGATGAATCAGATTTCTCTATACTTCCTACAATTGAATTATAAGATATTTCAGCAAAAGTTGAGAGAGTTTAATTTAATGAGGATACTATAAGAGGAGTCAAAGTATATGAGTCTATTTAAAAAACTAATGGTCTCATATTCTTTAAATTCAAGTTTAATTTAGGAGAAATATCTGAAGGCACTAGATAATACATAGATTTTTTTGTTTAATTGTTTGGTAAATTTGGAACTACAAATTTCAAATATTCAGAGATTAGTTAGATGTTTAGTGAATTTACTTTAGGATTAGAAGTATCATATGATTCAGTTTAAAAAAAAGGAACATATTTGATGTTTAGTATAGCATGCTTAAATTAGAATATTTCAAAAACACTAGAATTATTAACAGAATTATTTTGCAACATTAAATTTAAAGATAGATCCCATTTGGCAACATTATTAAGGAATCACAAAGTAGCATTGTAGAATTAAATATTTGATGAATAATTACAATATGCTGCTTAATTAGCAACATCTCAAATTTCAGAATAGTATTATTTAACTGATACAAATTTCAATACAAAATTTTAACTTTAATATGCTCATCATTATTTAAAAGCTGACAATCAAAGAAAATCAATGTATGTTGATGATTTTGAATTTCAAATGACTGATATTTTATATACAATTATGAATAAACATAAATTGGAAGTTATTATTCATTAAGATGGATCATCAAATTACATATAAAGTTTAGAATAATTCATAAATTCTATAAGACATAAATACCCAGGATTTGATATGGATCCATAGCCATAATATATAGAATAATTTAAAGAAAAATTTGGAAATGTAGCTTCATTAATTCCATCTTAAGTTAATTGTTCATCTAGAGCATTTAAAATACCTTATTTTACTCATGAAGATACTCCTGCTATTTAAGTATTGGGAGATTGTATTTCAAATAATTATTTACATAGAGAAATAAGAGAAAAAGGAGGTGCTTATGGATCAGGTTGCAGTGTAAGATCTATTATGGGAACATTTTGTCTTTGGAGTTACAGAGATCCAAATTTAATAAATACATTTAAAATTTTTGATAGTATATAATTGGATTTAGATGAGTAAAAATTGAAAGAAGCTAAATTAACAGTATTTTAAAGATTAGATTAACCAATAGAACCTTAGAATAAGGGATTAGATTACATTATTACTGGATTAAATCATGATTAAGTGGATGAAATGAGGGAGAGAGTAATTTCAGTTTCAATTTCTCAGGTGAGGGATGCTTTTGATTAATATCTTAAATCTTAACCTTATAGTTAAGGAAGTATGGTATCAGAAGAACATTAAGATATAGAAGAGTTAAAGAATTTAGGATGGTAAATAAATAAATTAAGTATTGATTGATATATGGTATATTAAATATAAAGAAATTAATAACTTTAATTTATCATACATATCAATTCTTATCTAAATCTTAGTTAATGTTATCATTTTTTCTAATTTTAATTCTAATAATATAAATTTAGACTTTTAAATTAATCAATAAATTAATTATCTATTTATTTTTATGTCTAGATTTAATTTTCCTCATTTATTTTTGGAATAGATTTGTCAAATTAACAATCTGTATTTTAAGAATCCCCTTATGTTAATAGATAATTATCGATTTCTAATTTTTCTTTGTTTGATTACATAGAAAACTATAACTAAATACATAAAAATATAATACTTGACCTCTGAAAATTCTTAGGAAATTTTCTTATGTATTATCTTATACATTTTTGTGCATTTTACTATCCAAACATTCATTGGAAAGGTGGAAAATAAGTTTATCAGGATGCATGATGTGTTAAGAATTATAAGGACAAGATATTTGTAATTATTATTGCATTAATCAGATAAGAATCGATTAACCAACTTTATAATGAAATAATTAATGAACTTTTATAATTATTTATTATTTTTTTTTCAAAACGGATAGAATGAGAATGAAACATCTAGTTTTGATAGGTGTTATTCTACTGCAAGGTAACATTTCTTTGAAAACTATTTAGTTTGCTTTGTGTAGGCATTGCATTATGACTTAACTACACTTTTAGATTAGTAAAATGAATTAGATTGCGAAAATACAGATTTTGTGTAAATGTTATAAGATTTTGAATAATGGGGAGAGATTATTGAATTATTGCAAGATGGATAATTAGATTCAGAAATGAAATAATTACAAGAACTTTCAGAATTTACAAATGAAATGATATCAAGTAATTATTATAAATAAATATTTATAGCCAATCCAAATGATTTGATGGAAGATTCCTCTTATGATGAATAATTAGAGGCTATGGATTAATAATTATAAACAATCCAAAATTAATATAATGGTCCATAAAGAAAGTTTTTATTTGAACAAAGTAGACAAATCTCTGATCAAATCAGAAAAGTCATTGAATCAAGTATGATTAAAAATTTAATAACAATATAGGATCATTTGAGTAAAAGAGATCCCAATTGGCAATGTTATATGGTTTAATTGAATACTTATTAAAATAAATTTCAAGAGTCTAAAATCAATATTAATAAACAACATAACCATAATAAAGATAATAATAACCTTAACCATAACCATAATAAAGAATTAATGAATAGAGAGAAAGAGTTATTGCTATAAAAGATAAATGTGGTGACAGATATTAATAAAGAAAAGTGTCAAAATAAAGAGTAGTCCCTGGAAACTACAGATAAAATGATCATCCAGTACCTGAAGAAGTAGGTTGTGATATTCCTTTCCCATAATAAAGATAACCAAAATGTGTTGTTGGATCAGATATCATATTAACAAGTTCAATTTCAGCTGATTAACCTACTGTTGAAACAGAAGTCAAGAAATTAAAGGATGTTAATGAATATGGTTTTGGATTTTGGATGAGATTTTTAACATTGTATCCAGAATAATTGTAAAATGGTTTAACTGATTAATCTTATTTTGTTGCTAAATTGACAAAGAATTAATAGGATGGAGATGATAAAATTGGTGATAGATTATTAACTATATTCTAAACTTAAGAATAATATATTTTTAGTGCTTAACATGATAAACCTGAAAGAAAAGAAGCTACAGCTGCTATTGTTTTTGGAGATATTGAAGCTGTTTGGACATACGTTTATTACAGTTATTCAGCCTATCAATAATAAGCTATTGGTTTCTATAAACAATCAAACAGTTAATTAGTTAAATAAGTCACATTACCAGCATCTTAAGGAACACCATAATATTTGAGATTTGTTTTGGGAGGTCAATATTTTGATTTCCCAGGATTCAATGGTCAAGTTAGTAGACCAGTATTAGCAATTGGTCTGGGAACCTATTTAATTAATGAATAAGAATTTTTGTAATATGCTATTTCATGTAATCCATAACCATATGTTGCACCATAAAAATTAGTTCCATATTAATTTGTTAGAGAATCCAAATATGTTGATATAGAAGATAATAATGCACCACCTACATAAGAATTTATTGACTTATTATTACCTGATGAATATGCAGTTTAAGGTTGGTTCAAATGGGAAGAAACAGATTTGTAAGAGAATTGGCATACCATGTTCAGATTATCCAATACACCATTAAGAAAATAATAAATTTTATTAGGTGAAAGAGTATTGGCTGCTTGGTTAGGTAAACCAAAAGGAGGATAAATCCACTTCTCTACATATTCTTATGCAAATATGAAAGGATCTGGTAATCCTAATGCCCATCAATATGTCCAACATTAAGATTAACATTTACATTGGCATTTTGTATACTTTGGTTACAGCAGAGATTAAAGAAAGGCATATGCTTAAGTCTTATTCAAACATGTTCATGCTAAATCTTTAAGTTTCGTCAATGTTAATCACTTTGTATCACCAAAACATTATTTCTATTTTGGAAGAGAGAGACAATTCCCAGTTTACAGTGGATTTATGGCTTATCTTGAAGTATTCTTCTGTAAAGGATCTTATTTAACAAATGTTAAACCAGCTTTAAGACCAGTACCAACACCACCTCCCCCTAAAAAGAGATGTGTTGAAGGACCAAATAGAATTATTAATGCAAAATATGATAAAGGTCCAGTTGTTCATGTTGAATTACATAAAGATGATTTGAAAGACACTACTTAATATGGTTATGGATTCTGGTTCAGATATACTGGTTTGGCAGGTGGATAAAATGAAAATAGTAGACCAGATTGGTCATTGATTGCCCGTCTTACAAATAAGAAGGAAACACCAAAAGATATTAGAGATGGTTTATTAACTATTTTCTAAGGAAAAGTTGGTTTCTTTTATATCACTGCTAATAATAAAGCTAAGAAATTAGTAGAATTAGCTTAACCATTTGGAGATATTGAAGGAGTTTGGATTTACACTTATTTCAGTTATACTAGATATAAGGCTATTGCATTCTATTAGATTGAGAACTAAGCACCAATTACTTTAGAAGCCAAAGTTACACATCCAAGAATGGAATAATTATTATTCTAAGTTGGTGGAAAGGATCCATAAGATAGATATTATTCATTTAATGGTTAATTCCATAGACCAGTTTTAAGATTAGGATCAGGATCATTCTTTGATACATTAGAAGAATATAATCCATTCTGTTTAAGTTGCAATCCTCAACCATAAAAGGATTGTTCAAGTAAAGGTTTGATTAGAGCAGTATCAGCCAAGGCTTCATAATTCAATGGAAATCCAGTTAATTCTGGTGATAGATTTGGAACAACTGAATAATATTCTGTTTAAGGATGGTTCAAATGGAATGGTAAGACATCTGAAAAAGATTAATTATTATTCAGATTAACATCTACTCTTGCTGGTGAAGATGCACTCAATTTCGATACACTTAGTTGTTACTTTGATACTAGAGATTAAACACTTAATTTCTATACTTATACATACACTGATTAATTAGGGTAATTTTATATAATTATAATATTAGATCTGGAAATCCTGAAGTTAGATAGATTGTTGAAGGTAAGACATTTGTCAAAGATTGGTTCCATATTTACTTCGCTTATTCAAGAAAGAGTAGATAAGCTGATGTTATTGTTGAACATTCATAAGGAAAGGGAGCTTTATCATTCAAGAATGTAAATCATTATGTTGCTCCATCACTTATTCTTTACTATGGAAAAGATTAATTGACTGATGCTTTCTAAGGATTTATTTAAGGATTGAATTTATTCGCTTGTGATATTACTTATTAACCAACTCCAAAACCAGTTGAAGATTGTACACCAATGAAAGAGTATTAAAATTCACTTATTTTATTAGTCCAATTTGTTTAGCAGGTGATTAATATGAAAACGTATCATTGACTAATATTGATAATGTTGTTTAAGAATTAGAAAAAAGAAAGTAATTAATGTAAGACAAATAATTTGTTTTGCCAACAACCTAATGCTTCTGTTTCCCATAATAAGGAAAGAAAGTTATTCCTTAGAGATAAGAAGGTTTCCTTGAAATTTATGATGATGACGAAGAACCATAACAATAAGATTCTGTTGAAATATGAGTTTGTCATTAAAATCATAAAATTATCATCATCAATCAAAAACTATCAATGAAATTTAATCACTCTTGAATTCTTTAGAATGAGAACGATCTTTCTTTTCTTATTCCTCTTGATCTTACAAATCAATTAAAGATGCTAATTTCTAAATACAATTATCTTGATCAAGTTTTAGATTATCATCTTATAGATGATCAATTTAATTTATTGATTTGTAACAATCCTTATGATCTTGATTGGATGTATAAGATTAATTTATGTTTAATTAAAAATCATTAAATTAAGGTTAATTTCTAAATTAATTGAAATCATCTTAGAAATTATTTTCAACTAAGTTATACTATTAAGGTGATTAAAAGTTTGCCGTCTTTTATTGTTGTTTTAATTATTGAATCTATTAAGGTTATTATTGAAATTGTAATTAAGAAAGAGATTTAATTTAATTTTATTCTTCATTCTCTTATAAAATATCATCAAATAATTCAATTAATTAATTATTCTATTTATTTTAATTATCTTAAATTTATTGAAATTCTATAATAATATTTTAAGTCTCTTTTGGTTTTTCCTAAATTATTTGTAATTATATCTCATTTTATTATATGAATTAGTATTATTAAGAAGATTAATCCTAATTTTTAGTATTTTATTAAGAATTTAGATTTGATGAATCATCTTTATTTTCGACTTCTGATTCAACTTAATATTATTGATGTGAATTAGGTGAATCTTATGATAATTCATGATGAACAGAGATACTTTAATTAATAATAGGATTTTATCTTGAATCTTTCAGTTCCTATTATTATTAATAGCTACTTAAGAAATCTCTATCACAAGGACTTCTTTGATTAGCAGTACTCTTTTGTCTGTCTTCATCGAATTGATTAGATAATCTTAGATTATTATCATCTTCAAATTTCTGTTCTGTTTTATCTTTTACAGAATTATTGAATTCATTAATATCAGGTTCAATTTAGTTTTCATCATATGAACAAAAACTTTAATTACCATAAATATTTTCATTTTATGAAATATCTTGATTAAAATCATCAAGATCATTAAAATATTTCATATTCTTAATTTTTTATTATTGTAATTTCATCTATTCTTCTTTTAGTTTAGATTTTAATTATTCCATAATTGAACTTTATTTTATTGCTTATAACTCTTTCTTTTCTTTAATGGATTCTAAGTATTTCTACTATTCCTCTTTATATTATTATATTTATAAATCTTATTTTTATTTATCCTTAATTTCTAAAGCTAAGTAATTATCAATATCAATTCTACAGAGAGGACATTGTTTAACTTTCTAACTTATCATAATATGATCAGCACAGACAGAACAAGTACACATATGTTTACAAGGTAAGAGAACAGTATTAATCATATTATAAAAACAAATTACACATTCTTTATCCTAGATAGTATTTGGATTCCATTCAGGATTGAATAATGTATTTTATACACCATAAAGTTCATGTATTTCAAAAAATCGACTTTTATGTATGAGAATTTATTTTGTATTAATCAATTCACATTAATATGTTTATTCGTTACAATCTATTCGATAAAAGTAAATTATCTGGAAGCTTTTTGAATTTAGACCTCTCTGTATATTCATATATATAAACTTACCATTTCTATTATTAGTGTATGATATTATGCATCTGGATTGATTCTCATTTTCTTAAATCTTAGAATGTCAATAATCATGAACTCTATATATTTAGTAGGTAATTAATAGTTCAATCCTGATGGACATTTAAATGATTAGGTTGTACTTGATGGCATACTTTTTTCATATCTAAAAACTTTGAATTTTAAATTTTAAACCTTTATTATTTAGCTCCTTTAGTTTCAGTAACAAATGTATGAACTATGATTTAAAAATTCACATGACAACTGAAAGTTAAATCTAACTAAATTTTATCAACAGAATCATAAACTATTTCAGCATTAATTATTTGTAAATTAAGTTTTATGATATCAACATTCCCTGATTTAGATTCCTTAATTTAAATATTAGGTGTGTCTTAAACTTAACTTTAAATGACTTAAATTTATAAAATAATGAATTACTTTTATCCAAATTTCTTGATATTTCTTTTTAATTTTGTAAAATATTTCCCATATTAATTTTTATGCAATAACTTAATTTTATATTACTTAATTTAGTATACATAAATCTAGAATTTATCTCAAAAATATACACAATTTAAGTTAAACTTTTAATTTATTCTACACAATCCTCTTTCTGGAACTTATTATTCTAAATATTTGAAGAATGTATTAATAATTGAAATCCAAATTTAACATTTAAATTAATAATTAAACCTCCTGAACCTTATCTTATGTCTTGAACAATTGAAGATACAAAATTTAAGTTTGTTTATAGAAAATAAAAAAATAAATTTTCAATTAGAAAATTTAGATAATATTATAATATCAAAATAACATTTCTCTGATTACCTTAAAAGTTTAATAAATTATATTAATATTAAAGATCTCATTCTTAATTTAGAGAAACATAAACTGAAATTAAATAATTAGATCTAAAACCATATATCTAATAAATTTTTAAATAACCTATGAATTTGTTATTCAATTCTTATACAAAGACTATTAATTGAGAATAAGTACAATCTTAATTGAGGGATAGATGAGATATATTGAAAATAAAGAAATAATTTTTTAAATGAGTTTCTTAAACAAATTAAGAAATTACAAAACATTAAAAAGGATTTCAGAATAGATTTTCTTAATTTAAATATGTGTGCATACTTAATTAATAATGTCTAGCTATTTAACACAAGAATTAGAAGAATTTATGCTCCCCTTAACATAACTTAAAGAAAGCGTTTAAGAATTGAATATAGAAATAGGCCAATACAAAAATGAAGTAATTGATTTCAAAACAATTTTAAAATGTTTAGATAATGATATTTGGATATAATTAAATATATTTATGAAGATTCAAAATGAATTTAACTAAAAAAAATTAAACTCGAGTATGAGTTGTGATAAATATTTAAAATGAAGTCAGTCTTATAATTTTGAAGTATTATAATTAATGAACATTTAATATTCTTTCTTGCCTAACTATCAGTTCTAAAGGATTATAGGACATGGAACTTTCGGATATGTGTTTGAAGCTTATGATAGAACCAATGACAAGAAAGTTGCTATCAAAAGAATCTAAAAAATTTCTAAACAATTAAGTAGAGAATATGAAATACTACTATTACTCAAAGGATCTCCAAACATCATTCAAATAGAAGTATAATATGTTATATATATAGGACATATATTTGTCTTAAACTGATGAAGGAATAAATGTTCAAAATATTATCTTTGAATATAAGGATTTCTCCTTAGAAAATATTTTAGCTTAGGCAATAAGAAATAGATAGTTCTTACAACCAAATCAAATTAAAAGTCTAATGAGATAAATCATAGTAGGATTATGTAGTTTATCTGCTAAAGATGTAGTTCATAGAGATCTAAAACCGTAATTTTAATAATTATTTTAAGTGAAAATATTCTAGTTGATAAGGATGGTAATTTAGTATTATGTGATTTTGGGAGTGCAAAAGTAATTGATCAACGTGGAATGAATACTTCTTATGTAGTATCCCAATATTATAGAGCTCCTGAACTTATTTTATCTCATACAAATTATGGAGCTGAAATAGATATCTGGGGTAAATAAATAGATTCTTAATTTAAGCTGCTGGATGTATTTTTTCAGAGATGATGGACTTAAAAGTATTGTTTGAAGGTAAAAATGAAGGAGATCAACTATATTGCATCTTCTAAACATTGGGAAGTCTTAAAGATATTGAGATGATATATTTATTTCAATATTAGTCTTATAACTAAGAAATACAAAAGAGATTCAAAGGATATGAATAGAAGGATATAAAGTTTTGGTTAAACAAGTTCTCACATATTCCTAATAATGAACTTGCAATTGACCTCTTATTGAAAATGCTTTAGATAAATCCTAGAAGAAGAATAACAGCTAAGGAAGCTTTGTAACATCCTTACTTTCAGCCTTGAACAATATATGTATGTATGTGTGCAATTACTGATATTTAAAATAATATATTGTAAAGGTCAAAATTGTAGATAAATAGTTTATTCAATAAGGAATTTGACTATGTTATTATGGATAGATCTAGGATATCTGTTTATCCAATTTTTATCTTGCCAATTCCAACATTAAATTTAATTCATCTTAACTCATTCTTAATCCATGATCTTCTATATTTTAATGATCTTTATCCATTACTTTCCATTCGAACTAAAATTTAGATTTATATAATTACTATTACAATCAGTTCAAAAATATTGAATATCAAAATTATGACTAATATTATACAAACCAAACATCCAATAATTGTAATAATAAAAGATTCAATTTATGATCTCATTGATTCAATATTTAATGAAATTAGAACTATTGTTGCTATTATTATACTTGCCAAAATAACACCTGAAGACATCAACCAAAATAATTTATTAAATTTTAAAGGATCTTTTAAGGATTTTATTAAACTGTATTCTTTGTATGTTTTAATTACATATTAGAATCTACAAAAATCACATTATAATCTTTTAATAAATTATCTTCTATTGAAATCCATATAATTAGCTTCAATTTCATTCTATACACATTTTTAATGAGCATATTATTGTGTTCCTTTACATAAGCAAGGTCTAATTAAATGTGCAGACCAATCTTATTCATTACAAAATTTACATTGTCTCTCCTCAAATACTTTTACTTAAACCTCTTAAAACTCTTAACCATTTATTTTTTTAACTGATGTACTTTATTCATTTAATGAATCTTATTATCTATGTGAATTTGTTCTATTTTTAAATGTAATCCGTGGATTAAATTTAGGATTCTATCTGTTTGCTTATTATGGAGTTTTATATAAACTATTAGAACAATCATAATCAACAGGAGTCATATAAAATGGGTTATTTTATAATTCTATATCTGTTTCATTATTATAACTTCTTTTTATTGTTGAAGCATTAGGAGACAATGCCTATCCTATAAAATCTCTTTGAGTTTATTCCCTAGTTGGTTTCTCTTTTATAACTCTAATTTAATACTATACTAATTTACTCTAAATTTATTTCTTATTGTTAACTTCCCATAAAGCTAAATGGAATCCTACAAGTTCCTGTAGGAGTAATTCGAAAAGTTTCATTTGCCATTATTAATTTAATGATAGTAATCTCATTAAATTTCAGTATTTTTGAATTTAACTAGAATTTTAGTCAGAAATTAGTGAAAACTCATTATTTTTAGTAGTGAATAAATAAATTATATAAAACAATTAAAAATTATTGTCAATTTTTTAAATTATATCTCAATAATTAAAATAAAGATCCTTAAGTTAACTATTTAAATCTCCAATCTAAATAATTAAAAAAAAAATTAAAATTATAAAGACATATGTATATAATCTGAATAAATTTAAATATTATATAATGTAAAGATGTAATTGAAAATTTTTTATAGTGTTTATCTTTTCAATATGATTATGTATTTTATTTTAACTTAGAATAACATTATAATAATTAAAAAACGATCAAACTCACATTTATATTTTCTATTTCATATATTAGCATTATCTTTTTTATTTATATTGTTTTGTTAATTTGATAAAATAAATTTTGATAATTTTATAATCAATTTGATTAAGGAAATGAATACTTATAATGTAGTTAGTTTTGATTTTACACGAAATGATGGATTAGTAACAGTAAAAGTGAGACCCAAGATAACAAATTAAATAAATACAGTTATAATATCAAAAATAAAGAATTATTAATTGTTAAAGGAAAAATATAGATGTCTTAAAAGTGATATTTAAAATCTCAAAGCTCTTTTAAAGAGATCTTATAATGTGAGAGAATTTAGAGAATTTTATAGAATTTATGGACCTAAATTAATAGAAATAGATTTTGGTTTTATTGAATTATTTAATCTGAAAGTAAAAAATATTAAATCAATAATAGGGAGAAAACTAGTTTTCTATTGAGGAAATTTATTAATTTAAAAAAGATGTAAATTTTATGAGATGGGGAAAATTGTTTACAATATCTCAACTTGAGAGATTTAAGGATGGTTCATCAGTGTAAGATTAAATAGTTGGATTGCAGTAAGAATTTATATAAAATATTAGATTTTATAATATGCTTGTAAAAGAAAGAATATATACTTTAAGAACATTGCGTTATTATAAGAATGATGTTGAAAGAAAAAAATTTCCTTATTAATTCTTATATATTTATGATTTAGAAGATAGCCTATAAATTAATTTATCATCTTTTTAGGAGTATTTATCATAAATTTAAGATGAAATATATACAAAAACTAAAATGTAAGAATAACAATTGCCATCATTGAAAATTCAATTCTTTAAAAAATAATTTCAAAATTTTTAATTTTAAAACATAATAGCTCCTTTTCTCTAATTAAAGTTTGATGAATAAAAGTTGATATAATTATTTTTTATTCATTTCAATTTGAGTGGTTATCAAATTAAAAATTATTAAAATAGTAATGATGATTAATTAGAAAAAAAAGAATTATTAAAATATAAATGTTATATATTTGTAAATCATGATACTACATTTTATTCTTATGAATAATTAAGGAATGGTGCTATAGAATTTGCAAATATTCATGATTTTACCATATCAAACAGCGATATCTTATTTATTAATATTAAAAAGTAATTAAGATCTTTTTATTAAGTTAAGAAAATAATTTTTTAGAGGAATATGTAAAATACATTGAATCTGAATTTTTTTTACCAGAAATATCAATTGAGAGATAAATGAATTATATATTTAACGAATTACCCAAAGAGATCTCTAAAAAGCCATTTAATAGTATTTTAGATGAAAAATTCATCATTCCATAAAATATTTAGAATATAATGAAGTAGTTATCAGGTGAATTAAAATGAAACATAAAATTTATTAGTATTATTTATTTTATAATAATTATGATTTATAATAATAATAATAATAATAATAATTAATTACCAATCTCAATAAGAAATATATAATTATTTTTTTGATTTTATATCATTCTTTAGTATAATCTCAAAGATTTATTTAAATTCAAATAAAAAATTATAATTTTTATGGATGAGCTCAAAAGAAATGATTTCAATAATAACTATCACTTTAGAATAGATACATAACCTTAATAATAAGAGCGCAATTAATTTCTGTCCAATGATTGTGATTTTGAAAGTCCCTTGAAAACAGAAAAGTTTAATATATAAATAAAGATTAAGAAAGAAATATACACAAATGAAGAAATGAAGAAATTTAAAAAATAAGGAATAGTCTCATTAATAGGAGGAATATTAATTCATTTAGAACTAGGAACATTTTATGTTTGGGCATCCATAAGTAAGGTTATTAATATAACAAAGGTCCTTATGTTGCAGCTTGGATGAGAATTAAAGATAAAAGTGTTACACTTAATTTAATGTCCATAATATTCCCTATTTTAGGGATAGTAACCATGTCAGTTTTGTCTTTTGGTATAAAGATAGCTGAAAAAGTGGGATTCAAAATTACAATAGGTTGTGGATCATTTATAATATCATTAGCATTTTTAATAATTTCTTTTGTATAAGATATAAAAGTATTTATTGCAATATATTGTATAATGATTGGCATATCTGGAGGTTTATTGTTTATGCTTCCAATTATATGTGGATGGAGATATTTTCCAAATAGGAGAGGATTAGTATCATGTTTTATTATTGGAGGGTATGGATTTGGATCTTTTATATTTAATTTTGTATGTAAAGCAATAGCTAATCCATATAATTTATAACCTTCTATAGTAGTCATTGAAGAAGGAAAACTTGTTTAATATTTTGATAGTAAAGTAGGAGAAAGGGTTCCTTTGATGTTTCAAATTCTTGCTGCTTCTTATCTTGGTTTAAGTATAATAGGCACATTGATGATAAGATTTCCTAAAGATATAGATCCAGATAAAATGTTTGCAACCTTAGAAGCATTAGAATCATAGAAAAACAAGGAATATAACGATCAAATATCATCACCAAATAATTTGCCAGCTCATAAAGAATGCTAAAGTGTGTAAGATTATTTATAAATATAATTAGAACTTAAGGAATTAAAAGTAAATCATTTATTTTACTTTAATTGATAGTTCTGATGTCATGTACACTTGGAATGTTAATATCAAATTGCTATAAATTATATGGCCTTGAACTTGGATTTGATGATTCTATATTAACTGCTACTGGTTCAATAGCTGGAATTATGAATGGTACATCAAGAATTTTTTGGGCTACTTTAACAGATAAAACATCTTATAAATTCACCTTTACTATCATTTCATTTCTAAATTTAGTTGCTTCATTAATTTTACCTTACAATACTAGTGAAATTGGATATTTATTAATTATAGGCGTTATTTTTTTGGCTGAAGGAGGCTTATTAGCAACGTATCCAGTAATATGCGGTAAAATATATGGTAATAAAATTGGAGGAATGATGAATGGATTTATGCTTTTTATGGTTGGAGTAAGTAATATGATTGGATATATATTATATGCCTTTGTTAGAAAGAGAATTGGATGGGATGGTGTTTATTGGATATGTTTTGCATTTAATATTGTAGGAATAATTTTAGCATTCATTTTAAAGGAAGTTGGATATGATTGGCCTGATCCTTAGACAATTAAAAAAGAAAAATCAGTAATTTAAATAAAAAGTAATTTACAAAAATGATAATAAATTTAATTTATATCTTGACTACTAATATGTCTTAATATAATCTAATAAATTTGGTAGTAGTGATGACAAAAATTAACTCTTGAATTTATAAAATTATCCATATTCTTGATATCAAATTATTATTAAATTTTATCTAACATTTTTTCTAAAGAAGTTCTATTATTTTTTGATATTTTTTATTATTTAAATTCTTATGTTTTTATAGATATTCAAATAAATCTTTTGTAAACATTTATTAAATAATTTTATATTTTATTATCAAAATATATACTTAGAATTTAACTATTTCATTTTAAATCAAATCAAGAATTGTTTGAATTATATGATTAAAATATTGCTTAAACTTTAATAGTTTTACCTTAAATTTTGTACTTTCTTTTTATGTTTAATCTTTTAATTTAAATGTAATCTACAAGGTTTAAGATAGTAATAGAGATTAAAAACAAACTTAATAACTCTAGATTATCTATCAAATTAATTTGCAATATTTATAGTATATGATCCTTCTTATTATTATTATAGATTTTATGTGATTATGTTTATTAATATGAAAATTAATATTAAAAATGGATAAAAATGTTGATTCCTAATTCACTTCTACTTTTTGGAGATAAATTCATGAGGAATATTTTATGATAGAAGCACCAGTTTCTTTGAGCAATCTGATAAAGCAATAGAAACAAAGTAAATTGTTAATTACTAATTTTAGTTCCTAATAATGTTAACTAGTAAGCAAAAGAATTGATACAAAAAGTCTTAAAACTATCTAAGAGGAAAAAAAGCAGAATTGAATAATTAAATGAATCTAATTTAATGCATCGTTTGCATCTAATATTGATGTAAAGAGTAAAATCATCCGAGCCAATCAAAAAATTGATTGATGAAATGGTAGATAGGATTTGTGAAGATAAACTTGTTACAGAACTACATAAATGCTCAAACATGATTAAAAATATTCATTTGCTACCAGAAGAAAAACAAATTGATATTTATTATTAAGAAGAATAATATTTATAAAGTTTGCATTACTAAATAGATTGGCCTGATTAAATAAGTTAAGTAATAATGGAATTAGAAAATGATTTAAATTAAGTACAATAAAAAAATACTTAAAGTATTGAAAGGTATTCATATTTATATTATCGTAGCTTGTAAACACATGTTTTAGAAATTAATTAATCATTAAGATATCAATACAGTATTTAGAAAATAGGAGAGTTTACACTAAAAATTAATAGAAATAAAGTTTAACATCATCAAGAAGAATTAGATTATCTTTATAATTTGATTTAGATGTATGAAGATTACTAAGTTGCTGAAAGTATTGCAAAGGTTATTTATAATTAACTAAGTATATATTAATTTCAACTTAATAGATAATAAGTTTATTGTAATTTTAGATAGGTATCTAAGTCCAAATCCTATAGAGCTTAGCTTATAATAATTCGAATCTCTTTAAAGATTGAGAGAAATTCCTATAAATTTAATAGAGGAGGAATAAGAATCTCATTTAAATAAATACAATTAAGATTTTGAGATGTGTCATTATTGTAGAAGAATGATAGATAAAAGTAAATAAAAGTAATGTACTTATAATCATGTCTATATGAATTTACATTAATACAATGATGAATTACTGAACTAATAAAGATATTGCATATCAAATAAGGATATGTAAAAGTTTTATTAAGACTTATATTCTGCAAATTATATAATAGAAAGTATTTTAATTTAATGAATATTAGATGATTAAATTTAATGTTAAAAGTATTTCTGTTATAAATGCTTAAAAAATGAATTTGATGAATATGATATTTATGATAAAGAATGGATATGTCCATTATGCAAAGTATACATATATATTAATTTAGGGCTTATGTTTATGTATTAGATGTTAGAGAAATGACGTTATTTATAAATTGAAACGAAATTTATTAGAGATAAATGGAAATTTAGATTTATTATATGATTAATCTCTTTTTGAAAAATTAGTTAGCCATAAAAGGAAGTTAATATAAGATATTTCTCTAGATTTTATAAATATCTTAAAAATAACTTCAGAAACAGAAGAAATATTAACATCAAAAATGAGTAAAAAAAAAATTAAATTAAATATCACTAAATAAATTAAAAAGAAAAAGAATTCTGATACAATTTTAGTTCTACCAAATTATATCAATAATATTGATAGTTCATCTTAATCAACGAAAATAAAAAAAAAAAATAAATTTAGAAGATTAATTCCTAATGATACAATAACTGAACTATTATATGAATATATTTCTTGACATTTCAAAAATCTATTTATAATATTAATTTATCACATTTTTAACTAGAATTTACATCACTAATAAATTCAAAAATTTCAAAATATATAAATAATAATCACTTAATAGAATTTTCAATAAATTAATTAAAAAATCCTTAAATTTCTATCTTTAATTCTAATATTTTTGTCATTATTTTTTATATCTAAGTACAAAACAAAAGTTTATATTAATATTCACTCTTAGATAGTTAAGAATTATTACTAATGTTGATAAATTTCTACTCATAAATCAATTAATTTATATGATATAATAAGTATGAGGATAATAGTATTAAATAAATATAAAGTAATAGAGAATCAAGATCTCCTATAAGGTTTCTTCTAACTCTCTGTAAATGATAATTTCATTTTACTTAATTTCTCTTTTTGTTATTGTATTTCTAATCTCAATTCATCAATTGTTTTCTCTGTATTATCGATTTATTATATTTACTTATTTGGAGTCTTAATTCCAGTACTAATAACTGTACTACTACAATTAAATTATTTATTTGCTAAATTTATATTTTTAAGATACATGTTAACATTGATTATTTTTAAAATGGAGATTTATGAGTTATTTTATTTGGTGATATTTATTTTTAAGGTAGTTGAATTATATTCTCTAATTGGTTAATTTGAAGTTGATAATCTGATTGAATTTATTCCATTTTTTTATCCTATCTTTATTTAAGATCTTGATATCTTTATTCAAAGTATTGCCTTTCTCTATTCATAGTTTATTCTGAAAATTATTATTAAGATATTCTAAATTATATATAAATATTTACAATTCCTCCTATTATTCTTTAATTAATTTATTAAGATTATATAATTCTAATTCATAATTTTATTTTTATTCAATTTACAATTATTCTTAAAGTAATAACTATTTCTATAATTCTTCATTTTCCCTATTTAATAATTAAATTTGATTTTGTAATTCTATATCATTAGTTTTTGACATAACAAGTTATTCAATTTATTATTATTTTTATTTCAATTTTAATTAGCCTTCCTCTTATAATAATAATTCCTATTATTTAAATTATTATTTAAGATTTTCTATTTTTTATTCTATATCTAAATTCATTTATTCTATTTCATATTCCTTCTCTGCTTCTATCATTTATATTTTATTCTCAGTTATAATTAATTGCTATTTATATAAACTTTATAATATTATTTTGCATTCACTTTCTACTTGCTTTAATTTATTTACAAACATATTTTTAATTTCCTAAATTTGTATATTCATTAATTCTCTTTGTCTATTTAATACACGATAAATTCTTTATTTAAATGTTTTTTGCTTAAATAATGCTTCTTCATATTGTAATTAAATCTAATTCTTTTCATTTAAGATTTAATTTATTATTTATTTTGAATCTTCAGTATTAAATTATTCTCTATTTAATAAATCATTAATATCTTATTTTGCTGCTATTAATTCTTCATTAATTTTTTCAAGATCTTAAGCTAGTTCTTAATTTTATATTTATAAAAATTCTTATTAATTGTTACATTCAATTTGATCCTTTTATAATTCAATAATAATTTTATTTTATTCATCTAACTTTTATTTGAATTCATTCTTTTATTTTCTATTCTCCAATTATTATTCTGAAATTATTTTTTATAATTTATTGTTTTCATCATTAAAATATTCTTGTAATAATTTCGTTTTTTATTCTTTTTCTAAAATCTCTAAATTAAGTTATTCTTTTATTTTTTTTAATTCTTCTTATTTTTGTGATTATTCATCCTTTAATTGCTTCAATTTCAATTCCACTTTTTAACCCAATTTTTAATATGAAAAACTTCCTGTAATTTCTATTTATAATCCATCAGAAATTTATTAAAATAACTTTTAATATTATTATTTCTCTTTCTCAATATCATTAAATTAATTTTGATTCATTTTTAAAGTATTATTAGTTTATTCTGAAGTTATTTTAATATCATCTAACTCTAATAATAAATTTTTTAATTTTAAGTCCTTTTTTGAAATCTCTAAATCTAATTCCCTGTTTTATTTTTCAACTTCTTCTGCATGTATATTTAATTACTATATTTCATTTTACAATTATATAACTTACTACTATGAGTGTTGACATTATCTTTGCAAACCATCAAATTCTAAATTATATTAATAGAACTTTTCTTTTATTTATTTAAGTTCTCTGTTTTAGTCTTATATCAACTTTTCTTTAGATATAAGTAATTATTCATATTTAATTGTTAAATTATCTTCTATAATTTATTTTTCATTTAAAAATTGATTTTCTATTTCCTGAAATTAGTTTTTAAACTATTGTTCCAATGATTTTGTAGATTATTTATGATTTAATTGTAATTAATTTAATTAATTTTCAGATTCCTTAATTTATTCTTAAAATTCTTCTAATTATTGCTACTAATATAATTGTATATTCTATGCTTAATTTAATTTATTTTTTAAATCATTAATCTTATAATTACTCTTTTCTTTTAATTAATCTAATAACTCTTTAGATTTTTATTAATCTTATAATTTTTTACTTTTTAATCTTTCATTTTCATTTTTTAATTATTCCATTTCTTAATCTAGTTCAACATTAAGATCAATATATTACTAAGATTTTTTTTTCAAATCTGATAGTTCTTTTAGAACCTTTTCAAATTCAATTTTAAAATCTCTATTTTACCTGTCTAATTATTGATTTAATTAATTTAATGCTTCATTTTTTTATCTGTATTCATTTATATCTGAACTCATTGATTTATTTCGTTAATCAATCAATTACAGATTTTCTTTTATTCTTATATTTTCATTTTATAATTATATCTCTCTGTTTTACATGTCTTTTAGTTATTTATTAAGTTTCTCATTTTATGATTGATATTTCTAATTTTAATTAAATGAATACTTAAAATTAGGATTCTTGAGCTTCAAGTAAATCTTAAAGATTTTGAATTTCTCTAATTTACTATAATTAAAACTCTCTTTGTTTAGAATCAAAATCTTATTAAATTCTTTGTTCTCTTTCTAAAAATTCCCTTCTAATTGAATCATTTAGAGCTTATTCAGATCTAAGTTCTGCTTACAAATGATGGATCTCATCTGTAAATTATTTAGAAAATGCTTCAAGAGTTATTTCTTTTATTCTGCTAAAGATGATGTTTTTTGAATCTCTATTTGATTCAATAGTAGAGTCAAGTAAAATTTTGGAAGAAATATCCATAAGACATTCTAAATATAAATTTTAGTTTGATACATTCCAATAATGATTGACTACTGAAGAGCTTCGATGATGTTAACATATTTAACGTATTCAAAATATATATATAAATCTGTTATATTTAATATATATAATAAAAAATAATATTATGAAATCTCCTACTTATATTTTAAAGAATGCATATTAAGAACATTTGGTTGAGTAATAATATATCAAACATGTTTCGAAGATATAAAATATTACAGCTAATCTTTAGGTGAGTTAGAGTGAATAAGATTAAATGAACAAAGTATGAGTATTTTAATAAATAATAACTTTTTAGATTAAATACTATCGTTAATAGAAGGAAAGGACTCGTAAATTTATGGAACAGTAAACTAAATTGTTTAGATAATAATCAGATAATATATTAGCAAAAAAAATGATTACAGCAGATTCTAAAACTAGAAGAGTCCATGAATAAAAGAATGTAAAATCCTTAATTGCAACAGCTCAAAAATAATAATCATATGAAATAGGATTAGAAAATATTAGATTGGGAAAAAGAATTTTGCATTTACCATCTGTAATTAAGAAAAAGGAATTCGATAAATCTTATGCTAAACATGAATAAAATATGATGTATGCTAGTAGAATGAGAAATTAAAATAAATCTAAAACTCCTTCTAATAAATTAATAAAAGATTGTGGACCAATATTTACAGAAGTGCCAATTGCATTTAAATTAGTAGTATTTAACAAAGAGGTAAATTTATTATTTATAGTATATATATATAGTTATAAAATAAAGATTAAAAGACAGAATGTTTATATTGTGTTGAAGCATATTTAAAAGATTAATTATTACATAGAACAGGTAATTTAATTTATTTAATTTAGATTCTGTGGCATTTGATTAATTCTAGCAATTAAATTTTAAAGTACCTATGAATGATTAATAATTTGAAGAATATTAGAATGATCCATTAATATTAAAGATTTGGAAAATAAAAAATAATAGTGAATTATATATGGGATAAATATTTGTAGGATTTAATGATTAATTAAGTGAAAAAGATTTAATGAAAAAAGTAAATGATAGAGAAATTTGGAATGGTTTTATTTAATTATGAAATTTTTATGAAGAATTGATTTTAATTAAATATTAATTTATATTAAAATGCTACAAATATCACATCAAATACCACCAGAAATAAATAGAATAAGATAATTGGTAATAAGATTGAATTATGTTAGATTTGTAGAGCAGGTGATGATGGAGCTGATACATTTAAAAAGGATCTATAAAAAATAGTTGATATTTTAGGGGAATATTATTAATAAAATAAATAAGAAGTCAAAGATGCAATGATATAATCATTCATTTAATGTGCAAAATTGTTACCACTCAAAGCTGGAATATATGCTACAATATTAGCATTATTGTCAACTAAATAAGTAATTATCAATGAAGTCAATATTTTAATTAGATAACACAATCCTTGACAGACTAAATTATTCTTGGATTACTTGAACATCTTCCCTAAATAGCCTAAGAAGAAACACCTATATTAGGATAAACTATCCTTAAATTTCTAAGTGAATTAATGAATGTAGGTCTGCTTAATACAGTGAGTTTTGTAGAATGTTTGTATGATTTGGAAGGAGGTGCTGAAAATGAATAATCTCCATTTTATCTATAGATATTGTTAACAACATTACCACATGCTATGATTAAAGCAATGGAAAAGAATTAGATTGAATTTAAAAATATTATTTAGAATGTTGAAGTATTAATGACAAAGAGAAAAACAGAAGATAGATTATTTCATTTATGGTAATCAATAAGAAACTTTTTAAATAATTAAGAGAAAGATGCTCATACATAAATATTTTAATAATTTTTAAAAACTTCTTATCCTAGACCTTATTTGTTATTTCCTGATGAAATGACATAAGTCAGACAATTAAGAAGAGGATTCAAGATCCCAATTGTAAAAAGAACCTAAATTTGGAGACCTTAATAAATATTGGTTCTTAATGATGAAATTAGATCTCAAGGTAACAATAAAACTGATGTTTAAATTGAAATTACTAGATAATGGATATATGAAACTATTGATCTATTTAAGACTAATCGATAATAAATTGTATTTCAATTTTAATTATACTCAAATTGTATAAAAATGTCACCATCATAAGAGTATTTGATATTATATTAATATTAATAGAGCTTAATTCAGATAAACATTAATTTTCACATTATTAAATATGGTAATTGAAGTTGTTCCAAGAAAAGACTAATTATCTACAGCATTTTATAGTGGTCTTCTAATTCATTTAAGTTAAAGAAATTCAGATAATATTAAAGAATGGAATGAAACTATAGAATAATTCATAGATTAAATCCCATAAAATAATATCTTGATTATTGAATAATTAAGTGATTGTTTATCCCATTACTTTTGTAATTCAAATTTTAAATTGAATTGGGATAAGTACTTTGGAAAATACAATCCAGATGAAACAGATAGTTTTAATAATTATTTAGTTATTATGATATTTAGAAAACTATTTTTATTAGTTAGTGTTGAAAAGATTACAGATTTAGTACCAAAGAATATTATAGATTGGTATAATTAATTATAGGATATAACTAAACCTATAGATATTGAATAACATAGTTTAGCAGAGAAAATTAATACATATTTATAATAGAAATTGAATGGAATTGAGATGTTAGAATAATTAAAATTGATTACAAATCCAAATCCAGATATTGTTATTCAAACATTTTTAGAATGTTTATTATAATGTATATCTAAATCAATCACTCACTTGAATGTCTTAAGTAAAAGATATCTCTCATTTTTGTTATAACCAAATATAATTAAACCTGAAAAATTAGGTGAAATAATGCTCAATACAATTTTTAGAATGTGGAATCATTCAGTTTTTCATTTAAAGGTATATCTAAAGGAGTTTTTGAATTTAGAAGTTATTAACAATTTATAAATAATCAATTGGTTGAATGATATAATTAAATAAAAACCAGAAGTATATTTTTTATATATAATTAAGCCCTTTAAAATTTATAATATCTTTATTGCAATAAATGATGTTTTCAGAAAATAGACAAAATTAGATTAAGTTTAAGATTGTACCTACGAGAATGTTAAGGAAATAAACACTATTTTGACAAAAATGATCGAATAAGAGCAAGGTTATTATCATTTTTAATATAAATAGATGTCATTATCTAATCAAGTTTAGAAAACATTTAGCTCTAAATATTGATTGCATTTAAATAAACTAATGGTAGCTAATCAGATAAGTTATTAAAAGAAATCAAATCAACTAATGTTAAATAAATTGTTATGTCATTTTGAGTTTATATGCATTTCATAAAATAAATAAAATCTATTCATTATATCTCAATAAGGAATTATTTGAATATATTATTATGTCATTTTTATAGGATTTAATAAAAGGTATTTGTAAACTTTTGTTGATTAAATCTACCTCATTATTAATTAGAATTAAAGTGTCAAATTATTAGCCTAATTACAATTCTTTTCTTTTGATATTGTTATTTGAGATTTGTCTAAATTTGAATTCTTTTTTTTACAATATGAATGTTTAAATCTAAATAAAGTATTTAATTATTGAATTTCAACTGTGTATTCTTAAATGAAGATCGAATTTAACTAATACTTTTAAATTTTAAATAGAATTTAAGAATCATTATTGATAAAATAGTTATTTTTAGGACAAAAGGATGATGGAAAAATTAAATTTATAAGTATTATAAAAATCTATACATAAATTTAAACTAAATAAAATATTTTATTAATATGGGATAAATCAACTATTCTCACTTTATTAAGAAGATCCCTATTCAGGAGCAATTTAATTAACTCGAGTATGATAATTGATAACAAAATCTTGTCTATTTTGATTCTATTCTTGAGCTTCAGGAAGACCTTAACTTTTTTCTTATTGATTCTATTTAAAATCGAAAGGATAAACTTAACTTAAATTGTTTCTGTCCCTACAACAATTAGGTAGTGGGCCACATAAACAACAGAGAAAATAGTACAATATAAAAATGCTCTAGGCAACAAATATAAGAATTATTTTAAAAATTTCGAAACCTTTGGAATATTCAAGCTAATCAAAATCATAGATACTAGAAGCCAATTCAGTAACTATACATTATGAATTTATAAAGTTAATATAATTTTCTTAATATTGATCCCATTTAACCTAATCTAAAAGAAGAAATGAAAGAATTGTAATGTGAATAGATATTTAAAAAATTCTTTAAATGACATTATAAAAAATATTTTCCTTACTTTATTATTAAAATATCTTGAGCAATTTTACAATAATGTATTTAAAAAGATAAGGTATGAAATTTAGTATCAACAATAAAATTGGTATAATTAGAAATTGATTAATGTATCTTTATGTTTTAACATTTTGAAGATCTATTTTTCTGATAAAATTTTCATAATCTGAAATCACTTCTTCTGATCCATATTAACAATTTTCTTTAATTTAAGCATAAGATTTAATTCTTAAAGTCCAAATGACAGAGCTATTCACTTTAAAATAAGTTAATGAACGATTTAAGACCAATAAATTATTTGCTAAATAAAATTGATCTTCATTAATTTAATAAACCTTTTTAAATTAACTATCATACTCCTAACAAGGTTATCTTTAAATCTTCATCAAATAATAATCAGATCTATTAGGAGATATATTATTTTCTGAATTTAATTTACAAATATTTTCAGTTTCTGTGATTTAAACTTGAGAAATAGGTATAAGAGATTAGTTCTTAGTATAATAAAACTAAAGCTAATTTGACACATTAAATATTTTCCCATATTTAGGATCATTTTTTAACTTCAAATTCTAATAATTAAGGTCGCTGGTAAAACCAATTTCTGAAATTGGACATTCTACTTCTGGTGGTAGGCAATATGTTAATACACCAGATCCACATATGGTTTTATTTATTAATTAACAATAAGTGAAATTATATCTTAATGATATATTTTAATTTCTTTTTGCACATAAAAGAAATGCTAAATATACAAATTATCACTTACGTTTAGAATAATTGTTATCATTTAATAATGTTAATTTTTTCTCCTAAATTTCATATAATTGCTTGCATCCTTTATCCAGTTCATGTTGGTCACATTACTTATACTTATGAAAATTATTTGTAAGCTCTGTAATATTAAAAGTAGATTTGGATGGTAAATTTTAAGTACAATCACACCCAACAAAAGTGCCTGGCCATTAGTAATTGAAGAGCGGTTCATACTAAAATTATTTTATATTTAATTACCTATGATGGGCATTGATAACTTGTATCAAGAGAAATGATGTCTTCAATAATTCCTTGACTTTGATTCAAAATAAATTAATCATAAAGATCTTCACTTGGATATTTAATAGAATAGATCCATAAAAGATAAAAAATAAGTAAACTTATTAAATTTATGATCCCAAAGCATACCGCATATTAATCCTTTTGTTTTTTAATTTTTTCATAATCTCTTCTAACTTTCAAAAAGTTAATTACAAATTCCAATTAACCCTTAAATAGTTTTAAGAATGATGTGTGACCGTAAAATTTTTGGAATTTTTTATTGTTGCTAGCTTTATTTTATATAATTTTATTTACTTTGATATTCTGTCTCTTCCATGTGTTGCAAAATAAAGTTTATAGATTAATTTGTTTGAGCCATAATCAGGACTAAGATTTGCCAAAATATATTAAATATAATAATTTTTTTTTATATTCTAATACATTAAATAGACACTAATCATATCTAAGTTTCCTTAAATTAATTAATCCTATATAAATGTACAATATTCACTCTAAATCTAGGAAGGAAGTGTAAAATTAATTACAATAACAGAGATTTCTTCAAAAAATAAGTCTGCAAATCATCAAAATTTATATATCTATATATAAATACATAAAAAAATGATATGCAATTATCTTTTTTTAATATTTCAATAAAATTAGTTAATAAATACATCAATAGAATATTATAAAAGATGTTCAATAGATTTTAATATTTATCATTAAAATCTAAAATTTCAATTTAATTGATTATTAATTCTAAAATTTTTCTGATTTGTTAGGACTTGACAAAAGAACTTTTTCTTTGTTTTTTTTGATTAATTTTGATACTAGATTCTACTTTCAAAAAAAAATACTAAATACAATAGAAAATTAATTAAAAATATAATAAATTAATTATCTATTGCCATTAATGGATAATCTTTAAATATCAGAAGAATAGTTTACAAACATGCAGGAGTCATTCAATGCATTTAATAAAGTTTTTGGAATTTTAATAGGTGTCAAGGTAAAACTAAAGTTTACTTAAGAAAAATAAATTAAATTTGATAGCAACAATTCTTTTGATTATTTTTGCTATGTTGCTATACATAGTATTTGTATTTCCCCTTGCTATTTTAAAAGGCTATATTATTTTAAATACAATTTGTGTTGTATATGGTTTCACACCAATCACTACATTGATTATGACAGCAATTACAGGTTTCTCTTTAAATTAATTTATTAGAGCCAGGAGTAATATTAAAAAGACAAATAAGTGATAATTAATAGCCTGAAAGTAGTTTAACATAAAGTAATGATGATACAATTTAAATTGAAAATACTACATAACAAGATGATGTACCTAAAATTTACAGAGAGAGATTTTGTTCAACATGTAACATTTAGAGACCACCTAAAGCATCTCATTGTAAATTTAATATATTAATAAAAGGTCGTGAATGTAATCATTGTGTAGATGGATTCGATCATCATTGTTATTGGGTTGGTACATGTATTGGGATTAGAAATTGGAGATATTTTGTATACTTCTTGATAGCTGCTTTTAGTGCTCCTCTTTTAGCATTCTTAGTGGGAATTGTACTTTGTATTTATCATTATAAATAACAAAGTTATTAATTCTTTTTCTTTAGCAACAACCCTATGGTTTGAAATGTTCGATACTCTTGGAATATCTGTTCTTATATTTTATATATTTTATATTATTTGTGGATTTTGGCAACATAAAACTATTTTGAATGCCTTTACATTAATAATAATGATATTTGGACCTTTGCTTTTCACTTTTTCAATATTTCAAAATCGTACTCAATATTAACAGTATTATTATTATGAGAACCCTTACTTTACTCTATTTGTTTCATTAGTTATGTTACTGATTTCATGTATGTTGTTACCTATGACATCTGTAAATTGCAGTAATGCTTTATAAGTAATAATAATATTTTATTTAAGTTTAAAACAACAAAATAGATTCACTCAGAAGAGGAATTTAGAAGAGAAAAAGGATAGTTTCGATTTGGGGACAATAAGATTGAATTTAATTTAATGAAGAAAAACCTTATTTAATTCATTACCTATCATATTCCGAAAAGTAGATATCAAAATTTATGAATTGAATAAATTTTTTATATTAATAAATTAATTTAATAAAATATAAACTCTATGAATATTTTAGTCAAATATAATGAATACTATAAAATACTTGAAAATATTTAGACATACAAGGATTTAAGGAAATAAATTATATAGAGTTTCAAATTAATACTAAAGAATAATTTCACTATATATTATTTTGATGAAGACTATGATAAAATTACAATATCAAACTAAATAGATTTAGATATTATTCAAGTTACACTTTCAAATTATCATTTAGAGTACAGAGAATTTATAAATTATTGTTCAAGAAATTGATAATGTCTAAGAATTAACAGAGAATTCCTTTTAAAAACCTGATAAAATTGTCAAAGAAACAGTCAACTATTCTAGAAAGTTTAGCAATGATCATAAAAATAATGATTATAATTGTACAAAAAAATAAGAATAATAAGAAGTAGAGAAAAAAACTAAAAAAGGTTAAACAGCAAATAATGAATAAAACAATTTTGAAAAATAAAGATTAAAAATAATAAAGGAATTAAATTCAACTATTAATCATCTTCGTTCAGAAATACTTAAAATTGAGAGTGATGATACAGAAAAAAGAATAAATGAGAAAATATAAAATTTATAGAAAATACAGATCAATCAATCATCTCTTGCCAAAGAATTATGTGAACTACCTATTATTTAATAAATTGAATAAGCTGAAAATAATATTATTAACCTTAATAAAGTTGAAAGGGATGAATTAAGAAAGAATTAAAATAAATTAATTAAATAAATTGAGAAAATTATTTCAAATAGATTATAAAAATAAATCGGGTATGTAAAATAAAATCAAGAAGTTTTTAAAACAGAAAAAAAACTTTAATAAAAGTTAATTAAGACATAAAATAAAAATGAAAAATAGTTAATAAAATATAATTAATTATTAATTTATTATCAAAATAAACTCAAAGAAGTTGAAAACTAATAATGGAATTTTGAAAAAATTGATTATCTAAAAATTGAATAATTAGAAAAATATTTAGATAAATAAATGAAGGAAGAATTAAAGGCAAAAAAATAAAAGCGAATTGAAAATGAAAAATTGAATTAAAAATTATTCAACTTAGAAAATATAAAGAATGAATATGAGAGTGATAACTTTAATAATTCTTTTGAAATAGATTGAAAAATATCACTTCATTATTAAATATATAAAAAATTATATAATTATTTTCATATTTATAATGCAATTGCAGCTTATAAAACTGATAAAGCTTTTTCTTTGGCTATTTAAAATTTTGGCAAATTTACTGGCGATTCTAATTGCCATCTATTTTTGTAATGAAGGTATTATAGGATTATTTCAAGTATGTCTGCTGTAAAATCTGAAAGAATCTGAGTTTCTCCTCTCACATCAGCATTCGATATCTATTTTCTAAAAATCTCACTTAATCCAGCTATTTCTTTGGCAACTATGAATTCAATTCCATTAGATGATAATATAGTTATGTAAGCAGAAGACATCCTTATTAATTTATTTAATATAATTTAGATAAAGAAAGAATCAATTAAATTATCATTTTCTCAAACAATCTTCAGGATTATAACAATACTCATTTAATTATTCTTATTAATATGATTTATAATAATACCACAAAGAGTGTTATTTCTGAGTAATATGAAATTTTTATGATTTTTATCCTCAATACTATCATCTATTGATCCCTAATATCCTTTAAATCTTTTAGGATAATAGGGTGGATTGTATTTTTTTTTAAGTAAGATTTCCCAATCAAAAGAATTGAACCATGGATGATTTTTAACATCTGAAGGATTATTTGATCCTAATCTATTTTCAGGTTTTCTTTAAATAAGCTAATAAATTCAATTAAAAATATACTTAATTTATAAAATCACCAGCTTCAATTGACCAAGCAACAGGTAATTATGATCTTTTAATTTAAATTTGTTTAGATAAGATTTATTCTCTAATCTCTTGTCTAGATTTCCCAACATAGGGTCTTTTTCCAAGCATACATTCATAAATAATAACTCCCAAAGCAAAAAAATCAACAGCAATACCATGATTTTGTTTACACATTACTTCAGGTGCCATATACCCTGGAGTTCCACTAGAGTCTTAAGCATTTTCTGGTCTCCAAATTCGTGCAATACCCATATCTGTTAATCTAAGATATCCTTATTCATCAAAAACCAAGTTTTCAGGTTTGAGATCTCGATGAATTATTCCATTTGAATGAAGATATTCTAAACTTATGATTATACAAGCAGCAAAAAACTCTTAAAGTATAGCCATATATTCTACATGCTTCTTCTTCTGAAAACCTCTTATTTTTACAAATGTGATATCTCAAATCACCACCACTAAGGAGATCAAGTACTAAGTATAAATTCTCTCTATCTTAAAATGCTGAATGCATATTAACAATAAAAGGATGATGCAATTACTTTAACAAATTCTTTTCATTTATTACTGATGTTACACATTTTTTTTCGACAATTCTAATTTATTTCAGAAAAATACTTTGCTTTTGACATTATTTTCATAGCATAAAGTTAATGGTTTTTTTTTCGTCTTACTTTTATGACTTTTCCAAATCCACCTTTACCAAGAATATCTAAGATTTCGAAATTTCTTATAGATTACACTAATTATAGTGATGAAAAATACTTGCTTCTTAAAATTCTTCTTTTTTATCCATTACATTACAATTACCCATGTGTACAAATTTAAAGTAAAGTAATTGCTAATTATTATTTTATTTTTGGAATTTATGATTTGAATTTTTATATCCATATCTTTTTTAGAAACAAGATAACCACTAATACAACAATATATAAAAATATAGTACTGACAGAATTTCTAAAATTCATTTAACATTAATTAATTTTAATACAAATTGAATATAAAAATACCTACTAAATTTTCGTATTAAAATAATCTATATGAGTTAATAATAATCAACGTCCTCTTCCTCTCTTTTTTACTGGTTAATAGATTTCTTCTCCTTCCAAACTATCTTCCTCTTCAATTTTTTATTTTTAAGTAGATCCCCTACCTTTCCCTTTAATTTTTGAACAATCATCACTATCACTTTCTTCTTGTTTACCTTTACCTCTTCCTCTTCCTCTTCCTCTACCTCTACCACCTGCCTATCCTTTAGATCTAGATGGCATATTAGAGCATTCTAGACTTACATTACTCATAAATAAATTAACAATATCTCTATATTTTTCCATTCCTTTGAAGTCTGGTTAAAGTAAATCCTCAGGTTCTTCAATATTTTATTCTTACAATGCTAATCCTTACAAATATGTATAAAATCTATAATAATAATTTATAAGTTACTTCTATATAGAAGGATCTTCAAAATTTGAACAATCAAAATCTTGAATTGTTAAAGCATTTACTAAAATCTTAGCTGCATTTAAGGTCTACCTTGTAATATCGGCTCCTTCTTATTTTACAGAAGATAATCCTCTTATATCATCAGCATATGGTAAAAATATGAGATGCAATCCTGGAGGTGTTTAAAAATGATTTTCATCATATTATTCTGCTTAAGGAAGTAATGCACAAAATCTCACCTAAGATCCTTATTTAGGAACTAATCTAACAATTCCTATTTTCTCTTTTAATATCATTTATTAAATTAAAGCATCAAAAAATTATGAAGATCCATTTACATGTTCATCATCTGGATATAAAAAATAAGATGCTCTATAATTATGATAATCCTTCAATGCACTTGAAGATTTAAAACCTATGAGAGTCATTCCAGGTTTTTCAAATCCTTTTATTTTAGCCATATATTCTTTTGGAATTGCTATTTTTTCATTTCCCAATATCAAATGAGTAGATATTTATTAAGGGAAAAGTGCTTACCCTGTTTCTTCATCAATAAATTATGCTTTCTTTTTAAGTTATTAATTATATCTCCTATCTAAGGGTTTTCCAGTTGGTTTTTTAGCTTTATTAACTAAACAATATATTTTTAATCCAATTTTAATATCATCTATATCCATAATTAATCTATTCAAAGCTCTTTTCTTAAATTCTTTTTATTTAATTCTTTAATGCAAATCCATAATTTTAGTTGATGTGTCAAGTACAGCATTATTAACTTCATCCAAATCAACAGTAATGATATCACCATAAAATCTAGCAATTTTGAATTCATTTTAACTAGGTAATGGAAACAATTCTATCTATACATCTGCATCCTTTAATTATTTGGCATATTTCAAAGCTGATGATCTAGCATTCTGATCTTTAAAATAAGGTAAATCATCTGGAGTAAATAAAAATATACGCATATTAAATTTATTCTTATCTCTAAAATATATTGATAATAAATTTACAATTCTTTAAATTCATGATTACATAACCATAAACATTCATGAAAATGTGCATTATTACCTAATTGATAATCTTTTTCAAAATTTTGCTCTATTTTTAAACAATTTTTGATAATATCAGCAGATGGTCCATCTAATTTATAGATTTCTGTAATGTTATTGAATTTTAATTGATTATTAGTAGATTTCTATTTTAATAGATATCAATTACTGTATTGTAAAATATCATACCAATTCGATCATCTGGACTTGATATGATTTTTGCCTTCATAAAACTAGAAAAGGCAGATAATATTTTTGAAAATACTGTGCCTTATCCATCTTGATCCATATCAAATAATGCTTTTTTGCAATCGACTAAGAATATGACTGCATCTTTTTTGCTCCCTGCATCATGTACTGATATATCAGCATCTTCTCCAAATATATCTTCTCCATCTTAGATTTCTTCAATATCATCTCCTCCTACATGTTCCTCTTCAAAATCCATTTTTTTATTAATTTATTAAACAGAAACAATACAGAAATTATTTTATTAATTAATATCATTATAATTATTGGAATGAAAAAATGTAAAATTTCAAAAAAAAAGGACCATATATTGTTACTATGTTTATGCCAAATTATATAACTGTCTTATTATAATATTGAATTATAATCAAAATAGATAAGGTTGGTGATATTGTGGCATGGCATATCTAACCTAAAAAATTATTGTACTTATAATACCATTTATTGTAGTTGATTATACTGAATAGTCAAATAGGAATAATTTTAATTCAATTATTATTTCTCCTGTTAGAATTAATTTGCTCTCCCTTATAAATATAAATTCTAAAATTTATTTAAAGTTTCTAACCTAGGTTTTTAATTATTATATTAAAATAGCTTAATTTCTATTTTGCTCCTCCACTAATTGAAAATGAATTGTATCTAAATTATCCTATACTGTATTTTGTCTCGGTTAGCATTATTCTTCCTTTGTCAATCCAACTTCACTTTTAAAGTTTTGCTGATCACCTTAAATTAATATCTCAGCCTTTTTTAATTCTGACTAGGTCTTATCCCTTTTGAGTTTTTTTGTCATTCTTCCTTCTCTTCTAAAAATCTGCATGATTGCCTTAGCAGTTGAGAAATTAATATTCAAATCTCTTGCAGCATTTTTTATAGTACAACCTGTAGTTGTTATCTGTTTGATAAGTTTTTATCGTTATTCATTTGATATTTTTTAATACTTTAACCCATGCTTACCTATTCCATTTTATTAATAAGTTTTACCTTTATATTTATGGAGAAGTTCCTAGTCTTCTTCTGGAGTTCTTTTTAGATTAGACTTTTGATTCAAATCCTTCACAAAATCATAAGAGGAATCTGAAGAGTCTGAGTCTCTTGGTGAAGTTGAATTATTATTCTTTAATTCTTCTTAAGGTCTTTCTACTTGAGAATTTTATTATATGGAAGTCATACAATTTGAGTATATCAATTTAAAAAAATAATTGAAAAAAATGTTGAATTTAAAACCTTTTATAGTGTTTTTGGCACTCATTTGTTGTTCTGTATAATAATAAATAAAAGAGGGGATACTCATTCGATAAACATAATTTGTGACATTTTATATATATAATTTAACTATTAACTTTTCAAAAAATTTTAAATATAAAATCCACATTTGATTAATTATTAATTAAGAAATAAAATATATATAATCAAAATATATTAATTTGATTCCTTCTTAGAATAACTAATATGCAATGATATTAGATTATATTATCATATAAACAGTATTCTCAAAGACTTTCAATTAAATAAAAATTCCTTTGAAAACTAATTTTAAAAAAAAGTTAAAAAATCTAAATATTTTTGTCTTTAGTTTAAGGAAGTAATGACTATATAATAGTTAATTTTAATAATGTAGTAAACCTATTGAAATCCTATAAATTTATCAAAAAGATAATGAAAGATTAAATTTAGAATTAAACAAATGTTGTTATAAACAAAAAGAGATGTTTATAATTTGATTAATCTTTAAAATAATTCTAAGTGTAAGTGATACTATTTTATTATAATCCTTATCAAAAACTCTAATTATTTTTTTGATTTAATTATGACAAATTTGTATTCTATATTGATGCTTAGGTTAAATTATATCAATAATTAATATATAATTTATATTAGGAAATCAAGAAATTTAATCTATAAATTTAATGAAGTAGATGATTAGATATAGATTTATTAAAACAAAATTATGATATTTCACAAAATCATGTGTTCACTTTGAAATAGTTTTTGTACTACAGATAGATCTAATTAGAGATCAAGTGAGTTTTTACTAAATACTTTTAAATAGTCCATCTATTTATTTTATTCTAGTACTAATTCATCCTATTTAAATGATATTAAGATAATATACTTCATCAATATTATTTAATTAGGTTTTGACAAGAATGAATGGAAATCTGATCTTTTCATTTTCATCTACATCTCTCATTTTATTCAATTCTACTAATTTTTTAAGGCTTTCTTATTGTTTAATTTAAGTTGTTGCTGAAGCTTTTTTGATTTATAATTATTCTTTTAATTTTTGCTGTTAAAATTAATTTTAATTTATTACTTTTCTAATTATCAAATTCTACTTTGTTAGATTAACTTAGGTTTCAGCATTCTTTCTCATCAATTTATTCTCTTTAACTACTATTCCAATTGAAATCATAACATTTAAAGCATCATAGACTCTTCTTCTAAGATTTTTTATTTCTTTCTATCTATCATTTTATTATCCATCTAAATCATAAATCATTTCATCAGTCAATTATTAACAAATATCACTATATGCAATTGCTTCATGAGATAATTCTTTCATAACTCGATTACTGATATATTTTAGACTCCACTTCTTCTATGTTTTTATAAGATCTGATTGAATCTTTGGTTTATCGAAAGGTTAAGTCTAAACAAATAATTTCTTGTTTGTGTTTGCTTATGAATTGCAATTAGCCTCTGAATCTAAAAATATATTTTTTTGTCACAAAATTGAAGTATAAGCGCGAAAATATTCCGCCATAACATGTAATATATTATACGAAATGGAGATGGAAAATTTAAACATACCTTAGACTAATCCTTTAATTGGTGTTTGGAAGATATTAATTGCCATCGAGTCTTCATCAAGTCTGAATTATCCTGTGAAATCCATCTTAAACCTTTTAATAAATTATTAATATAATTTAATTCTTCATAAAAATAATGCTTATGAATAATAAATATTCTTTTTTTCATAAGTATTACTTTAAATCCTAAGATTTTGAAAAAAACTTAAACTAAAATAAATAATATAAAAAACCTTTTAATATTTATTATTTCCTAAAATTATATTTTATGTTAATAATGATTTTTGAGTAAAATGCTTATTCAATTTTATAAATACTATATTATTAAATATCTCATAACATTCTCTCATTATAAACAATTCTCCATAAGAGCCTAAACCTTTTATTGAATTAAACTGAGTTAATTCTTTAAGATAGGATATGCAAGAACAGCTTTCAAAATATCCTCTTCTTCAAAACCTAGTTACTAATATACAATATCTGATAATAAAACAGTAATAATAACTGACCCAAATTATAAGTCATCCCCCTTAAATAGATTAATTTTATTACTTGTAATGTTTTAAGGTAATTTTTGAAAAAATTAATATCATCAAGCTTTTTCAATTGAATGTTTGCTACTTAGGCTAATTGTTATTCGCTGAGTTCTTTTTTGCTAGGAATTGATGCTCTTAATCAATTAATAAAATTAATTACATTAATTTCTATCTTAAAGATAATTAAAACACTATAAATCTTTCTAAAGCGGCTTAAGTTTAAAATTATAGAATAAAGCTATTTTCATATATTTCTGAAGATATTCTAAGTTTAGAGCAAATATCCAATTGTTTTTAATTAATGAGTGTCTCTAACTCATTATTAAATTCTAAAATACTCAGAGTATATTATTATGGATTATTTAATATTCTTCTTCTCTCTAAAATTAATTAATTATTACCATCTCTATTTTTCTATTAATTTAAACTGTATTGTTAAGCAACTAATTTAAAACCTGCTTCTGTTATTGTCATTAAAACTTCAAAAGATAGAGGCATTTATGTTTCTTGAAATGCTTTCAATTCTTTATTTACTCTGTTTATGAAATCTACACTATAAATACTAGATGAATCTTCATCATTGTTTATTTGAGTTTAATTAATTAGTTATTAAGAAGTTTTATTAATTACTTATTAAGAAGTTTAAGTAACACCTACTTCTGATATCTACTCTTCATTTTGTTGTACTTAACTGGATACAATAGATGCATTATTATTATGATTATTATTATTATTATTATTTTTTTTTTATTTTTTTTTATTTAAGACTCTTATATACATTCCTGTTGCCAAAATTGCTGCACTTGCTATTACTAATAAAGACTTAGTTGCTATATTTGCCATTGATTAATTTATTAATTAATTTATTGATAAAAACAAAACCAAAACTTATTTTAGATCAAATTACTATAATAAATTCTCAAATTGACATTTATTCTTAATTATTATATATCATTATAATAATATTATTACTAACTAAATTAAATAGAATTAATAAATGATTTATATTTATATAAACAATTTATGATATCATTTAATATTTGATAATATAATCAACAATTATAATCTTATATATGATTTACAAATTAGTAATTAAACGTATCTCATTTTATATGTTCTAAAATTTAATAAGAATAATATGATTAAAAATTAAAGGATAATTTAAATAATATCGAGCTTTCTTTTAAATCAATAATTTAGAATTATTTATAGCATCAGATACTATTTTCTAATACCAATAATGAATTACATAAAAAAAATTAATTTCCATGATAAAATATTTGAGATAAAAATTTATTTTATTATTTATGTTCAGAAAAATATACACAAATATATCTATCACCCTCATTAAATAATTGAGAGAAGCATCAGGTATATTTGAATATGCTTATGTCAGGCTCTCCTATCAATGAGTGTAAAAAAGCCTTAGAATCAACAGATGGTAATTTTGAGAAGGCTATTCAATATCTCAAAGAAAGAGGATTGGCTTAAGCTGAGAAGAAATTGGGCAATTAAACTAAACAAGGAGTTATTGTGGCTTATACTAATAATAAAGTGGCTGCCCTTGCTGAAGTATCCATCAATTTTCTAATAATTTAGATAAATTGCGAAACAGACTTTGTAGCCAGAACTAGTGAATTTTTAGAATTTTCGACAAATTTTATTAAAACAGTTATTAATTAAGAAAAAGATTTCAATAGTTCAAATATTGATTCTGTTCTAAAGTAAAGCTAAAACCAAGCATACTTTGAGACTAGCATAGACGACAAGCGTAAATAATTAGTAGGTAAATTGTAAGAAAATATTGTTATTGGTAATTTGAATACATTTGTTGCTACAAAAAATAGTATCATAATATATCTATATTTTAAGGTGTTTTTGGAATTTATCAACATAATTGCTTAAAAAATACAATCTGTGGTTTGGGAGGAAGTATTGTTGAATTAATTACAGAATAAGAATTAAATGATGTCAAATCATAAATCTTAAGAGAAGGAGCCAATAATTTGGCTGTCACTTATTTGGGTTTGAAACCTAAATTCCTATATGAACAAGAGGTATCCTCAGATGTAATCGATTAAATAAGAAAAGAAGTCTAAAAGGATTTTGGATCAAAGACTCCTTAGTAGCAAAATTTTATTGTTTAGGGCAAACTTCAAAATTATTATTCAGATAATGTATTTGAGCACCAGGAATATATCTTAAATGAAGATGAACCATAGACTATAAAATAATATATCAAAAAAGAGTTAGAAGATCCCATTAAGGATAAAGTTAAAATAGGTAGATGTCTATACTTAACAATATGATATAATATCATATAATCAAAGGGAATATGATATTTTCTTTATTTTCTTAGGTCTTCTTTAGCTAAAGCTCCTAAATTGTGTAATTTTAACTAAGTATGTAATCTTAAATCTCTTCAAATATCAATTATGAATATTAAAACATAATCTATTCTAAGTAAGGTTCTTTTTTCAATACAAGGTTATCTGCTAATTTATAAATGTGATAAAAATTTAAATGCCAATTCTTGATAATTTTATTTATTATTTTAAAGTTAGCAATATCGCAATGAAAATTTTTATATGATTTCATTTTATATACTTTTTAATAATAACAAAATTGCAAAATCAATTTCAAACAAACTTTTATTTTTTCGTTTTTTTTTATAGAGAATGAAAGTTTTCAATAATCCTCATTTCCATTCTAAAAGTAGTTCATCTAAACCTTCTTCACTTTAATCTTCAAGAGTAGGCGGGAGTAAAATAATAGGAAGTCCTTAAGGACAAGAATAAGATCTTAATGAAATGTTATAATCACTAAATCCTACATAAATTATAGCTTAGGAAGAAGAATCAAAGTTTGATTTATATTAAGAAATGCAGTAGTTGAAAACAAAAGTTTTAGGATTACTTAAAAAATACTAAGTTATGCTATAAAATGAGAATGCAAAATAAGTGAAGAGTAAAATAAAGTCAGATGTTCAAGAAATTTAAATTGAATTTGAAGATATAATAGCATAATATTAGATAGATTAGAGTTAATTGGAAATAGAAAACAACATTCCCACTGTAGAAAAAGAAAAAGTAATAAATAATTATGATAATAAAAGGAATTGAACACTATTTTTAATTTAGTGGAGGAGTTCTTAGAGCGTTTCTCTCATCATAAAGCTACTTTGAATTATTTTTCAATTTTGTAACAATAAAAAATGAGTCGAAATGGATTAGGGGTATTTTCTGTTGATCACAATGACAGATAATCTATGTATGACTTTTAAGAATCATTACCTGATCTAACTGATAGCAATAATTCAGAAAATACTCTTGAAGTTTAACAGGCAAAGATAGCCTTATCAAATTCATAAAGGTTAAGAAGTCAGATTAGAAGACGCTTCTTTGATATAGCTTTGAAAGTGAAAGAAGGATTACCCCTTTATCATCCAGGTAGATAAATCTTGGTTTCCATACTTTTTGAAGATGCAGAAGAAGAAGGAATTGATGAAATTGAATGGGAATCATGGATTGTGAAATAATTAAATAAGTGATTTATAATGTTATAAGATGAGATCATGAAACCTTCTTTTAGGTTAAGCGATTTATTAAAGTACGAAGACCAAAGTCTCTATTCTGACTCTCCAACTAAGAGAAAGTCTTTGGCTCCTCCAAAACCTCTATAAAAACATATATTTGATATTACTAATGGGGCTTTTCAGTTTATTATTGGAGAATTTACATAAAGTATTAAAAAAGAAAGAGTGCCTATATAGAAAAATCTAATAAAAAGGATTAATCAATATGTAGAGAATGAATGTTAATAATTGCAAGTTTAATAATAATTAGAAAAGAGAATTCAATAAAAAATAATCGAAGATCTTAATTTATTAGTATTTGCATTATGTCATATTTCAAAACCAATAGTTGATTTTTTGGAAAATCATTTTATAGATTATGCTGAAGAATTGTAAATAACCATTTGGGAAATCAATCTATAACTTTTTCAACCTAAAATTGTTGAATTAATAAAAAAATATATTGCCACTAGTATGAACATAGTTCCTGGAAACTTGTATTCTTAATTGTTAGAGTAAGCGCATTAATTAATATGCAACCTATCATTTGAAGTTTCTGATTAGATTTGCTTAATTTTAGAGGAATGCCGTGGTTACATAGAACCATTTATTGCGAAATTTCGAGAAAGAGTAATATTTATTAAATAATATAGAATATCCCATAAATATTATTAAATAAATACACTATATTAGCATTATTTTAAGAATTAAGTTAAAATTGCTATTAGACTATATAAGACCTCTTGGAGTTTACAATATTTCATTATGCAGAACCTGATATTGTTGAAAAATTTATGAAATATGCTATAGAAAATTATGACACACTAATATTAAAAAATAAGATGCTATCTAATTCAACATAATAAAATGAAAATATTAACAAAGTAACAGTAGATCAAGTTGTAGATTATCTTCAATAATGTATCACCAATAAAAATAAATCAATTGCTGTTTATAAAATTTAATATAGATAAAAGTTGCAAAAATAATTAAGTGAAGATGATGAAGATTAATGTACTTAATCAACTGATATTAAATCTTTTAAAATGCAAAAAGATACAAGATATTATTTAAATGGATTATATTTAGAAAGTGAAGATCCTTAATCAAAATTTATAATATATGTAATGAATGAAGAATTTAAAGTAATTTATGCTCCATTGGTTAGTAAAAGATGGGCATTTTAGAAAGTAATTTGATTAATTTATTTAGACATTTGTTATTGATTAGTAAGAAAAAGATGGTTTTTTTAAAAAAGATTCTAATAGAAAGTCAGGTTGGGGAGTTTATCCAGTAAAATTTAAATCAATGAAGGAATTGATCCACTCTAGTTGGGTTCATGAATAATTAGCTTTAATGATATTGAATTAATATTAAGAAGATGTGTACTAATTAAGAAGATAGGTAGAAGGTGAAATGGATACAATGTTTGGATCATTTTTAGCCAATGTTAGCAGAAACAAGTATTTGAAATATTTATATTTAAAGAGAATTTTTATAACATTTTGGTGAAAATGCTGTTAATAATGGATGTATGCAATAATTGGTTGTTTATATGCCTTTACTAAAAGATTTTTTAAATTTAGGAGGGTTTGGAGCTTAAGCATTATTGACTAGTTAAGAAATATACACTCCATAGAGAACATTCACATCTACATTAGCAATATCCACATCATTAGTTTCAGGAGCAATAATTGGTTAAGCTTTGATTCCAATACCATTTGTGGGGGGAATTGTTGGAGGAATTATAGGAGGATATTTAGGGAATAAGGGAATGACTAATTATACTAAGAGTAGGAATGAAAAAAAGTCTTTGGAAATGGTATTAAAATTATAACTAAATTAATTACAAGATGGTCATTGGGAATGCAATAAGGTCAATTTGGATATTATGGTTATTAATTTTAAAATATTAAATGATCATATGCCAAAGGTTTTAAGTGAGGATAGTGACAGATAAACTAAATGGATTAATTTAGTGATATTTGCGGTATTAAGTTTGTTCTTTAATTCCAATGAAATGCCGGGAGTATGGCAGGAATGTTTAGATTGTCTAATAAAATATATATAAATTGAGAAAATATCATTGGCAGATACTCTGGAAAATTTAAAATAGATAGTTGAAGTCATAGTAAAAAATCTTTGACTTTATATTAATTTAAATATGAAAATACCTCTTAATACTCTTGAGTAGCCTAAAGAAATCGAACGTCGTGTAATTTCTTTCAGCCTAATTTTAGCTCTTGGCATCAATCTTAGCAAGCCCCAACTTCTTGGAAGAGTTGCTTTAATTAGTGAATGACAAGAGTAATGTTATCCACAAATTATCTTTGGGATCATTAACTTTACTTATGGATAAATTAGACGATTATATAGAGAATATGGCTTAACTAGTATAATAGAACTCTAGATATGATTGTTCATAGTTGTTAAACCTCATTAATAGTTTAATGGAGTATGAATGTTATAGGTAATAATTTAAAAAATATTGATAGAAAATTATTTAATTCCTTAGAACATATATTAAGCATAGTGGAGCATACAGATAGTCTGTAAAGTTATGAGACCATTATGAACATTCTAATCAAAATTTGTGAATAAGCAATAAATCTAAATAATCCTTAATAAAAAGAAATATGCAATTAATAATTAAGAGATAATATCCCTAGATTAATATACTTTACTAGATTCCTCTTTGATCATAATAATGCTCTTTCATCAACTAAACTTGAATTGATTGATTATTATCATGATGATCCAAATTATTTATCTATTACAGACAATCCAATTTAGTTTCCATAATTACAATTTGAATATGTAGAACCTACTATTTTAGATGAATCATATGCAGATTTATGTAAAAATGGTGTTCACAAAAAAGAATTGCAACATTAAACATCAATTAAAGTATAATATGCTTATTTAAAATATTTTTAGAATTTCAGCATATAAGATGATCATTCTATGTCTGCCCTTCTTTTAGCTAAAAAAACATTAGGATAATAAGATATGCCTTTAACTCCATTAGTAGAGGCAGTAAAATATAGAATTTTAATTTACAGAGGTTTAGCTTCAAATAAAATTTAAACAAATACTTTGGTTTTAAGTATGTATATTTTATCACTTGAAATGAATATGTTATTAGATGCTTTCTGTTCAACTCAAGATTGTGCTTTATTATTAGATTAAGTATTTGTGGAGAAAATAGAATATGAACAATATTTTAGTATCTATGCTAAATTATTTTAATTGAAAACTGTATAACCTAAATTATTAATTAAAATTTTATCAACTTTAGATGAAATATTAGTTACAGAAAGATAGTAGGATAATGAAATAGCATTAAATACAGCCAAAAATTATGATGAAACCTTTTTATAATTGATATATGATGTTTTATCAATGTAACCACATTAAATTGAAATTGAATCAAGTTACCCATTAAAATATAATGGATAATTATTAAATGAACAATGTGCGAGAGATGAAGAAGTTGCTTGTGGAATTTTTAAATTATTCTCATCAGAATCTGGAGTCCTTTTATTAAGTAGAAGTAATATAGCACTAGGATCATCATAAGCTTTAATTAGAACACTCCTTATTTAAGATAATAAATTGCTTTTGCCACCTGAAATTCTTAAAGCTGCTATTGGAATGTTAGGAAGGTTGTCTAGAAAAGAAGATCTACAAAGAGATCTTAAAATATTTAATGATCTAATTAAAGTAGTTGAAAATCTTATATCAATTGGTCCTAATCTAATGAAACCTACAGATTCAGGATATCAACAAATTACTTTTGATGAATCTGATTCTATTATTTCCTTTGCTATCTAGAGTATCAATGAACATTTCAAAGATGATCTTGGAAGGAGATATAATAGAGCTAATGCACCTACAATTGCCAGAAAAGTATCAGAAACTTAGATAATTAAAAAACTATGCAATTTACTATAAGATAGCAGATATACTCTTATTATATAGTAAACACTAATTTTGATTTCACATCTTGCAAATGAAGTTCCTACTCTAATTGGTCGATTAATAGATTCTTAATTACCATAATAATTAAATTCCATCATACAGATTCTAAATTATACTTAAATTAATAATAAAATGGTTAATGCTATATTTTAATTTTATTTTAATGTTTCATTAAAAGAAGAAGGATATGATCAATTTAATACATTTGGCTTATAATTCATGGAACGAATTCTTGATAACTGTTTGATTCAATCTAATGTTCCAAAGGAATTAATAACATCTGTAGGATAGAACATTGCTAAATATTTACAAAAAATAGATAAGGTTGGTCCATAAGTAATAAATATTCTTATTATTGGATTGGAAAGGCTTTATAATAATTTGATTGAAAAGAAAAATAATTTGAAAGAAAACACATATTAATAATATTATGAAATTATTACTAAAATCTCTAACCTATCTATATTAACTTTCAAAATGATTCATAATTTACATCCATCATAATAAGCTGAAATGAATGCTAAAGGATTTTTTGAAAAATTACTATTGTTTTTTGAATTTCCTACTTTTGATTTTAAAACTGACTTAACTAAAGTATTTAGGTTATTTGCTTAATTAGATGAACTTGATAATCCATTTAAAGCATTAACTTAAGTACTTGCCTCTATTTCTAAATTGGAAAGTAAATTAGGTTGTACTTTTGAAAAAACAAACATTTAAATTGATGAATCATATTATAGTTCTGAGAAATTCTTTCTAACATGTCCTTTGGATTAATTATAGTAGAAATTAGAATTAGTTTCTTATTATTATTAAATTGAATCATTAATGGAGGTTTTAAAACATTATTTAATGAATGGTTAAATCAGATATGATTAATAGGAAATATCAAGATTATTGAATAAGAGTTGTTACTTATTTTTAATATTGATAAGATCTATTAAATATGCAGAAGATTAGAAGATGGAATAAGTATTCAAAAAATCTGTTTTCTACTAATATATTTAATTATTAAAAGTCATAATTATCAATTCTTATAGAGTAATGAAAAGAATCAATAATGAATTACAACCACTTAGCAATTTATTTTGTTAATTAAGTTAAAATTTAAGGAATGAAAATATTTAAGTAATTTAATTACATTCTTATCTAATCAATGATTTATTAAATAATCTTGTTGAAGGTAAAAAGTATGCAGATTTCTAGAATTTACATCCAGACTTTTTAAGTTTGTTAATTAATTCTGATTTTCTAGAAAATCTAAAATAAGGAATTAGTTAATTTATTTAATTGGTGAATCAGAAAAATAATATTGAACATACAGATTAATTGGGTTGGTAATATGCTAATATTATTAAATTGATTTATCTTAACAAAATAGATCAGAGCAAAAAGATATAAGGATATATGTTAATTCCTAAGTAAATTGAAGAAATTTAAAATCTCCTAACAATTACATAATGTTTATCAGCTGATTCCATATATGCAGTTTAAGAATAGTTAATTAATAAAGTAGTTTTTATTTTCCGCCCTTCCTTCTTATAAGATATTATCTAGAAAGATAAAGATAACTATTTTTAAAAAACATATTAAGTCTTTAGAGGTGAGAATGGAGGTGAAATAGATATATTATAATAAGATCCTAATGAAGTAAGAACAAAACTTAGAGATATGGGTTATGATGATGATGTGATTACAATTGCACTTCAAAATAATGATATTTATGATGTCACTAGACTTACTGATTGGATATGTGAAAATTTCGATATGATTGAAGAATAAAGAGTGAAAATAATTGAAATTTAAAAGAATGAACCTTCATTAGAAGAAGTCACACAATAAATTCAAGAGAAATAAAAAAATCTTAAATAATATATCTAAACAAATATGTTAAATTTTAGTAGATTTGAGGAAAGTATCTTCTTATTATTGGAAGGATAAGTAATGCCTTCCTTATTAAAGTGCTTAAAGTAGGTTGCCTATGAGTAATTTAAATTATAACTCAAATTTAAGGATTGTGAACTTGAAATCAAACAACCTTAGACTGAGAATATAAAAGTCATCATTACAATCTTGCATTATATTTATAAATAAAAAAATCTTGTTGAAGAATATGAAAGCATTGTAACTGAATTGATGAAATTGGCTTAAGAATTAATGAAGTTCTAAGATGATCTTAGTCTTAAAGCTGTAAATCACATATTGGCAATTTTAACTCTCTTTATTACTGATGATCAAAAAAAGAAAAAGAATCATCATGATACAGTTAATGATATCCTTTTGGGAGTAGTTAATATATTAAAAGGTAAAATTCAAAATCATACAACCTCAAAAATTTGTATTGAAATTCTTGTGAGAGCATTCCAAGTAAATAAGGAGAATGTTTCAAAGTTTGTCTCTCAAATGAGAGGATTAGAATATCTAATGAGAATTAAAGGTGATTCATAAAATCACATGTTTCCATTAACTAAATTAGCCCTATCAATTGTTCATGATAAGAGTTTGGTTATTGCTTAGATTGAAGCTAAAATTAAAAAGATTCTTTATAATCAAGAATACAATAAAGAAATTGAAAATATCAATAAATAATAATAATAACCTTAATAATAGGTTCCATAATAACATTAACCTCATCATCCCATTTGCTTTTAACCAATTTATTATAATATTCCCATAACAAATGACATTAAAATTGCCTCTAATCATCCAGCATTAATAACAATTTAAAGTTAAGCCTTTTTTGTTGAAGAAGTAAAAGAGGTTATGTCCCATTTATTTGAAGATGGAGAAACTATTGATGGAGTTAAATATTTAAATCTTAGAAAAGGTTGTTCATTATACACTTTCGATTGTGTTTAACCTACTAGTTTTTAAAAGCATAAGGAACCAGAAACTGCAAAAAAAAGTAAATAAATCTCAAAAAAAAAGAAGAGTGAAGATAAATTATAATTACAATCCAACTTTTAACATACTTAAGAAGCATAAATTTTGATCAAATTATTAATATAATAAATGATATGCTCATTTTTTGAGAATGAATAATATCAATATCATTGGTATACTATTACTTAAGTATTGTAAATAATGATTAGACGTTATCCTGTCTTAATACCAAAAATAGTAAGAGTGAATTGTAGTAAATTATTAAAGCCTTATTAAAAATAATTAAGTACTGACTATTAAGATTTAGAGTTTCCTAGAAAAATCTCATTTCTTACTCTTATTACTAGAATAATGACTCCTGCAAAAAATCTTCTATTTGAATTGTGTTTAGATAATGTCTTATTATATTAAATGGCTAATAATAATATTGTTCCATTTTCAAATGAAACAAGGAGAAAAATTGTTAGTGAATTGTATGATGGCATAGAAAAACGAATTAAGACTTTTGATTCAATTTTGTGTTAATACTCATATACATTAATACGTTTACTATAGATAAAGTCAGTGGCAAAAATTTGTTATAGAAATATTCATGATACAGCAAATTCCTTTAATTTTATAAAATTATATATGGATGGAATGAAAAACTTTGAATTAAACTCATATTATATTTATGAAAAGGAATTATAATTTATAACAGAAACCTTAGCAATTTTATTTAATATGGCTATTTATCTTTTATTTTATAAGCCTACTCCAATTATCATTTCTAAATAACAATAAGAATAATATGGAGATCATTTTCAATTACAAGGTATGATAGGATAATTATTACCAGAAGAAATCAATTCCCAATTAGTACCAAATAAAAGTATTTTATATTAAGATTCTATTAAATATTTCTAAAAATGGCCATTATTGCCCATTTCTTTCCTAGAAGAATTAAACTAAAATTAATAACATGAAGAGTTTGAATTTTAATAATTCTTATCTCCTTTTAGAAGAAGAAATAGACTTGTAAATGTTGAATTAATTGCAAATATAGAGGAAGATGATGGTATGTTAGAATTAGAATATGATGATAATGATATGTAAAGTGAATAAAGTGGAGACTCACATAATTCTCATGAATCAGCTCCAGAAGATCTTGAAGAAGAAGAAAATAGTTGGGTATCTAGTTAAAGTGGAAATAATTAAATAGAAGCAGAAGAAGCATAGAATTCTTCATCAAGTTGGACAGATGAAGAAGATGAAGATGAAGATAATGATTAATAAGAGGAAGAAGAAGAAGGAAGTGAATAGGATGAACAAAATGAATAGGAGGAAGAAAATGCTTCAAATAGTGAATTACAAAGTGATAATGAAGAAGATATGGATTAAGAAGATGAAGAAGATCATGAAGAAGATTAAGAAGAAGGAGTAATTGATGAGGAAAATGATGGATTTGAATAAGAGGAATAAAACAATGAAATTTCAGAAGAAAATATTGAAGTTACAAAATAATTCCATCATCTTACTAGTAGAGAAGATTAAGCATTTGCTAAAATGACTAAATCTATCATTCAACTAATTGGCATTCAATTCCCATAATAATTTGTGAAAGTGTTAGATAAATTAGTCCATTAGTTACCTAAAATGAATTCTCCAGATGATTCTTAACCTATTAATTGGTGGACAGAACTAACATAATTTATATCAAAATCATTCTAATTAGATGAAAGAACTTATGGACAAGAATTGAGAATGCAACCATTATTTAGAGATAATAGATTCACAAATGAAATCTTTAGAATTGACTAAAATGATAGAATATTTAATAGATTTTAAGCAGCAAGATTTGATCAAATCGACAGATAAGAAAGAAATGAATAACTAAGATAAGATAGATACAGATCATTAACATTTAGAAATAGAAGAGAAGAATTATAACTTGAATAATAATTATAATAATAAGCTTAACCTTAAGCTAATTTATTTTAATAACACCAATAACATCAATAAAATCATAGTAGAGAATAAATTATTAGATTATTTAATTGGAATTAAATCTCATAAAGTTTATAACAACCATAATAAAATCTAGCTCCATTATAATAATAAACTTAAAATTTGCAAAGCATACAAGATTAATTATAATAATAATTCTTGAATTTGCTTAATTCGACTTAAAATTTCTAGTAACAGTAACAATAATAATTATAATAGTTATAATAATAATAATAAGAAGAAGAATAATAACAAAATTAATAATAAATATAGATTGAAGAATAATAAGTTGCTGTAAGCTAAGTAAACCCAGAAGTTATGTAAATAGAAGCATAAGGTTAAGAACCTGAATAATTAGAAAAAAAATAAGATTAATAATAATAATAATAGTAATAGTAATAATAATAATAATAATAATAATAATAACATATGCAAACAGAAGAATAACCTTAAAAAGTAGAATAACTAAATTAAAATATTTAACAAGAGTCATAATTAAATTTAGAATAAATTTATCCAAACACTTTTAGTTTCTTATAAAGAGTAGGTAGAACTTTCGATGATTTAACAAATAACAATATAGATCCATCAGTTTTTGAAGATTTGTCAGAGGATATGATGGTTGATATTATTTCAAATATCCCTGAAACTAAAGAAATAAATAATATTGAGGGAATAGATCCTTAATTTTTATAATCATTACCCCCAGAAATTAGAAGAGAAATCTACTAATAATATGTATAACCAACTTAAAATCAACCATAATAACAATCAGATTTAGATCAATTAATTGCTTTAATCAATTAAACTCCTTATGATGATAGAGAGGAAATGTATTTGTAGATAAGTGCTGAATAAGTTAGAAATTTACCTTAAGATTTAAGGTAGGAAGCCACCTATATAAGAGATAGAGCTGATTAAAGGGCCATCGAATAGACAGAAAGATAATTGTACTATTAGGTTGATCCTTAGTAATAACACTAACGAAATCCTAACCCATAACCACAATAATAAAGAAAGGAAAATCAAAAATCTTTGAATTTGAAGAATTTACTTCAAACTTAAAGACATTTAGTTTAGAAATTAGGAAATGTGGATGATGAATTTGCAGAATCATTATTGAGATTACTTTATGTTGAATCTCATAGCTTCGTGAATTTTCCAATAAATTTATTCATCGCCTTGACAAACAATCCTAATGTAGAATATAAGTTGATAGATGCACTATTTTTCATTCTTAAGAATCGTAATCATAGAACAGATTAGAGTTAATTCCCTCCATAAATATTAATTAGAAGAAATGGACTATTAAGAGATTAAAGTAAGATTTATGAGATAGTATCATTAAAGATTCTTTATTTAATTTCAAAATTGTAAGGTCCATCAATAAAATACTTCTTTGAAACAAAGAAATAAGTATAATTGTAATCAATAGCCAGACTTACAGAAGGTACTTAAGATCTTCCATTGTTATAATTAATTTAGCTTTTGCCTTTGTTTAAGGGTGATCATCAAGAGTTGTTGATTTAAGCTATTTCAAATATAACAACAAAGTAGAAGGATTTTAAATAAGATTAATTAAATTTAGATTCAAAATCTGTTGAATGTGTTTGTACAATATTATTGTAAAATATGAATAGGAGTGTTAAAAACTTCTCTCATATTATTTTAAATCTAAGTAATAATAAAGAAAATTAATAATTGATTATTAAATATATAAAGGAATTTATTTAAAAGATAACTAGAGAAATAAATAATAACTTTGCCAAACAATGTTAATATGATGAGATCTTTACTGCAGATAAAGCTTTAATAAATGTATTTTAATTTGTTAGAGAAATGAATGACAAAATTGGTGAAAATAATGACTAATAAGATACAAGAAGTAATTTTAAGGAATTGTTAGAAGATTAATGTTTAATATAATTATGGAGAAATATGATAAAATTATTGCAAGACATTCCATAATAACAATTAGCAAAATTAAGTACTAAAATATCTCCATATTTGGAATGCTTTTTCATTATTTATTAATTGGTCAATCCTTTTAGAAAGAATAAGAATTTTTAAAGAGAACCAACTAAGATTGCTAGTATGGAAGGACAATAACAAGAGGTTTAAGAATAATAATTACATGATGAATTATTCTAATAAATTTGTGAGAGTGGCAAGGTTTTATTGAATATGATGATTAGAGAGAGATTATAAGAATTGAGAGAAAAAGGAAAATTAGTTAATGATTCTTTAGGAGTTATAATATTTAAGAATCCTAGAATAGTAGATTTTGATAACAAACAGAAATATTTCAAAATGGAATTGAAATTATTGAAAATGCAGAACAATAGACATCATTATGGAAATATCAATTTAAGATGTAGAAGAAAGGATATATTTATGGATTCATATCATCGTATAAGTAAATTAAAACCAGAAGAATTAAAAGGTAAATTACATGTAGAATTTGATGGAGAAGAAGGTGTTGATGCAGGTGGTGTTACTAGAGAATGGTTTTTGATGCTTTCAAAAGAGATTTTTAATCCAAATTATGCTCTCTTTACTCCATCATTAAATGGACAAATGTTTTAACCAAGCAATAAGTCACATGTAAATCCAGATCATGTCAAATATTTTAAATTTATTGGAAGAATTGTAGGTAAAGCATTATATGATGGATAATTATTGGATACATATTTTACTAGATCATTTTATAAACATATTTTGGGTTAGAAATTAACAATTCATGATATGGAAGATATTGATTTGAATGAATACAATAGTATGAAGAAAATTTTGGAATAAAATGTTACAGATTGGGGAATCTATTGGACATATAATGTTGATCATTTTGGTAAACTTGAAGAAAGAGAACTAATTGAAGGAGGAAAAACTAAATTAGTAACTGAAGAAAATAAATTGGAGTATGTTCAAACTTATTGTTATTAAAAAATGGCTAAAGAAATTAAAGATTAAATAGAAGCTTTTTTAAATGGATTCCATGAATTGATACCATAATCATTAGTAAGTATTTTTGAATGGAAAGAAATGGAGCTAATGTTGTGTGGTTTACCTGATATTGATCGTAAATTTATTTATTTTATTATTTTAGTTGAGGACATGAAAGAGAATATTGAATATCATGGTTATGATAAAGGAGACAAAGTAATTTAGTGGTTGTGGGAATTGTTGGAAAGTTTCGACAAAAGTAAAAGAGCAGCATTCTTATAATTTGTTACAGGTATTATATTGTTCTATTATTATTTTAGGTACTTCGAAAGTTCCTTTAGGTGGATTCAAAGAATTAAAAGGAATGCATGGCCCTCAAAAAATATAGGTACATAAAAAGCCTTATGTAAATTTTGAATTACCTACTTCTCACACATGGTAAATTATAATTCCATATAATTTAGCTTTAATTAATTAGACTTACCTAATTATCCAGCTAGATAAATTTTGAAAGAGAAATTGGAGTTGGCAATTATGGAAGGAAAAGAAGGTTTTGGTTTTGCTTGATATAAAATAATTTCACATTATTTAGAATAATTTAACTATTTTTTTTATTTTATTAACGATAATGATTGGAAGACCTCCAAGAACTAGAAATGAAAGATAGTAAAATCCTTAGATTAGTGAAGATTAATTGAAAATAGAGCTTTAGATGCAAGCAGAAAATAAAAAGAGAGAATTAAGAATGCAACAACTTTAAGAGAAGGAAGAAAATTTAAAATAATTAGAGTATGCAGGACAAGATGTTGAATCATTTAGGAATAAGGTATATGCAGAATATCAGGATGTCATTCCACAGTAATCTAAAGCTGAGTAAGAAAGGGCTGCTCGAATTAAATTGAGAGAAGAGGAAAGATTGAGAAGAAAGAATGGCTTAGGAAGTGCTTACGAATAAGAAAAAGAGAGATTACCTGTCTAGTTAGAATAAAAGCTTTTACAAAATTTGAATCAAATAAATAATAATTAAAATGCAGATTGGTTAGATAAATAATAAGTTATTTCAAATCAAAATAATGCTAAATAACATTATTAACAATAACCCATTGTTAATTATTATCCTGATCAAGTTTATGGTGCAAGATAAATATAATAGTCGTAAGTTAATAATTAAATTAAGAATGAATCATAAAAATATTAAGATAAGTAAAGTTATGAACAACGTTATTAACCACCACCTCAAATGAATAATAATAGTAATTATTAGAAAAACAAAATTAATGAAGCAGCAGAATAAGAAAGGGAAAAAAAAAGAAAATATAAAGAATAATTAGACATGTAGATTAGTTAGAAAGGTTAATAAAATTAATAACAAATATAAAACCAATAGGGATTGTAATAATATTAATAATAATAAAATTATCAGTACCAATAATAATAATAGAATTAGTAATAATAGTTAAAACCACATTCATAATAGAGTTAGAGATAACCTTAGGCTGAAGTCGATTTCTTTTCAAAATTTGGGTAACCTTAATCCTAGTAAGGTTGGAGATCATAATAACAATAATAATAATAATAATAAAATTAGGATAATGCAGCATTACAAAGAATGAAATACAGAGAAGAACTTGATCGTTAAATTTTGGAAAAAAAAAATAGAGAAATGGAATAATAGTAATTAAAAAATCAATAAGACTTTGCCAAAAGGCCAGCCAGTAATCCAACAAATGTCTTTGATTTTCCATAAGAATATGATTATAGAAATAATCCACCTCCTCAATCTCCTAATTATTATTAGCCCCCATAATCTGCACCAACTGATGATTAATCAAAAGGAAGATTCCTGTAGAGAAGATTCACAAGTGGATAGCCTGAAGATCCGCAAAAATAAGCTATAAAGGAACAATATGCAGAAGAATTAAAAAGATAAATGGAGGAAAAGAAAAGAAAGAAAAAAGAAGAGGAAGAGGAAAATAGAAGAAGAGATGAAATAGAATAATAACAATTTTAGTAGTAAATATTACTTGAGAAAAAAAGATAGGAAGAGCAAGTTAAATTAAAATAAGCTGAATTTGATTAACCTGTTTAACAAAAAGAGGTAGTAAGGAGAGGAAAATAAAATATATAAAACGACCAACCTTAGTAAGACATTATTAAGAAATCTGCCTTACAAATTTTATCTCCAGAAAGTGCTTTGTAAAGAGAATAATTATCATCCGTTTAAGATCAAAAGTATTAATAATAATAACAATAATAATAATAATAATAATAATAATAATAATAACAAT